CTTTTCACCCAGAGACTCTTCACCCAGAAACTCTTCTTGCACATACTTTTCGCCCAGATACTTTTTACCCAGAAACTCTTCACCCAGAAACTCTTCTTGCACATACTTTTCACCCATATACTTTTCACCCAGAGACTCTTCACCCAAAAACTCTTCTTGCACATACTTTTCACCCATATACTTTTCACCCAGAGACTCTTCACCCAGAAACTCTTCTTGCACATACTTTTCACCCATATACTTTTCACCCCGAGACTCTTCACCCAGAAACTCTTCTTGCACATACTTTTCACCCATATACTTTTCACCCAGAGACTCTTCACCCAGAAACCTTCATTTTTTTCCAGTGCTTTTCCATAGTTTTGCTCGACATCATTTTCCCGCCCAGATCCACCTCGGAGGGCGGACCAGGGGGGAATCGATACCCCAACGTCACCCAATTGCCACCTGGTACATAACCCTAAAAAAGTTTACCTGCGTCCACCTTTTTTACCACCTATTTTCCGCATTTTTATCCCACTTCGGGCGCTCTGCCCCCAGACCCCCTTAACTCACTTTGTTCGCAAAAATAACTTCGCCTAGCCTAGCGGCTGGCTTTCGTGAACATATCTTAAACTATGGTGGTTACCCATTTTCCATCCAAGAGTTGCTATGCTATCTATGATCATCTATAATTTGCCATGATGTACCATAGTTTAGACTGACTAACTCACCATAATTTCCCATAGTTCACCATGCTTTACCGTCACCATTTCAGTGGTTTGGACCGCTTGGAGCACCCCTGCCTGCTGGCATCTTTGCTGCAGGTCATCCAAGCCAACAGTGGCCACCTCTGGGTGTCCCAAAGGGCCTTTCGGGGTTCCCCAGATGCCCTTCCTTGGAGTTGCGAAGAATGCGAAGATCTGTCCAAGTGACACCAAGAAACAAAAAAAATATTGTTGAAGCCGTTTAAGCCGTGTAAGCCCCAAAAAGATAGGAAAGGTTCAACGCACCATTATCTTGGTACAATTGTGTTTTTCAATCTTTTTGAAGGTTGATTCATTGGCTGGGTCGTAGACGATCAACTTATCATTTTTGGGTAATTCATGGACGGATAAGCGGGGATACCTTCCAGTAAACGAAACGAACATAGCTCTGGAAAATCCACCAGATCAAGTAGATCATGTCCGAACGGGACACCTATGGATTTCCATAGCTGTAGCTTAAATTACCGTATTGGGCATTCCCAGTAGGTTCCCCAATTTTTTGTGGCTTAACCAATTGGGAAATTAAGAAAACCATAAAATCACCAAATCCAAGCTTCTTGTTGTAGCCCTTGTCCACCTTGATACCAGGGATCATGCCATTGTCCTTGATGATGTCCACTATGGCCTTGCCCTGTGCATCCCGTTGAAACAGCGTCTCCCAGTGGAGGATCACTCCGCCGATGTGCTCGCTCAAGCCGGGAGTCGAGAAGCACATTGACCGGTACTCTGCCCTGTTCTCGGCCACATCCTGGGCCACAGCATGTCACAGTATGTCACAGCATGTCACAGGACCACAACTGTCCTGGCTCTAAATCCACTGGCAGACTGGCAGGCTCAACATGGCTATGGCTAAAAGATGCTAAAAGTATGTTAAAGATTGCCCAAATCCTGCGCTCACCTGCCACAATCTCATCATTTGCAACATGTCTTCAATCCGTTTCCTTATGCTTCCATCCAATCCACTCCCACCCCCGGGAGGAAAAAATTACTTTACGTCGAGTTATCCCCACCATGACATCTATGCGTTTTGTTACTGGCAAATCTTCTGGCATTCTATCTGACATATCTTCTGGCATTTTATCTGACATATCTTCTGGCATTCTATCTGGCATATCTTCTGGCATTCTACCTGGCATATCTTCTGCAATATGTTCTGGCATATCTTCTGGCACTCTATCTGGCATATCTTCTGGCATATCTTCTGACATTCTATCTGGCAAATCTTCTGGCGTTCTATCTGGCAAACATTCTGGCACTTTATCTGGCATACCTTCTGGCATATCTTCTGACATTCTATCTGGCATACCTTCTGGCATTCCATCTGGCATATCTTCTGGCATTCTATCTGGCAAACATTCTGGCACTTTATCTGGCATATCTTCTTGGCATTCTTTCTGACATTCTAGCTGGCGTTCTATCTGGCATATCTTCTGGCATTCTATCCGGCCGTTGAGGTCCAGCGGTGCTCACTGAGCTCGGAGGGTCCCAGGTTGAGGTCCAGTGGTGCTCACTGAGCTCGGAGGGTCCCAGGTTGAGGTCCAGCGGTGCTCACTGAGCTTGGACGGTCCCAGGTTGAGGTCCAGCAGTGCTCACTGAGCTCGGAAGGTCCCAGGTTGAGGTCCAGCGGTGCCCAGTGCGGCTCAGACCCTTGCAGTTGAGGTCCAGCAGTGCCCACTGCGTGCGGAAGTTGGCGAAGAGCTTGGCGAAGAGTTGGCAAGGCGGAAGTGAACATGGGATGCAAAGGTGGTGGAGGAGAAGCTGGAGGAGAGGGAGGAGGAGGAGGAGGTGGAGGATGAGGAGGAGGAGGCGGAGGAGGAGGCGGAGGAGGAGAACAATTGTGATAAAATCTAACAACCCTCACCTGGCAGGTGGGGAAAAAAGCAGCTTTAAATCCCATCCAATCTTCATTTTGGGTGAAATCACCATTTTCCGGGTTAACCCGGGTCACGTATGTTATTTTCAAATCATTGTTCATGGCGGTTCAACTGGGATTTTTCATCAACGCGCTCAGGCCCGGATCAACGGCCCAGTGAGGCCCAGTGTCTGGGATCTTTGCCGCTTCGGCATGACGCGCCCTGAGCCACGGCCCACCACTTTCATCAGCGGCCAAGAAACCCTTGCCTCGGTGGCATATCAAGACGGGTCAAGATGGTCAATGGTGGGCCAACAATTGGAAACATAATATTGTGATTTAGTAATGTTAATTGGGCTTAAGATAATGACATTTAATATCAGTTTAATAGATTTTAATAGGATTTAATGGTACAAGACCCCAAAAAAATGGTCGCAACTCTTGTGTGCTGCATGGTGTACATACCAACATTGGTCACCTGGCCCCAAGTTACCCTGAAAAAGGTTGTACCATCAACTTCAAATAGGTCTTGGACACTTGGCCGCCAACAACTTGACACACACAAAAAAAAAAACTGAGAAAAGTATAGAAAAGTGGCTTCCAGAGGTTGCAGTTTACAACCAACGTGTTGGTACTTCAACCTATTTTTCCCCACATCTCCGTGTGGGGTTCTTGTTTTTGGCGCTGCATCTCCCGCTTCTCCTTCTCCTCCGCCTTCTCCTCCATCCGTCGTCCATCCGTCAGCACATCACATCGCAATAATACACATCACTATCACACAGACATCACGACACCCCCCGTATCACACATCATCACACCAGTACTGTCACCAAGACATCATCGCACCATGACTTAAGCTGGTGCGCGCGTCGGAGCACGTGCATTGCAATTCGTGTGGCAGGCGTGGCACGTCATAGGGACTTGACTTGAGCTGGTGCGCGCGTTGCCGCTTTGGGCCGCAGAGTGGTTGCACACACCCTATCATCAACACACAGACGTCAACATGCCATCATCAACGCACACACACAGACGTCATCACCCCATGGCTATCACACAGACATCGCCACAACATCACTGTCACACAGACATCAGCACAACATCACTGCCACACAGACATCAACACAACTTCCCTCATGTCCCGCACGCGACTCTATCCTGCATCGTTGTTGTAAAGCTTAACATGTGGGGTTATCATGGGTTATCCGGTCCTTTTTTTGGTCTTTGTTCATGGCTGAATTTCAATTTTCACATTTTTTCACATTGCTTGACCACACGTCACCACACCCGGCCTGGCGCGCAGAGCTTCGCCGCAGTCTCCTTGAGTTCCGCCAGCTTGTCCTGCGGCAGCACGCTTGGAAGGCCGCCCAGAGCCAAGGACATGGTGCGAGCACGTGCGAGCGTCTGGAATCCAGTCTGAGACCTTTGCACAAATGGCTGCGTAGCACTCACAACTGACCGGATGGTGGATGTCCGTGGGGTGGCTCAGTTTCCTGGAGTCAGGCGTCACTTCTTTTGTAAAATCTTCACATGTTGCTTTTACAAGTTCTTCCATGCAGCTAATAGAAAGGAAAACTGCCCCAGACTGAAAAACAAAAAAGAAAAGAAAAACAATATTATATATATAATCATATATATATATATACACCCTCCCAGATATATACAACATGTCCGAGACATACTGTATGTGTTGATCATTATTCCCGTGTTGAGTCGGTGATTCTCCCATTTTCCTTTCTCATCCTTTCTCCATCTTTCTCGCATGGTGTGTCCTCTTCAACAGGTGAACCACCCAACGGGTGCAAAGCCACGCCCTTATGGCGAGGCCAACGGGTAAACGAAAGCTCTGGCAATCTATACATGCTTGGTCAATCGTGACTTTCCCCAGTGAACTGCAAGGCCAATGTTCTTTTACAATGTCTTCTCACTTTGTCAAATTGAACAAACCATGTTCACTGAACGGTCCAAGCCTCTCTCAACATTCCAACTTTCCAAGATGACACCCTAGGACATATCGGTTGTGTCAATACGCTGACAAAACAGCCGAGCCACTAGATTGGGAAACATACGTTGCCTTGCCATCCTTGCCCACTTGCAAGTCACGACAGCGCCAATTACTGTGCTTCAAACAAGTTCAGCCCTACAGCCTTGCAAGCTGCACCGCTTTACGAACTACTCCGTACAGATGACTTGCAGTTGCATCAAATGACAACCGAGCCGATTCAATCAACCTCTTCGCATCTCTCGCTATTGAGAGAGATACATTTGCCCACTTGCAAGTCATGACAGCCCAAACTAATGTGCTTGCAACAAGTGAAGGCCACCAAAGATCAGTCATGGCAGGATCTGATCAACCTGAAATCCTATAGAAAATCCTGTGGAAAGCATATCGGGAATAGGTACCTCCTGCAGCCTACTAGTGCTGCGGAGCACCTGCAGGGATTTAGCAGCTCACTTACTCAGTAAGGTCCAGCAGGCACGCTGCTAGCATCATCAGGTCCAAGGCTTCGACAACTGCCTGCCTTGTATTTGCCAAAGCAAGCATCAGAGTTCGCCTTGGCTCGTGCCTTCAAGGCCTTTTGGGCAGCATCCTTGTTCTCAGCCTTGCCTAACCACGTGACAATACAGGTCCTCTGCAAAGCTTTGCCATAGGAGAAGGAGAGGTGCCATGGCAGCTTGCCCGCAAACAGGCTGTTCATGGTGCTCAAGTTGATGGTTGCCTCTTCCTCGTTGTCTTCATTCCGAGCTGACTCGCCCGACAAGAAGAAGATTCCAGGCATGGCGGGAGGCACCGTGCGCAGCAAAGTTTGGCAAGTCAGGGCGGCAATGGTCTCAGCACTGGCTTTCGGGCCACCAAGGCCATTCTTCACCATGTTGGGCTTCAAGACAGCACCCTCCAAGTAGATGTGGTGGTCTGCCAGGGCCTTGAACTGCGCAGCCAAAACCTTCTCAGTCATTTGGGCGCAGTAGTAGATGTCATGATCGCCTTAGTTCCAATATGTTCCAACATGTTCCTACATGTTCCAACAGAAGGCCAAGTTCTGGCGAGCATCGTAGCAATTCGTAGTACACAGATGTATGTATATAGTATCATTAGAAGAGTTCCAGGTCGTGTTCCCAGCCTCCCCCAAGCCCCGCGGCAGAGTCCGGCAGAGTGACCATTGGGAACGATTTCAGGCTCCACAATGGGCACCAAGCCCTCGCTCTGAGAGATGGAGGCATAGCGAGCCAAGGTGTGCACGGTATCTGCGATCGCCAGCTCTGTGGGCATACGCTTCGCCGGGTCCAACTGCAGCACGTTGCGCCACTTGGCAAAGCGGGCGCCCTGCTCATAGGCCTGGGGGCAAAGACACCAGATATGGAGGAAAATGGCTAGATATGGCTAGAATCAGAGATAACATATCTTAAACTATGGTAAGATTACCCATTTTCCATCCAAGAGTTGCTATGCTATCTACGATCATCTATAATTTGCCATGATGTACCATAGTTTAGACTAACTCACCATAATTTCCCATAGTTCACCATGCTTTACTGTCACCATTTCAGTGGCTTGGACCGCTTGGAGCACCCCTGCCTGCTGGCATCTTTGCTGCAGGTCATCCAAGCCAACAGTGGCCACCTCTGGGTGTCCCAAAGGGCCTTTCGGGGTTCCCCAGATGCCCTTCCTTGGAGTTGCGAAGAATGCGAAGATCTGTCCAAGTGACACCAAGAAACGAAGAAAACATATTGTTTAACCCCGTTTCCATCGTTTTTGTACAATTTTGCTTTTCCATCTTTTTGAAGGTTGATTCTTTGGCTGGGTCTACACCAATCAACTTATCATTTTGGGGTAATTCATGGACGGATAAGCGGAGATACCGTCCAGTAAACGAAACGAACATAGCTATGGAAAATCCACCAGATCAAGTAGATCATTTCCGAACGGGACACCTATGGATTTCCATAGCTATAGCTTAAATTACCGTATTGGGTATTCCCAGTAGATTCCCCAATTTTTTGTGGCTTAACCAATTGGGAAATTAAGAAAACCATAAAATCACCAAATCCAAGCTTCTTGTTGTAGCCCTTGTCCACCTTGATACCAGGGATCATGCCATTGTCCTTGATGATGTCCACTATGGCCTTGCCCTGTGCATCCCGTTGAAACAGCGTCTCCCAGTGGAGGATCACTCCGCCGATGTGCTCGCTCAAGCCGGGAGTCGAGAAGCACATTGACCGGTACTCTGCCCTGTTCTCGGCCACATCCTGGGTCACAGCATGTCACAGCATGTCACAGCATGTCACAGCATGTCACAGCTGTCACAGCATGTCATAGCATGTCACAGCATGTCACAGCATGTCACAGCATGTCACAGCATGTCACAGCACCACAACTGTCCTGGCTCTAAATCCACTGGCAGACTGGCAGGCTCAACATGGCTATGGCTAAAAGATGCCAAAAGTATGTTAAAGATTGCCCAAATCCTGCGCTCACCTGCCTCAATCTCATCATTTGCAACATGTCTTCAATCCGTTTCCTTATGCTTCCATCCAATCCACTCCCACCCTGTGAAGGAAAAAAAAGGAGCTATAAATCCCATCCAATCTTCATTTTGGGTGAAATCACCATTTTCCGGGTTAACCCGGGTCACGTATGTTATTTTCAAATCATTGTTCATGGCGGTTCAACTGGGATTTTTCATCAACGCGCTCAGGCCCGGATCAACGGCCCAGTGAGGCCCAGTGTCTGGGATCTTTGCCGCTTCGGCATGACGCGCCCTGAGCCACGGCTCACCACTTTCATCAGCGGCCAAGAAACCCTTGCCTCGGTGGCATATCAAGGCGGGTCAAGATGGTCAATGGTTGGCAAACAATTGGAAACATATTGTGATTTAGTAATGTTAATTGGGTTTAAGATAATGACATTTTTGTAATATCATTTAATAGGATTTATATAATGGTACAAGACCCCAAAAAATGATCGCAACTCTTGTGTACTGCATGGTGTACATACCAACATTGGTCACCTGGCCCCAAGTTACCCTGAAAAAGGTTGTACCATCAACTTCAAATAGGTCTTGGACACTTGGCCGCCAACAACTTGACACACACACACACAAATATCTGAGAAAAGTATAGAAAAGTGGCTTCCAGAGGTTGCAGTTTACAACCAACGTGTTGGTACTTCAACCTATTTTTCCCCACATCTCCGTGTGGGGTTCTTGTTTTTGGCACTGCATCTCCCGCTTCTCCTTCTCCTCCTCCTCCTCCTCCGTCCATCGTCCGTCCGTCAGCACATCACATCGTAAAAATACAAATCACTGTCACACAGACATCACGACACCCTCCGTATCACGCATCATCACACCAGCACTGTCACCAAGACATCATCGCACCATGACTTAAGCCGGTGCGCGCGTTGCCGCTTTGGGCCGCGGATTTGTTGCACACACCCTATCATCAACACACACACACTAGACAAGAATGGATCATTATAGTGATCCGGCAGGAACTGAATCCTGTAACATGCAGATTAGACAGGAATCGAATTAATATACGATGAAAATTATATATATATGTGTGTGTAATATCACAGTAGACAATGACAGTATAAAACAACAGCGATATAATATATTATATGTCCCCCCAGCTGCGTCTTAAATGCGCCCAGGGCGGGACAAGGCAGGTACGTTTACCTGATCTCCAGTGTGGAGCTTCGTTGGCAGAGGCCACAACTGGAGATCCCTCTGCCCCCTGCCATAAATAAAAATATAATATCATATAATATAAGGACGAAGTTTAAAGTTTAACGTCTATTCAGACGGTACACACACACACACCCCCTGCCTCCGGCAGGGTGGTGCGCGTAAAAATGAGATGAAAATGAGGATGAACGGGGGATGAAAATTGAGATGAGAGTGAAAATGAGATGAACGTTACTTAACCAGGACGCGAAGAGGGGAACGCAAAAGAAGAGGGAAGGAGCAAACACACACCAACACACTTAGCCCGGAGCGGGCGAACCCTGAAAAGGCAAGGGAAAAGAAAAAAGCGGAGGGTCGACGGACACGGACCAAGACCAGCGGAGGGGGGGAAGACGGAAGCGCCTGAACCAACCTGCCACAGCGAAAACCTACAAAAAACCTCAGCACGCGACGGAGCCAACCTACCTGGGGAGGGAAGAGAGCATGAGATAGGGGACCAATGGGGAACTAGTTAGTGAAAAACAAAAACAAAACCAGGATTCAGCTCCTAAAACCTAGAAGTCGTGCGTTGTGCCACTCCAGGCCCGTGTTCAGGTCAGCCACAATAGGCATAAACGGCTTTCAAGTTCCAGCGAATTAGGTGCACAATATGTTTGACCTCACCAGAGAACCATCAAAAGAAAGAAGACCACACCTAAAGATCGTGTACCTGCCTGCGTTCTGTCTCATGTAATGTAACTGCAAAGGTTGCTGCGAAAAAAGGAAGTTTCTGAATGTTCAGAACAGCTTCAAAGATGAAGAAATGCGTCGGCGAGGAATCCCTGGGACCACAGGAGCCGCGGGACTTCGTCAAAGGCACAAAACGGTAAGGCCATCTGTTGCACATTACTTAAACAAATTACTAATTCAAAAGTGTAAATTCGGAAGTCAATTCAGTCGACATTGACCCCAACTGGGGTTGCCTCAATTGGCCCTATGGCACCATGTCGGAGTCACCATAGGAATCACACTAGACAAGAATGGATCATTATAGTGATCCGGCAGGAACTGAATCCTGTAACATGCAGATTAGACAGGAATCGAATTAATATACGATGAAAATTATATATATATGTGTGTGTAATATCACAGTAGACAATGACAGTATAAAACAACAGCGATATAATATATTATATGTCCCCCCAGCTGCGTCTTAAATGCGCCCAGGGCGGGACAAGGCAGGTACGTTTACCTGATCTCCAGTGTGGAGCTTCGATGGCAGAGGCCACAACTGGAGATCCCTCTGCCCCCTGCCATAAATAAAAGTATAATATCATATAATATAAGGACGAAGTTTAACGTCTATTCAGACGGTACACACACACACAGACGTCATCACCACATGGCTATCACACAGACATCGCCACACCATCACTGTCACACAGACATCAACACACCATCACTGTCACACAGACATCAACACAACATCACTGTCACACAGACATCAACACAACATCAGTGTCACACACACATCAACACACCATGACTATCACAGAGACGTCAACACAACTTCCCTCATGTCCCGCACGCGACTCTATCCTGCATCGTTGTTGTAAAGCCTAACATGTGGTGTTATCATGGGTCATCCGGTCCTTTTTTTTGTCTTTTATCATTGATTTATCATGGCTGAATTTCAATTGCATGGCCATTGGGTTTTTCACATTTTTCACATTGCTTGACCACACGTCACCACACCCGGCCTGGCGCGCAGAGCTTCGCCGCAGTCTCCTTGAGCTCCGCCAGCTTGTCCTGCGGCAGCACGCTTGGAAGGCCACCCAGAGCCAAGGACATGGTGCGAGCACGTGCGAGCGTCTGGAATCCAGTCTGAGACCTTTGCACAAATGGCTGCGTAGCACTCACATCAGGCGTCACTTCTTTTGTAAAATCTTCACATGTTCGTTTTACAAGTTCTTCCATGCAGCTAATAGAAAGGAAAACTGCCCCAGACTGAAAAACAAAAAAGAACCAAAAAACAATATTATATATACATATATATATATATATTATATATACCCTCCCAAACATATACATGTCCGACACATACTGTATATGTTGATCATTATTCCCGTGTTGAGTCGGTGATCCTCCCATGTTCCTTTCTCATCCTTTCTCCATCTTTCTCGCATGGTGTGTCCTCTTCAACAGGTGAACCACCCAACGGGTGCAAAGCCACGCCCTTATGGCGAGGCCAACGGGTAAACGAAAGCTCTGGCAATCTAATCCCCCTTGATTGATGGGTAGGAACCCGTGCCCCACCATTCCATAAAAACCTGGTTTATGTAATGGTTGGGTACAGGTATATTTGTATAGAATGGATCCTTTTTTGGGCTTATATATTATGGAATGCCACCATTGTACTACCTAGCAGGCCGGATATGCAAAGAAATGCTTCGCCAGTATGTTATGGAAATGGCAAAAAAATGAACTCTTGAAACCAAGAAAATTTGACTTGTATATTATGGAATTGGTTATTTTTTGAGGGGGTCATTTTAAGGTATCTTAAGATATTTTAAGATAAAATTTCGGTGTATAAAATGGATAATCTTCTATTGTTTCTGTATTTCGTGTTTCAAATACTAGACTTTTCATGATTATTCCATTTTATACACTTCTTATGGCTCGAGGACTTCGACCCGGCAGGGACGGGGCAACACGATGGGATTCACACCGGGACAAAACAACGGGGTAACACAACGGGTAGCCAAACAGGGGGAAACAACGAGAAAATGAGAAATGTCACGTTTATACTTGGTTATATGGATTAGATGTGGTTATATGGGTTATATGTTGTTTTATGGGTTATGTGGGTTATTTGTGGTTATTATCCACAATCTTATATACATATATATATATATATTATATATATATTATATATATATATTATGTTTTTGTATGTTTTATCCACAATCACTTTTCAAACATTCAGTGGTTCATTTCAAGACATCGATCGCTGAAAGAAACTTCCATTTGATTAACAGATCTCCAAGTTTCCGTAAGTGTTCAAACTGGAACCTTCCAAAAAATAGCAAACAACATTTATATTATGGAAATGCCGATTTTGGGACTAATGATTCCAAAGAAAAATGCAGCTGTATGTAATGGAATTACCATCGTTTTGTATGAAATGGAGGGGTGCAACATGGCACCAAAATTTAAGGGTTTTTTGCCCCGTTTTCCAAGATGGGCCGTGTATGAAATGATGTTGGTTTTTCCATTTCATACGGGGCATGGGTTCTTCCATTCCATACAGGTACAGTCAAGGGGGATGCAATCTATACATGCTTGGTCAATCGTGACTTTCCCCAGTGAACTGCAAGGCCAATGTTCTTTTACAATGTCTTCTCCCTTTGTCAAATTGAACAAACCAAACCATGTTCACTGAACAGTCCAAGCCTCTCTCAACATTCCAACTTTCCAAGATGACACCCTAGGACATATCGGTTGTGTCAATACGCTGACAAAACAGCCGAGCCACTAGATTGGGAAACATACATTGCCTTGCCATCCTTGCCCACTTGCAAGTCACGACAGCGCCAATTACTGTGCTTCAAACAAGTTCAGCCCTACAGCCTTGCAAGCTGCACCGCTTTACGAACTACTCTGTACAGATGACTTGCAGTTGCATCAAATGACAACCGAGCCGATTCAACCTCTTCGCATCTCTCGCTATTGAGAGAGATACATTTGCCCACTTGCAAGTCATGACAGCCCAAACTAATGTGCTTGCAACAAGTGAAGGCCACCAAAGATCAGTCATGGCAGGATCTGATCAACCTGAAATCCTATAGAAAATCCTGTGGAAAGCATATCGGGAATAGGTACCTCCTGCAGCCTACTAGTGCTGCGGAGCACCTGCAGGGATTTAGCAGCTCACTTACTCAGTAAGGTCCAGCAGGCACGCTGCTAGCATCATCAGGTCCAAGGCTTCGACAACTGCCTGCCTTGTATTTGCCAAAGCAAGCATCAGAGTTCGCCTTGGCTCGTGCCTTCAAGGCCTTTTGGGCAGCATCCTTGTTCTCAGCCTTGCCTAACCACGTGACAATACAGGTCCTCTGCAAAGCTTTGCCATAGGAGAAGGAGAGGTGCCATGGCAGCTTGCCCGCAAACAGGCTGTTCATGGTGCTCAAGTTGATGGTTGCCTCTTCCTCGTTGTCTTCATTCCGAGCTGACTCGCCCGACAAGAAGAAGATTCCAGGCATGGCGGGAGGCACCGTGCGCAGCAAAGTTTGGCAAGTCAGGGCGGCAATGGTCTCAGCACTGGCTTTCGGGCCACCAAGGCCATTCTTCACCATGTTGGGCTTCAAGACAGCACCCTCCAAGTAGATGTGGTGGTCTGCCAGGGCCTTGAACTGCGCAGCCAAAACCTTCTCAGTCATTTGGGCGCAGTAGTAGATGTCATGATCGCCTTAGTTCCAACATGTTCCTACATGTTCCAACAGAAGGCCAAGTTCTGGCGAGCATCGTAGCAATTCGTAGTACACAGATGTATGTATATAGTATCATTAGAAGAGTTCCAGGTCGTGTTCCCAGCCTCCCCCAAGCCCCGCGGCAGAGTCCGGCAGAGTGGCCATTGGGAACGATTTCAGGCTCCACAATGGGCACCAAGCCCTCGCTCTGAGAGATGGAGGCATAGCGAGCCAAGGTGTGCACGGTATCTGCGATCGCCAGCTCTGTGGGCATACGCTTCGCCGGGTCCAACTGCAGCACGTTGCGCCACTTGGCAAAGCGGGCGCCCTGCTCATAGGCCTGGGGGCAAAGACACCAGATATGGAGGAAAATGGCTAGATATGGCTAGAATCAGAGATAACATATCTTAAACTATGGTAAGATTACCCATTTTCCATCCAAGAGTTGCTATGCTATCTACGATCATCTATAATTTGCCATGATGTACCATAGTTTAGACTAACTCACCATAATTTCCCATAGTTCACCATGCTTTACTGTCACCATTTCAGTGGCTTGGACCGCTTGGAGCACCCCTGCCTGCTGGCATCTTTGCTGCAGGTCATCCAAGCCAACAGTGGCCACCTCTGGGTGTCCCAAAGGGCCTTTCGGGGTTCCCCAGATGCCCTTCCTTGGAGTTGCGAAGAATGCGAAGATCTGTCCAAGTGACACCAAGAAACGAAGAAAACATATTGTTTAACCCCGTTTCCATCGTTTTTGTACAATTTTGCTTTTCCATCTTTTTGAAGGTTGATTCTTTGGCTGGGTCTACACCAATCAACTTATCATTTTGGGGTAATTCATGGACGGATAAGCGGAGATACCGTCCAGTAAACGAAACGAACATAGCTATGGAAAATCCACCAGATCAAGTAGATCATTTCCGAACGGGACACCTATGGATTTCCATAGCTATAGCTTAAATTACGCTTGGGATTCCCAGTACAAATAAGGATTTTTTGTGGCAAATAAGGATCAAAAAAAAAAAAGGACGATCGTCACCAAATCGTCAAGAAACTTGGAAAGGGAGGATCCTTGAAACAATGATCATGCCATTGAATTGAACGAAAGAGAGTAGCCTTGCCCTGTGCATCCCGTTGAAACAGCGTCTCCCAGTGGAGGATCACTCCGCCGATGTGCTCGCTCAAGCCGGGAGTCGAGAAGCACATTGACCGGTACTCTGCCCTGTTCTCGGCCACATCCTGGGTCACAGCATGTCACAGCATGTCACAGCATGTCACAGCATGTCACAGCATGTCATGTCACAGCACCACAACTGTCCTGGCTCTAAATCCACTGGCAGACTGGCAGGCTCAACATGGCTATGGCTAAAAGATGCTAAAAGTATGTTAAAGATTGCCCAAATCCTGCGCTCACCTGCCACAATCTCATCATTTGCAACATGTCTTCAATTCGTGTCCTTATGCTTCCATCCAATCCACTCCCACCTTGTGAAGAAAAAAAAAGCAGCTATAAATCCCATCCAATCTTCATTTTAAGTGAAATCACCATTTTCCTATATTTTCAAATCATTGTTCATGGCGGTTCAACTGGGATTGTTCATCAACGCGCTCAGGCGATCAACGGCCCAGTGAGGCCCAGTGTCTGGGATCTTTGCCGCTTCTGCATGACGCGCCCTGAGCCACGGCCCACCACTTTCATCAGCGGCCAAGAAACCCTTGCCTCAGTGGCATATCAAGGCGGGTCAATATGGTCAATGGTTGGCAAACAAGTGGAAACATATTGTGATTTAGTAATGTTAATTGGGTTTAAGATAATGACATTTAATATCATTTTAATAGATTTTAATAGGATTTAATGGTACGAGACCCAAAAAAATGATGGCAACTCTTGTGTACTGCATGGTGTACATACCAACATTGGTCACCTGGCCCCAAGTTACCCTGAAAAAGGTCGTACCTTCAACTTCAAATAGGTCTTGGACACTTGGTCGCCAACAACTTGACACACACAAATATCTGAGAAAAGTATAGAAAAGTGGTTTCGAGAGGTTGCAGTTTACAACCAATGTGTTGGTACTTCAACCTATTTTTCCCCACATCTCCGTGTGGAGTTCTTGTTTTTGGCACTGCATCTCCCGAGCACGTGCATTGCAATTCATGTCGCAGGCGTGGCACGTCATAGGGACTTGACTTGAGCTGGTGCGCGCGTTGCCGCTTTGGGCCGCGGAGTGGTTTCACACACAGACGTCATCACACCATGGCTATCACACAGACATCACCACACTGTCACTGTCACACAGACATCAACACAAGATCACTATCACACAAACGTCAACACAACTTCCCTGTCACGCAATCATGTCCCGCACGCTTCTACATTATATATCTCCACCGTCTTTTCTCTATTTCACATTGTAAAGCCTAACATGTTATCCGGTCCTTTTTTTTGTCTTTTATCATGGCTGAATTTCAATTGCATGGCCATTGGGTTTTTCACATTTTTCACATTGCTTGACCACACGTCACCACACCCGGCCTGGCGCGCAGAGCTTCGCCGCAGTCTCCTTGAGCTCCGCCAGCTTGTCCTGCGGCAGCACGCTTGGAAGGCCACCCAGAGCCAAGGACATGGTGCGAGCACGTGCGAGCGTCTGGAATCCAGTCTGAGACCTTTGCACAAATGGCTGCGTAGCACTCACATCAGGCGTCACTTCTTTTGTAAAATCTTCACATGTTCGTTTTACAAGTTCTTCCATGCAGCTAATAGAAAGGAAAAACTGCCCCAGACTGAAAAACAAAAAAGAAAAGAAAAACAATTACTATATAATATATATATATATATACCCTCCCAGATATATACAACATGTCCGACACATACTGTATATGTTGATCATTGTTCCCGTGTTGAGTCGGTGATCCTCCCATGTTCCTTTCTCATCCTTTCTCCATCTTTCTCGCATGGTGTGTCCTCTTCAACAGGTGAACCACCCAACGGGTGCAAAGCCACGCCCTTATGGCGAGGCCAACGGATAAACGAAAGCTCTGGCAATCTATACATGCTTGGTCAATCGTGACTTTCCCCAGTGAACTGCAAGGCCAATGTTCTTTTGCAATGTCTTCTCACTTTGTCAAATTGAACAAACCATGTTCACTGAACAGTCCAAGCCTCTCTCAACATTCCAACTTTCCAAGATGACACCCTAGGACATATCGGTTGTGTCAATACGCTGACAAAACAGCCGAGCCACTAGATTGGGAAACATACATTGCCTTGCCATCCTTGCCCACTTGCAAGTCACGACAGCGCCAATTACTGTGCTTCAAACAAGTTCAGCCCTACAGCCTTGCAAGCTGCACCGCTTTACGAACTACTCTGTACAGATGACTTGCAGTTGCATCAAATGACAACCGAGCCGATTCAACCTCTTCGCATCTCTCGCTATTGAGAGAGATACATTTGCCCACTTGCAAGTCATGACAGCCCAAACTAATGTGCTTGCAACAAGTGAAGGCCACCAAAGATCAGTCATGGCAGGATCTGATCAACCTGAAATCCTATAGAAAATCCTGTGGAAAGCATATCGGGAATAGGTACCTCCTGCAGCCTACTAGTGCTGCGGAGCACCTGCAGGGATTTAGCAGCTCACTTACTCAGTAAGGTCCAGCAGGCACGCTGCTAGCATCATCAGGTCCAAGGCTTCGACAACTGCCTGCCTTGTATTTGCCAAAGCAAGCATCAGAGTTCGCCTTGGCTCGTGCCTTCAAGGCCTTTTGGGCAGCATCCTTGTTCTCAGCCTTGCCTAACCACGTGACAATACAGGTCCTCTGCAAAGCTTTGCCATAGGAGAAGGAGAGGTGCCATGGCAGCTTGCCCGCAAACAGGCTGTTCATGGTGCTCAAGTTGATGGTTGCCTCTTCCTCGTTGTCTTCATTCCGAGCTGACTCGCCCGACAAGAAGAAGATTCCAGGCATGGCGGGAGGCACCGTGCGCAGCAAAGTTTGGCAAGTCAGGGCGGCAATGGTCTCAGCACTGGCTTTCGGGCCACCAAGGCCATTCTTCACCATGTTGGGCTTCAAGACAGCACCCTCCAAGTAGATGTGGTGGTCTGCCAGGGCCTTGAACTGCGCAGCCAAAACCTTCTCAGTCATTTGGGCGCAGTAGTAGATGTCATGATCGCCTTAGTTCCAACATGTTCCTACATGTTCCAACAGAAGGCCAAGTTCTGGCGAGCATCGTAGCAATTCGTAGTACACAGATGTATGTATATAGTATCATTAGAAGAGTTCCAGGTCGTGTTCCCAGCCTCCCCCAAGCCCCGCGGCAGAGTCCGGCAGAGTGGCCATTGGGAACGATTTCAGGCTCCACAATGGGCACCAAGCCCTCGCTCTGAGAGATGGAGGCATAGCGAGCCAAGGTGTGCACGGTATCTGCGATCGCCAGCTCTGTGGGCATACGCTTCGCCGGGTCCAACTGCAGCACGTTGCGCCACTTGGCAAAGCGGGCGCCCTGCTCATAGGCCTGGGGGCAAAGACACCAGATATGGAGGAAAATGGCTAGATATGGCTAGAATCAGAGATAACATATCTTAAACTATGGTAAGATTACCCATTTTCCATCCAAGAGTTGCTATGCTATCTACGATCATCTATAATTTGCCATGATGTACCATAGTTTAGACTAACTCACCATAATTTCCCATAGTTCACCATGCTTTACTGTCACCATTTCAGTGGCTTGGACCGCTTGGAGCACCCCTGCCTGCTGGCATCTTTGCTGCAGGTCATCCAAGCCAACAGTGGCCACCTCTGGGTGTCCCAAAGGGCCTTTCGGGGTTCCCCAGATGCCCTTCCTTGGAGTTGCGAAGAATGCGAAGATCTGTCCAAGTGACACCAAGAAACGAAGAAAACATATTGTTTAACCCCGTTTCCATCGTTTTTGTACAATTTTGCTTTTCCATCTTTTTGAAGGTTGATTCTTTGGCTGGGTCTACACCAATCAACTTATCATTTTGGGGTAATTCATGGACGGATAAGCGGAGATACCTTCCAGTAAACGAAACGAACATAGCTATGGAAAATCCACCTGATCAAGTAGATCATTTCCGAACGGGACACCTATGGATTTCCATAGCTATAGCTTAAACCGTATTGGGTATTCCCAGTAGATTCCCCAATTTTTTGTGGCTTAACCAATTGGGAAATTAAGAAAACCATAAAATCACCAAATCCAAGCTTCTTGTTGTAGCCCTTGTCCACCTTGATACCAGGGATCATGCCATTGTCCTTGATGATGTCCACTATGGCCTTGCCCTGTGCATCCCGTTGAAACAGCGTCTCCCAGTGGAGGATCACTCCGCCGATGTGCTCGCTCAAGCCGGGAGTCGAGAAGCACATTGACCGGTACTCTGCCCTGTTCTCGGCCACATCCTGGGTCAGAGCATGTCACAGCATGTCACAGCATGTCACAGCATGTCACATCATGTCACAGCACCACAACTGTCCTGGCTCTAAATCCACTGGCAGACTGGCAGGCTCAACATGGCTATGGCTAAAAGATGCTAAAAGTATGTTAAAGATTGCCCAAATCCTGCGCTCACCTGCCACAATCTCATCATTTGCAACATGTCTTCAATCCGTGTCCTTATGCTTCCATCCAATCCACTCCCACCCCGTGAAGGAAAAAAAAGATAAAAAGCAGCTATAAATCCCATCCAATCTTCATTTTGGGTGAAATCACCATTTTCATCCATTTTCCTCCTATATTTTCCTATGCTTCAACCGGGTCAACCCGGGTTATAACCGGGTTATGTATGTTATTTTCAAATTGTTCAACTGGGATTTTTCGTCAACGCGCTCAGGCCCGGATCAACGGCCCAGTGAGGCCCAGTGTCTGGGATTTTTGCCGCTTCGGCATGACGCGCCCTGAGCCACGGCCCACCACTTTCATCAGCGGCCAAGAAACCCTTGCCTCAGTGGATCTCAGTGGCATATCAAGGCGGGTCAATATGGTCAATGGTTGGCAAACAAGTGGAAACATATTGTGATTTAGTAATTTTAATAGGGTTTAAGACTAAGATAATGACATGTTTTAATATCATTTAATAGGATTTAATGGTACGAGTTACGAGACCCCAAAAAATGATCGCAACTCTTGTGTACTGCATGGTGTACATACCAACATTGGTCACCTGGCCCCAAGTTACCCTGAAAAAGGTTGTACCATCAATTTCAAATAGGTCTTGGACACTTGGCCGCCAACAACTTGACACACACAAATATCTGAGAAAAGTATAGAAAAGTGGCTTCCAGAGGTTGCAGTTTACAACCAACGTGTTGGTACTTCAACCTATTTTTCCCCACATCTCCGTGTGGAGTTCTTGTTTTTGGCACTGCATCTCCCGAGCACGTGCATTGCAATTCGTGTGGCAGGCGTGGCACGTCATAGGGACTTGACTTGAGCTGGTGCGCGCGTTGCCGCTTTGGGCCGCGGAGTGGTTTCACACACCCTATCATCAACACACAGACGTCGACATGCCATCATCAAGACACACAGACGTCATCACACCATGGCTATCACACAGACATCACCACACTGTCACACAAACATCAACACAACATCACTGCCACAGCCATCGATCAACACACAGACATCAACACAAGATCACTATCACACAAACGTCAACACAACTTCCCTGTCACGCAATCATGTCCCGCACGCTTCTACATTATCTATCTCCACCAACTTTTCTCTATTTCGCATTGTAAAGCTTAACATGTGGTGTTATCATGGGTTATCCGGTCATCCGGTCCATTTTTTGGTCTTTGTTCATGGCTGAATTTCAATTGCATGGCCATTGGGTTTTTCACATTTTTCACATTGTTTGACCACACGTCACCACACCCGGCCTGGCGCGCAGAGCTTCGCCGCGGTCTCCTTGAGTTCCGCCAGCTTGTCCTGTGGCAGCACGCTTGGAAGGCCACCCAGAGCCAAGGACATGGTGCGAGCACGTGCGAGCGTCTGGAATCCAGTCTGAGACCTTTGCACAAATGGCAGCGTAGCACTCACAACTGACCGGATGGTGGATGTGGGGTGGCTCAGTTTCCTGGAGTCAGGCGTCACTTCTTTTGTAAAATCTTCACATGTTCATTTTACAAGTTCTTCCATGCAGCTAATAGCAAGGAAAACTTCCCCAGACTGAAAAACAAAAAAGAAAAGAAAAACAATTATATATATATACCCTCCCAGATATATACAACATGTCCGAGACATACTGTATATGTTGATCATTATTCCCGTGTTGAGTCGGTGATTCTCCCATTTTCCTTTCTCATCCTTGCTCCATCTTTCTCGCATGGTGTGTCCTCTTCAACAGGTGAACCACCCAACGGGTGCAAAGCCACGCCCTTATGGCGAGGCCAACGGGTAAACGAAAGCTCTCGCAATCTATACATGCTTGGTCAATCGTGACTTTCCCCAGTGAACTGCAAGGTCAATGTTCTTTTACAATGTCTTCTCACTTTGTCAAATTGAACAAACCATGTTCACTGAACGGTCCAAGCCTCTCTCAACATTCCAACTTTCCAAGATGACACCCTAGGACATATTAGGGTTGTGTCAATGCGCTGACAAAACAGCCGAGCCACTAGATTGGGAAACATACATTGCCTTGCCATCCTTGCCCACTTGCAAGTCACGACAGCGCCAATTACTGTGCTTCAAACAAGTTCAGCCCTACAGCCTTGCAAGCTGCACCGCTTTACGAACTACTCTGTACAGATGACTTGCAGTTGAACGCAGTTGCATCAAATGACAACCGAGCCGATTCAACCTCTTCGCATCTCTCGCTATTGAGAGAGATACATTTGCCCACTTGCAAGTCATGACAGCCCAAACTAATGTGCTTGCAACAAGTGAAGGCCACCAAAGATCAGTCATGGCAGGATCTGATCAACCTGAAATCCTATAGAAAATCCTGTGGAAAGCATATCGGGAATAGGTACCTCCTGCAGCCTACTAGTGCTGCGGAGCACCTGCAGGGATTTAGCAGCTCACTTACTCAGTAAGGTCCAGCAGGCACGCTGCTAGCATCATCAGGTCCAAGGCTTCGACAACTGCCTGCCTTGTATTTGCCAAAGCAAGCATCAGAGTTCGCCTTGGCTCGTGCCTTCAAGGCCTTTTGGGCAGCATCCTTGTTCTCAGCCTTGCCTAACCACGTGACAATACAGGTCCTCTGCAAAGCTTTGCCATAGGAGAAGGAGAGGTGCCATGGCAGCTTGCCCGCAAACAGGCTGTTCATGGTGCTCAAGTTGATGGTTGCCTCTTCCTCGTTGTCTTCATTCCGAGCTGACTCGCCCGACAAGAAGAAGATTCCAGGCATGGCGGGAGGCACCGTGCGCAGCAAAGTTTGGCAAGTCAGGGCGGCAATGGTCTCAGCACTGGCTTTCGGGCCACCAAGGCCATTCTTCACCATGTTGGGCTTCAAGACAGCACCCTCCAAGTAGATGTGGTGGTCTGCCAGGGCCTTGAACTGCGCAGCCAAAACCTTCTCAGTCATTTGAGCGCAGTAGTAGATGTCATGATCGCCTTAGTTCCAACATGTTCCTACATGTTCCAACATTCTGGTGAGCAGTTAGCATCGTAGTAATTCGTAGCATACTAATACAGATGTATATATATAATAGAGATATATATATATACACACGTATAATTAGTATCATTAGCAAGAGTTCCAGGTCATGTTCCCAGCCTCCCCCAAGCCCCGCGGCAGAGTCCGGCAGAGTGGCCATTGGGAACGATTTCAGGCTCCACAATGGGCACCAAGCCCTCGCTCTGAGAGATGGAGGCATAGCGAGCCAAGGTGTGCACGGTATCTGCGATCGCCAGCTCTGTGGGCATACGCTTCGCCGGGTCCAACTGCAGCACGTTGCGCCACTTGGCAAATCGGGCGCCCTGCTCATAGGCCTGGGAGCAAAGACACCAGATATGGAGGAAAATGGCTAGATATGGCTAGAATCAGAGATAACATATCTTAAACTATGGTAAGATTACCCATTTTCCATCCAAGAGTTGCTATGCTATCTATGATCATCTATAATTTGCCATGATGTACCATAGTTTAGACTAACTCACCATAATTTCCCATAGTTCACCATGCTTTACCATCACCATTTCAGTGGTTTGGACCGCTTGGAGCACCCCTGCCTGCTGGCATCTTTGCTGCAGGTCATCCAAGCCAACAGTGGCCACCTCTGGGTGTCCCAAAGGGCCTTTCGGGGTTCCCCAGATGCCCTTCCTTGGAGTTGCGAAGAATGCGAAGATGTGTCCAAGTGACACCAAGAAACAAAAAAAAATATTGTTTAAGCCGTTTAAGGCGTTTAAGCCCCCAAAAATAGGAAAGGTTCAACGCACCATCGTTTTTGTACAATTTTGCTTTTTTGCTTTTCCATCTTTTTGAAGGTTGATTCATTGGCTGGGTCGTAGACAATCAACTTATCATTTTGGGGTAATTCATGGACGGATAAGCGGGGATACCTTCCAGTAAACGAAACGAACATAGCTATGGAAAATCCACCAGATCAAGTAGATCATGTCCGAACGGGACACCTATGGATTTCCATAGCTGTAGCTTAAATTACCGTATTGGGTATTCCCAGTAGATTCCCCAATTTTTTGTGGCTTAACCAATTGGGAAATTAAGAAAACCATAGAAAATCACCAAATCCAAGCTTCTTGTTGTAGCCCTTGTCCACCTTGATACCAGGGATCATGCCATTGTCCTTGATGATGTCTACTATGGCCTTGCCCTGTGCATCCCGTTGAAACAGCGTCTCCCAGTGGAGGATCACTCCGCCGATGTGCTCGCTCAAGCCGGGAGTCGAGAAGCACATTGACCGGTACTCTGCCCTGTTCTCGGCCACATCCTGGGTCACAGCATGTCACAGCATGTCACAGCATGTCACAGCATGTCACAGCACCACAACTGTCCTGGCTCTAAATCCACTGGCAGACTGGCAGGCTCAACATGGCTATGGCTAAAAGATGCTAAAAGTATGTTAAAGATTGCCCAAATCCTGCGCTCACCTGCCACAATCTCATCATTTGCAACATGTCTTCAACATGGCTATGGCTAAAAGATGCTAAAAGTATGTTAAAGATTGCCCAAATCCTGCGCTCACCTGCCACAATCTCATCATTTGCAACATGTCTTCAATCCGTGTCCTTATGCTTCCATCCAATCCACTCCCACCCCGTGAGGGAAAAAAAAGATAAAAAGCAGCTATAAATCCCATCCAATCTTCATTTTGGGTGAAATCACCATTTTCATCCATTTTCCTCCTATATTTTCCTATGCTTCAACCGGGTCAACCCGGGTTATAACCGGGTTATGTATGTTATTTTCAAATTGTTCAACTGGGATTTTTCGTCAACGCGCTCAGGCCCGGATCAACGGCCCAGTGAGGCCCAGTGTCTGGGATTTTTGCCGCTTCGGCATGACGCACCCTGAGCCACGGCCCACCACTTTCATCAGCGGCCAAGAAACCCTTGCCTCAGTGGATCTCAGTGGCATATCAAGGCGGGTCAATATGGTCAATGGTTGGCAAACAAGTGGAAACATATTGTGATTTAGTAATTTTAATAGGGTTTAAGACTAAGATAATGACATGTTTTAATATCATTTAATAGGATTTAATGGTACGAGACCCAAAAAAATGATCGCAACTCTTGTGTACTGCATGGTGTACGTACCAACATTGGTCACCTGGCCCCAAGTTACCCTGAAAAAGGTTGTACCATCAACTTCAAATAGGTCTTGGACACTTGGCCGCCAACAACTCGACACACACAAATATCTGAGAAAAGTATAGAAAAGTCGCCTCGAGAGGTTGCAGTTTACAACCAACGTGTTGGTACTTCAACCTATTTTTCCCCACATCTCTGTGTGGAGTTCTTGTTTTTGGCACTGCATCTCCCGCTTCTCCTTCTCCTCCTCCTCCTCCGTCCATCGTCCGTCCGTCAGCACATCACATCGTAAAAATACAAATCACTGTCACACAGACATCACGACACCCTCCGTATCACGCATCATCACACCAGCATTGTCACCAAGACATCATCACACTGACTTAAGCTGGTGCGCACGTTGCCGCTTTGGGGCGTGGGATGGTTTCGCGTGGCAGTACAGCATTTGGTGCATCTGGCTGCTGTTTCATGTGGCAGGCATGGGACTTGGAGCACGTGCATTGCAATTCGTGTGGCAGGCATGGCACGTCCTAGGGACTTGACTTGAGCTGGTGCGCGCGTTGCCGCTTTGGGCCGCGGAGTGATCAACATGCCATGCTATCAAACATAGTTTTCGCATCTCGGTTTAGAAGCATTGTTTACGAGTCATAGTTTACGAGTCATGGTTTACGAAGCATTGTTTACGAGTCATGGTTTACCGAAGAAGAAGTCAACCTTGTTCTGACGGTCTGTGTGTTGATAATAGCGTGTTGACGTGCATGTACTTGCAAAGAGGAGGTGGAATTTTGATCGTGTAAGATGTGACTTTGCATGTACTTGCCGGAGGGGGTGGGATTTTGATATGCCATCATCAAGACACACAGACGTCATCACACCATGGCTATCACACAGACATCACCACACTGTCACACAGACATCAACACACCATTACTATCACACAGACATCAACACAACTTCCCTGTCACGCAATCATGTCCCGCACGCTTCTACATTATCTATCTCCACCAACTTTTCTCTATTTCGCATTGTAAAGCCTAACATGTGGAGTTTTTCATGGGTTATCCGGTCATCCGGTCCATTTTTTGGTCTTTTTTCATGGCTGAATTTCAATTGCATGGCCATTGGGTTTTTCACATTTTTCATTTTGTTTGACCACACGTCACCACACCCAGCCTGGCGCGCAGAGCTTCGCCGCGGTCTCCTTGAGTTCCGCCAGCTTGTCCTGCGGCAGCACGCTTGGAAGGCCGCCCAGAGCCAAGGACATGGTGCGAGCACGTGCGAGCGTCTGGAATCCAGTCTGAGACCTTTGCACAAATGGCTGCGTAGCACTCACAACTGACCGGATGGTGGATGTCTGTGGGGTGGGCTCAGTTTCCTGGACGTCCTGGAGTCAGGCGTCATTTCTTTTGTAAAATCTTCACATGTTCATTTTACAAGTTCTTCCATGCAGCTAATATAAAGGAAAACTGCCCCAGACTGAAAAACAAAAAAGAAAAGAAAAACAATTATATATATATTTATATTTATATATATATACCCTCCCAGATATATACAACATGTCCGAGACATACAAGTACTGTATATGTTGATCATTATTCCCGTGTTGAGTCGGTGATTCTCCCATTTTCCTTTCTCATCCTTTCTCCATCTTTCTCGCATGGTGTGTCCTCTTCAACAGGTGAACCACCCAACGGGTGCAAAGCCACGCCCTTATGGCGAGGCCAACGGGTAAACGAAAGCTCTGGCAATCTATACATACTTGGTCAATCGTGACTTTCCCCAGTGAACTGCAAGGTCAATGTTATTTTACAATGTCTTCTCACTTTGTCAAATTGAACAGACCATGTTCACTGAACGGTCCAAGCCTCTCTCAACATTCCATTTCCAAGAGGACACCCTAGGACATATCGGTTGTGTCAATACGCTGACAAAACAGCCAAGCCACTAGATTGGGAAACATACATTGCCTTGCCATCCTTGCCCACTTACAAGTCACGACAGCGCCAATTACTGTGCTTGAAACAAGTTCAGCCCTACGGCCTTGCAAGCTGCACCGCTTTAAGAACTACTCTGTACAGATGACTTGCAGCTGCACCAAATGACAGCGGAGCCGATTCAACCTCTTCGCATCTCTCGCTAAATAGAGAGACATACATTTGCTCACTTGCAAGTCATGACAGCCCAAACTAATGTGCTTGCAACAAGTGAAGGCCACCAAAGATCAGTCATGGCAGGATCTGATCAACCTGAAATCCTATAGAAAATCCTGTGGAAAGCATATCGGAAATAGGTACCTCCTGCAGCCTACTAGTGCTGCGGAGCACCCGCAGGGATTTAGCAGCTCACTTACTCAGTAAGGTCCAGCAGGCACGCTGCTAGCATCATCAGGTCCAAGGCTTCGACAACTGCCTGCCTTGTATTTGCCAAAGCAAGCATCAGAGTTCGCCTTGGCTCGTGCCTTCAAGGCCTTTTGGGCACCATACTTGTTCTCAGCCTTGCCTAACCACGTGACAATACAAGTCCTCTGCAAAGCTTTGCCATAGGAGAAGGAGAGGTGCCATGGCAGCTTGCCCGCAAACAGGCTGTTCATGGTGCTCAAGTTGATGGTTGCCTCTTCCTCGTTGTCTTCATTCCGAGCTGACTCGCCCGACAAGAAGAAGATTCCAGGCATGGCGGGAGGCACCGTGCGCAGCAAAGTTTGGCAAGTCAGGGCGGCAATGGTCTCAGCACTGGCTTTCGGGCCACCAAGGCCATTCTTCACCATGTTGGGCTTCAAGACAGCACCCTCCAAGTAGATGTGGTGGTCTGCCAGGGCCTTGAACTGCGCAGCCAAAACCTTCTCAGTCATTTGGGCGCAGTAGTAGATGTCATGATCGCCTTAGTTCCAACATGTTCCAACATGTTCCAACAGAAGGCCAAGTTACGTTCTGGTGAGCAGTGAGCATCATAGTAATTGGAGGTATACGGATGTGTATATATATATATATATAATTAGTATCATTAGAAGAGTTCCAGGTCGTGTTCCAGCCTCCCCCAAGCCCCGCGGCAGAGTCCGGCAGAGTGGCCATTGGGAACGATTTCAGGCTCCACAATGGGCACCAAGCCCTCACTCTGAGAGATGGAGGCATAGCGAGCCAAGGTGTGCACGGTATCTGCGATCGCCAGCTCTGTGGGCATACGCTTCGCCGGGTCCAACTGCAGCACGTTGCGCCACTTGGCAAAGCGGGCACCCTGCTCATAGGCCTGGGAGCAAAGACACCAGATATGGAGAAAAATGGCTAGATATGGCTAGATAAAGAGATAACATATCTTAAACTATGGTAAGATTACCCATTTTCCATCCAAGAGTTGCTATGCTATCTATGATCATCTATAATTTGCCATGATGTACCATAGTTTAGACTAACTCACCATAATTTCCCATAGTTCACCATGCTTCACTGTCACCATTTCAGTGGCTTGGACCGCTTGGAGCACCCCTGCCTGCTGGCATCTTTGCTGCAGGTCATCCAAGCCAACAGTGGCCACCTCTGGGTGTCCCAAAGGGCCTTTCGGGGTTCCCCAGATGCCCTTCCTTGGAGTTGCGAAGAATGCGAAGATCTGTCCAAGTGACACCAAGAAACGAAGAAAACATATTGTTTGACCCGTTTAAGCCCCAAAAAGATAGGAAAGGTTCAACGCACCATCGTTTTTGTACAATTTTGTTTTTCCATCTTTTTGAAGGTTGATTCTTTGGCTGGGTCGTAGACAATCAACTTATCATTTTTGGGTAATTCATGGACGGATAAGCGGAGATACCTTCCAGTAAACGAAACGAACATAGCTATGGAAAATCCACCAGATCCCAGTAGGTTCCCCAATTTTTTGTGGCTTAACCAATTGGGAAATTAAGAAATCATAGAAAATCACCAAATCCAAGCTTCTTGTTGTAGCCCTTGTCCACCTTGATACCAGGGATCATGCCATTGTCCTTGATGATGTCCACTATGGCCTTGCCCTGTGCATCCCGTTGAAACAGCGTCTCCCAGTGGAGGATCACTCCGCCGATGTGCTCGCTCAAGCCGGGAGTCGAGAAGCACATTGACCGGTACTCTGCCCTGTTCTCGGCCACATCCTGGGTCACAGCATGTCACAGCATGTCACAGCATGTCACAGCATGTCACAGCATGTCACAGCATGTCACAGCACCACAACTGTCCTGGCTCTAAATCCACTGGCAGACTGGCAGGCTCAACATGGCTATGGCTAAAAGATGGTAAAAGTCGGTAAAAGTATTTTAAAGATTGCCCAAATCCTGCGCTCACCTGCCACAATCTCATCATTTGCAACATGTCTTCAATCCGTGTCCTTATGCTTCCATCCAATCCACTCCCACCCCGTGAAGGAAAAAAAAAGCAGCTATAAATCCCATCCAATCTTCATTTTGGGTGAAATCACCATTTTCCGGGTTAACCCGGGTCACGTATGTTATTTTCAAATCATTGTTCATGGCGGTTCAACTGGTATTTTTCATCAACGCTCAGGCCCGGATCAACAGCCCAGTGAGGCCCAGCGTCTGGGATCTTTGCCGCTTCTGCATGACGCGCCCTGAGCCACGGCCCACCACTTTCATCAGCGGCCAAGAAACCCTTGCCTCAGTGGCATATCAAGGCGGGTCAATATGGTCAATGGTGGGCCAACAAGTGGAAACATAACTATGGTGATTTAGTAACTTTAATTGGGCTTAAGATAATGACATTTAATATCAGTTTAATAGATTTTAATAGGATTTAATGGTACAAGACCCAAAAAAATGATCGCAACTCTTGTGCATGGTGTACATACCAACATTGGTCACCTGGCCCCAAGTTACCCTGAAAAAGGTCGTACCATCAACTTCAAATAGGTCTTGGACACTTGGTCGCCAACAACTTGACACACACACACAAATATCTGAGAAAAGTATAGAAAAGTGGCTTCGAGAGGTTACAGTTTACAACCAACGTGTTGGTACTTCAACCTATTTTTCCCCACATCTCCGTGTGGGGTTCTTTTTTTTGGCGCTGCATCTCCCGCTTCTCCTTCTCCTCCTCCTTCTCCTCCGTCCGTCGTCCGTCCGTCAGCACATCACATCGCATCAATAATACAAATCACTATCGCACAGACATCACGATACCCTCCGTATCACGCATCATCACCCCAGCACTGTCCGCAAGACATCATCACACACCATATCACACCATATCACACCATGACTTAAGCTGGTGCGCGCGGTGCCACTTTGGGGCGCGGGATGGCTTCGCGTGGCAGGCGCAGCATTTGGTGCATCTGGCTGCTGTTTCGTGTGGCAGGCATGGCACGTCATAGGGACTTGACTTGAGCTGGTGCGTGCGTTGCCGCTTTGGGCCGCGGAGTGGTTTCACACACCCTATCATTAACACGCCATGCTATCACAGACACGTCAACACGCTATCATCAACACACACACCATCAACACACCATGACTATCACACAGACATCAACACACCATCACTGTCACACACACATAAACGCAACATCACTGCCACACAGCCATCGACACACAATCATCAACACACAGACATCAACACGCGATCGCTCTCACACAAACATCAACACAACTTCCCTGTCACGCAATCATGTCCCGCACGCTTCTACATTATCTATCTCCACCGTCTTTTCTCTATTTCGCATTGTGAAGCCTAACATGTGGGGTTATCATGGGTTATCATGGGTTATCCGGTCCTTTTTCTTATCCTTTTTCATGGCTGAATCGGAATTTCAATTGCATGGCCATTGGGTTTTTCACATTTTTCACATGACCACGCGTCACCACACCCGGCCTGGCGCGCAGAGCTTCGCCGCGGTCTCCTTGAGTTCCGCCAGCTTGTCCTGCGGCAGCACGCTTGGAAGGCCGCCCAGAGCCAAGGACATGGTGCGAGCACGTGCGAGCGTCTGGAATCCAGTCTGAGACCTTTGCACAAATGGCTGCGTAGCACTCACAACTGACCGGATGGTGGATGTCTGTGGGGTGGCTCAGGTTCCTGGAGTCAGGCGTCACTTCTTTTGTAAAATCTTCACATGTTCATTTTACAATTTAGTTCCATTCATCCACTTCAAACCTTTTTACCATTTCTTCCATCATCTTCCATCCGTTCTCTCCTTGCTTACCTGTACCTCCTCAACCCTCCACCATGGCAGGTGCGCCTAAGCCGATTGAACTTTCCAGGCGATCTTCAGCATCTCAGGCGGCACCATTGCTGCCCAGTGGTGTCCTGCTTGCCAATTGGAATCATCATAGGGGGGTTGAAAGTATGGAAAATATCGAAACTAACAACCAATTTGCTCAATTTTGCCAATCATACATGAATGTATGGATATTCATTCATGTAAATGTACAACAACAAATCCGTTACCCGTACTTATCATTTAATAACCATCATAAAGCAGAGCAGAGAATGACAAAATGAAACAAGAGATTGACGAAGAGGTGAATAGAGAGATTGATTATGATTTATTGATGATATTATTGATGAAAAGAATAAGAGAATCTCAGAGAGACGAAGAGAATAAGCTTCAAATAGACAGGATTGCAGCGATGGTAGTGAAGAGGTTTAGCAGTCGGCAGGTCAGTCAGCAACCGCTAGAGTCATACCTTTCATTCTTGGCAGTGCCACATATTGCCACAGTGCATTGTCCAGAAGTACGACGCGATATGACGTGATATTATATACATATATATATATTTATTTATTTATATTATATATTTATTCATTTGTATGATGTTCATTGATGTTCCTTTATACTTTCTGATCTCCCCAAGATTAGATATCGTGATGGTTTTCCAGGTGCTAGGAATCTTGGCCTTTTTCAAGGATGGATGTAGATGCGATTTGGTCACTTCACTGGTGTGTTGCAAATTGTTATCAGCCTTTTTTCCTTCGTGTTCTCGTGTCTCATCGTTGTCGTCGTTGTTGTTTTCGTCGTCGTCGTCGTCGTCATCATCATCGTCCTCGTTGTATAGATTCTATGACGTGCTCTACTTTTTTATCATTTTGGTTGTCCTAGCATGTCCTAGTGGTTCTGATCCCTATTGCTGTTTCCCTCGTCATGGTTGTAGCTTGCTGTTGTGATTGCCTGTCTCAGGCAACCTGCTCCATCGCCAAGGCCAGCTATGAGCCAGCTATGATTCTGCATCAGTTGTTCTACCAGAATCATAGCCTGCAAAAACATGCAATGACGTTGGATAGCATCCAATCAGATCCACCCCGTCTTGTATGGTGTCCCTCATTCTTGGGAACCCCCAGCAGAAGAAAATATCCAGGCTCTTAGAATTTAAGCTCAAAGTGAGCTGGATGGATTTAAGATCATTTAAGCATCAAACATTGGGGAAATATGATGATTTTTGATGATTTAAACCAACTTCCCACCTGCTGGCTCCACTTGACTCCACTTGGAGCCGATGCTGCGCTTTCTCGCCTCTGGAAATACGTCATCAATTTGAGTCAATTGAAAGTACATGGAACACCAAGAATACATCCAGAATGAATTCTCATGAAATTTCATACATTATTGATGAACACATGAAGAATACACAGGGAAAACGAAATAAGAGTAAATAAGATGTAAACAGCTCGACGTCGATAAACAAAATGAATGTCCGAATGACAAAGACTTGGTCTGGCTTTGGAAAAGCTGAACGGACATGGGGAAATTCACTGCAAAGATTTGCAAAGTCTTTTGTCCGAGCGCTTGTATTTCTGAACGAACAATATCCATGAAACATTGGAAACTCTTGCAACAAGAAACCGGATTTTATTTTTTTAGAACGAATCAAACGTAATGAACCTATAGTACGAGCATGTACGAGCTACAATTATCTACAATCTAGTTCGAGCTAAGGTTAGCTGAACTCCCTTTTCGGGGGGAACGGGGGCTCCACAGAAATTTTGGCCGTTTCAACGGAAATCTTGTGATCAACGCTCTTTCACGAGGCTGCGACGCCGGAGGACGCGGCGGCTCCGAATGTCAGGGCCTGACAGGGCTTGTCATATCTTGTCATCCTGCAACAGCAACGGCGGCTTCAATTTCCATTGTGTCACTGCAACTGTCCAAAGGGAACACACCAAAAATATCCACAGATTATGGAAGATTAAAGAGAAGGCACCTGAGCATTGTCTTTCTCCTAGAGATGCAAAGGTCTGACAGGGCAAACATGACTCTTTTCTGCTGACCATGACCTGTGATATCTTGTGATGTACTTTGACTTAGGCATGCAAAAACTCCACACACTTGGGTACAAACTTGAATACTTCTCGCACCCGGCTCTCGATTGTCATCAGCTGCCTCAACAAGCCGTCTCTTCAAAGGATTCTTGCAGGAAGAATACCCACCATGCACTACATACAAACAAGTTAGTCAGCTCTCACTCGATTGCAAGAAGGAAGTACTACGCGTATGGAGGATGTGCAAGCATTGATTTTTTTCACCACCAAATTTCAGAACAGCGTATCTAGGCATGATCCAAAACGATATCCTCGGGTGTTTGTCAGATTCTGCATCAAACATCATCAAACGTGTCTTCACTTTCATTCCAAGCAGTCCAAATGTCCGTGATGTCTTTGCCAATTTTTTAAACGCTTTGCTTTTTGTGAGATGTGTCTAATTCTTCCTCACGTGCTTTGAATATCTTGAAATCCTGAATCTCTTTATGGTATGTGTTTTCTTAACCTAATATCTCTTTGGCTCATCTTTGGCTCATCTTTGGTTCATCTTCGGTTCATCTTTAGGGTCTTGGCGGTGGCTCTTTAAGCTTGAAAGCTCCTTCTGGTGGCCACGCTCAAAGTCCTGCGCATCGCTCGTGATCCAAGAGACCGTCACCGTCAACATGCGAAAGCGTCAAATGAGTCAAACTTGATCCTTTTCAACGCCGTTATTTTGGCCGTGTTTCGGACGAAGTGTTTGGTCAAATGCAACGCCAAACTTGAACGTACAAATACCCACAGGCACCGTGTGTTGCCCAGACCCACAACTATGATGTTAGATGATGTTAGATGATGTTAGATGATGTTGGATGATGTTGGATGATGATGATGATGATGATGATGATGATAACGACCGCGATCGCATCGCTTGGCAAGCAGCCAGTGCCCAGTACAACTTGCGAACCCAGTATAGGCTGGGTGCGGCAATCAAGAAATAGATCATAACATGTTAAGATATCCTGAGGGATTAAAATCTGCCACCCCCTCTGAACTATATATTAAAATTAGGAATAACATGAAACTTGATCTTCATATCATCATGAGGGATTAAAATCTGCCACCCCCTTGAACTATATATTGAAATGGGAAATAACATGTCAGATATCTTCATATCATCATGAGCGATTAAAATCTGCCACCCCCTTGAATTATATATTGAAATGGGAAATAACATGTCAGGTATCTTCATATCATCATGAGGGATTAAAATCTGCCACCCCCTTGAACTATATATTGAAATGGGAAATAACATGTCAGATATCTTCATATCATCATGAGCGATTAAAATCTGCCACCCCCTTGAATTATATCTTGAAATGGGAAATAACATGTCAGGTATCTTCATATCATCATGAGGGATTAAAATCTGCCACCCCCTTGAACTCTATATCGAAATGTGTAATAACATGTCAGATATCTTCATATCATTATGAGGGATTAAAACCCGCCACCCCCTTGAACTCTATATTGAAATGGGAAATAACATGTCAGATATCTTCAAATCATCATGAGGGATGAAAATCCGCCACCCCCTTGAACTATATATTGAAATGGGAAATAACATGTCAGATATCTTCATATCATCATGAAGAATTAAAATCAGCAACCCCCTTGAACTATATATATAATTATATATATATATATTGAAATGGGAAATAACATGTCAGGTATCTACATATGATTATGAGGAATTAAAATCTGCCGCCCTCTTGAACTATATATTGACATGGGAAATAACATGCCAGATATCTTCATATCATCATGAGGGAATAAAATGTGCCACCCCCTTGAACTCTATATTGAAATGGGAAATAACATGTAAGATATCTTCATAAAACTGCCGGGAACGTCCCTGTAAATCTCCGGGCAACACACACCGCCTGGCCGTACAAATACGTACAAAGTGGACTTCACAAATTCAGTAAGCCTTTTCATTCTGAGTGTGATACAGCACCCTGCATGAAGCAAACGCACCACATTTTCAACAACCGAGTTGCAAAAAGTGCCGTGGAACCTTTGCCGCGCCCTTAAACTCGGCCGTACTGTGCTGTGCAGTACTCGAAAATCTTATGTTCTCGGCCAGTGGCAGCAAGAGTAGAGCTTGAAAAATTCGGAACGTTTCAGATGGTATATTTTGAATGATTTGGATTTTGATAGATCAGCAATGACTGACTTGTCTCTGTCTTTGTTATATGATATCTTTCCAGGTAGGTGCTACATCATTGGATCTAACTGGTCCTTTCCTGTGAGTTCGAAGCAGCATGGATGCAAATCTTTCAGAGATATGTTGCCTTACGTTGCCTGGCATTTAATACATAGACCCTCTGAACCTTTCCGAATCCAATGGAACCAAAATCATTGAAACGAGAGCTGCAAGAAACCTGAAGCGATTCGTGCTCTTCAACGCGCTCCCGCACTAATAAAACAGAACGTGCAAATGGTGCACTTTGCACTCTTCGAAGATTCCTCCGAATCCTGAACCGTCAAGAAACAATTCCTGTACACTAGGATCACTGGGTCTCACGGTCTCACCCACAATGCTGCATAAAGGAATCAATTGGAATCAACTCATAATTTATCAATATTTATCATCATTTCACTAATTCCAATGGGATATTGAAGGATATTCACAGTGAATGCCACAGACTAGTGACTTTTGCATGTCAGAACATCGTTTCGGCAGCATGTGAATGGCACGCAACTCAAGTGAAACTCACTTCACGGCTGGTTCAAGAAATGTGGTAGGAACAACATGCTCGGACTCGGATCCCAGGAAGGGTCTTCATCACACAAACTGAATCACTCAAACAAATCCTAACATATCATCACATGATAGACAACGTGACGACACCGTAACTGTAAGGACACTGTACCCACAATACAATCAGAACGTCACAACCATGGATGAAGACATGAAAATCATATGCCCGTGCTGCAAGACTTGTAATGAAAACATTGAGGTCCAAGCCAGTTCGTCCAGGATACTGTTCAAAGTTGTCAAGATTCCAGATGCCACTTTCACCTGTAAACCATGGTCCAAGCTCACTACTGCAGCCAGCGCATGGGGGGGGTGGCGGCCAGGGGTTGCCGGCCGCCGGCCGCCACCATGTCGATGTATGTCAACGTATGTCCATGTCAATGTCTTTCAGTGTGTGTCAACGTTTTTTTCTGCAAAAAAAACGAAGTTGTGGTAGCAAATGGTAGCACCGGAGCACCTGGCGGAGATGACATCCTGGTCGGCATCGAGTTCTCAACGCCTCCAGGTTTCTCTGCAGCCTGTCAGCGGTGTGTATTGGCATCTATGAGTCATAGCATGTCATAGCCATAGAATAGATGCCAACAAAACTGATCTTGTGATATATACTGTTTGATCGTATCATGATCTGTTGTGAAATGGCATCTATCATGATGTCCATTGATGTTTTATGATGGCACCGGTGCTATGACATCTGTCTCTAACGGGGAAGTGCCTGGTACGGCACAGTTCAAAATTCTTTCAGACAAACCTACGTTGTGATTGGAAGACAGCACTGTGTGGTTCAAATATACGTATTGTCAATGAACAGGGTTAATGCAGTCAGGATAAATGATTTTGGAGTCTTTTGGCAACTTGAGTAGACCACCCAGCCACAGGCCAAAAGGAACAGCCACCAAGCGGGGAAACACTCACGCAGAATCTACGCAGTATAGATTGGCTGAGATCGACTTGATTCCATCGACATGATTTTTTGTGATGGCTGGGAAGACTTGAATTTGCAAATCCAATTTTTACCTTCGCAAATACTGAAACTCAACGCTTTCGAGCAAAAGCACTTTCCATTCATGTTTCTGGAGGTTTATCAATTGTGCACATGGGACCATGCACAAATGCGAAATAAAACAAAGGAAACTAACATAAGTTCTATAGCACTATCTGACTATCTGCCACTTGCGTCCTTGATGAATCTTGCAGTTTGACATGCTGCCCAAGTGATCCAGTGTTGCTACATAAGAACTGATCGAAGGAAGTTTAGAAGTCAAATTTCCGACATATCCAAAGTTGAGGCAGGTCAGTGCCAAGAGTCAACACGGAGACAGCGAGAGAGAGAGAGAGAGTGAGAGAGAGAGTCAGAAGAAAGAAGATGCACGCGCGCGAAATGTTAGGAATCTCGCGAAACTGAGTTATTCCAATGGTTTGTGGCTCCGGGAGGTCGAAAGGTAGGCTTGCTAAAACGGCGGGTGCGGAGCAATCTGTCGAGATGAGTGGTCGAAAAGTGCAAGAACGTGCGGTGATTTCACCATTTGAAAATCAAAAGTGTTAAAAACTGACGGGTTCGAGGCACTTTTGGCAGTTCAACTTCCTAAAAGTGTCAAAACGCCGCGTGCTTTAACGATTTGGAAGCCAAAAGCGTTAAAAACTGTCATGTTCGGAGCACTTTTGGAAGTTCATCTAAGAGCGTTGGAGCGCCCTGTGCCAAAAAGAGCTGGAGCGCCCTGCGGTCGGCCGTGATGGTCTCGTTGTAACCTCACCCTAACCTACCTTAACTGTCTTGTTTTTGCTGTTCTTTCTTTCGTTAGCTGAATACCTGAATAGCCCAGTAGATGGATAACGATGGATGAAGTTACATGATGAATACAGGGAGTGACAGCTAAGTTCTTCGTTGTACAAACTGATTTCGTGTGTGGGGTTTGAACGGTCTTGTCGTGGTATCTCTTTGCTGTACAAGAAAGATAAAACCCCTGTGGTCAGACTTTGATTTGCATCACCGCTGGAGTTGTTCTACAGCTAACTTGAAACACATTACAAATCAAAACAGTCAAGAAAAACAAAAGATAGAATTTCAAAAGAAAAGTTTATATAAATGCAGCCAAGGCACCGTAGACAGAGATAGACAGCCAGAGAGACAGAAAAGCAGATAGACAGATGAATGGATCGACAAACAAATGACAGAAAGACAAAAACATACACATATAAGACAGATAGACAGACAAGCAAATAGACAGCAAATCAAAATGATCCAAGGAAAACCACACTTTGGAACTCTGTAGGGGTTGAACCTTCTGAAAAACTCACCGCATCATCGAGTACAACCAAGTTTCGATCCCCTGTTACAAAACAAACAGGACATACCATTCGATAGCATGAACATGCTTCACACGCAACGCACCGGGCTAGATTCGCTGGCAAAGCAATGAAAGCAATGCCAAAATTTCATCATCAGTCGATTCGCTCCATCACCGACACTCCAACCAACCAATTCTTCCTATAGCTTACATTAGCTTACTATCTTTGAAACTTCCGCCACCGCCTTGTGCAGTAATACTGGAACAGTTTGTTTCACCCAAATGTCATGTTGAGTTTGGAAACAGTTCACTGACCTCTGCGACGAACCATTTTTCAAGAACTTCTACACCAACTTTCCACACCACGAAGTCCCACCACGAAGTCTTTACAGTGGGTTTTTTTGCGGCGCTTTTCCTAAGAAGCTTGGAGCAGCTCAGAGCCCGACCCTTCAAGCTCTTTGAGGTAGGAGAAGCGCGTGGCGATGGTCTGGGTTACTCGGCTTGCACTTGACCTCAGACGAAGACGACGAAGATTCCAGTCATTGCAGTCATCATTTCAATCATTCCATGAAGCCAAACTGAAGCCAAGCTGAAGCCTGGAAAGGTGTCACCTGGAAGCTGTTCTGGTATGTCATTCTGTTCTGGTCAGGGCAAGTGGGAAAACAAAAAGTAGCTATCGTGAGGTAAAACCACGGGGCACAACACGAAAGCTGCAAGGGCACCCTTTTACCAAACCTGAGCCGACCCGATGGAAGAAGGTAAGCCTATACCAAACATGGTGGATTATCCCCATATTTTCTGCCCCCCCCCTCTCAATGTACGTCATCGGGCTTCTAGCTTACGATATATATGGAGGTGCAAATCACAGGCTACAGTGTTTGGGCTAGTCTCTCTGGGCGCGGGCCCGCCCCACCTGGCACAGTGATCCGGATTCCGCGTACTCAATCGATGTGAAATTCTGTACAAGCACAATTGGTGATACAATTCCCGGTTGAAAGATCGGAGCTTCAATAAAACTGTTTTTACGGCGAAAGCTCGACGATCAGCGACTTCGAAAGGCCTTGCTGCTCTTCGGAAAAGCTTGGCATAGGACAACTACTTATAGCAATAATTAACACGAAGCAAACAACGGTGGGTAAAACCATGTAAAAACATTGTTTTTCTGAGGCGCGAATTGCTGCCCTCAGTCCTAAAGCCTAGCTCTGACTGCTATGTCGCTCACCAGGAAACATGTCAGCCATAGAAAGGGCAAGGTTACATTTTGGTGCATCCAAACTCTTGGTGAACACATCAGCTGCCTGCATGTCCGTGGGACAATGTTGCAATGAGAGATCTGCTGACTTGAATGCATCATACAAGGAAGTGACATCTACTTTGTGTGTCTTGCCTAAATGACGTAGTTTCACCGAAAATCCGTTTTTGATTTCCTGAATGGTCGCAGGGCTGTGCTGATGACAAATCTTCTTGGCCTAACGATTTGGCAAGATGCTCTTGGGTTGGGAGGCCGTCGCCAAATAATGCCGACGCATGCTAAGCTAATGCCGAAGCTTCTGCTCTGTAGTGGATCTAATGCAAGGGCGGGGTCATGTCTATCTATGGCTTCCTTTCGGACGGATTCAATGGCTCTATGATGCACAAGGGGGCCACCACCAATTTGCATACCAACTTGGGGACTTCTGGCATCAACCACCGCTCTCATCCACAAACTGCTGATTATGCACTTGCGCTGCAACTGCTGGATAAGCATTAGGACCCACATTCCTACGCGTAAGCATGTCATGCACGCCAGCTGCGGAAGGACCAACCCTTGGGGATCTCTCTCTCTCTCCCTCTCTCTCTCTCTCTCCCCCCCTCTCTGTCTCTCCCTCTCTCTCCCTCTCTCTCCCTCTCTCTCCCTCTCTCTCTCTCTCTCTCTCTCTCTCTCCCTCTCCCTCTCTCTCCCTCTCCCTCTCCCTCTCTCTCCCTCTCTCTCTCTCTCTCTCTCTCTCTCTCTCTCCCTCCTCTCTCGCTCGTGTGTGGCAATGACCCGGCGATGATTGGGATGTGGTTTGCGAAGTCTCTTCGCTGGCAATTGCAACTTACATGGCATTGATTTTTCCTCTTTGGCTAGACATGGAATGATGATCTGTTGGTTGGAACATCTGACATTGCTGAAAAGAACCGGCTCCAAACCTGACACACTTATCAGACTTATCAATGTGAATAGATGGCTCAGCCAGTGACACATCCAACACACCAACTGCAACTTTGCTACAATCAGCTCTAACCTTCGCACCCAAGAACCGAGAAGAACTGGTCTAGCACAGTCGATGAACTCCAGTGGCTGATCTGGACGCGTGTGCAAGCCAGAGTTCCTGGACAACTGCACTGCCTTCACTCCAGCACGACGATAGGTTTTGATCAAATGGTTCTGACCGTCGAAGGCAATCAAACAATTCAATCAACTGTCGTGCCAACCGAGCCTTGTCGTCACGATTGAATACCACGAAAATGACCGGTATCAAAGACAACAAATTTGCGTCCAAAAGCGAACGGCAATATTCCGTAATATTCCCAATGATTGCTACGCCCAATGAATGAGATCGCCTAATCGGCAAAGATTGCGAGAACTCCGCCGTCCGTCGATGAATCACCTGAAGTTCACCCCTGTGCTGCGCAAGACCGATGGTCTCCTGAGATCTATCTATCTGCAAGCCCACTCGGAAAAACAACCTGTCGACAACACCGCACTGTGCGAGTCCCTCGATCTGCCAACACGTCACAGTTGAATCCGGACCTCTCCAGAAAATCCTCAAACGTAAGCCTATTGACCAAGATCACCCCAGGAATGCCCGATGGAAGATCAAATCCGTCTGAACTCACGCTGTCTGAGGCCTCGGAGAGAAGACGATTTGAAGATAGATTTGGCAGCAAATATGATTAAGGTTCTGGTTTGTGAGATGGGGCCCGCTGGGAAGTCTCTTTCTGTCTGTTCCACCTCAACTTCCTCTTGCTCTTCTTCCGAATCAATCCCAATGATGTCGGTTGATTCCTTGGGTTGACCCTTGGGTTTCGAGGTTGGCGGTCCCCGCTTGAAGTTCCTTGATGATCACTCCATCACCCGAAGATTCTCGCCAAGCACCCCACGACGAGTTGAAGCCCCAACCAGACCACCAATCTGACCTTCCCAGCCCGAATCGTTCTAAGAAGAATTGTTCCAAGAGGAATCGTTCCAAGAACCGTATCGATTTCGAGATTGATGATAATCTGAAGATGATGCTGCACCAAACTTCCACCAACTAAGAAGATTCAAAGATGGAAGAAGTCCGGCAATCTTCAAATCACGCCTGTATTTGCGTTTCGCGCTCTTCCTACCCCTTGGGTTGCTGTTCTGATCTTGGGGAGGAATTGCCCCAAATACTGGACCACACAGTTGCTGCTGAAGAACTAAGAGATGCCAACAAAAACGCTATGGCACAGCGCTCGGCACAAAGGTGCAAGATATGAAGGTGAAAAATATGTAAGGTAACCCAAAGTAGAGTCCTACGGCCCTACGGCTGATAACCCAAGAAACAGCCATCGTGAGGTAAAACCAGGGGGCCCAACAAGAAAGCTTCAAGGGCACCCGTTTACCAAACTTGAGCCAAAAGTAGTAAGAATGTAGAATGGCCCGACCCGATGGAGGAAGGTGAGCCTATACGGATTGTCCCCATATTTTCTGCTAAACACACCCAAATAGACATCTAACCAACCCTAACCAATGAAAGCAATGCGAAACTCAGGAGTCAGAACGAAGCAGTGTGAAAGCAAAGGAAGTCAAAAAAAAACAAGAAAGCAAAGCAAAACGAAGCAGATCATGCAACTGCATTTAAACAACCTTCCTGAGCACACAGCCCGGACAACTGAATTGGACCAGGATTTTCGTAGAGTTCCTGAGTGTTGGACAATGGAAATGCACGCAAGTAACTATCACTCACACTTTTCTCACGTCACTCTGCAGCCCATCAACCACAAAAATCGAATTCACATTGAGATGCAAGAAACTCTCTGACTGAAGAGCCGGCCTCTTTAGCACAAGAGTCACGCACCTAAAGAACAAGCAAATGCAACTAGTGGCAGCTTTCGCGGAATCACACAGTTAAGCAAAGGTACCGAGTAAAATTAAAAGATATTAAAAGTAACAAGATGTGACAAGGAATTTAACGGAAGAGAAACTTCAGAAACCCAGACTTCTCTCCGAAGGACACCGTTCGGATCCACTCAATGACTCTGCCACCCAAGGCCTCTTTCCAGGAGCTGAAGGCAGCAGCGTCAAGGTCGACCTGAAGCATTATGATGCCAGACGACCATGTCGCTACCAAATGGATCCGAACCATTTGTAACCAAAGGACAAGATCTCAATGATCTCAACGATTCGAATGATCTCAGCTTCAACAGTAGACGCTCAGCACACCGTGAGACAATCATACGCAAATTGCAAAGTACCCTCTTGCTGAACAACTCAAACTAAAGCATATCTGGAACATTCTAGAATTATCACTCCCAGAACACCCAAAGAATCGCCATAGCTTTTTCATGCTTTTTCCGTCCTTTTTGTCAACTGTTTGTCCTTTTCCTTTTCCGGCGAGGCTCCTCAGCCTCTCAGCCTGCATATCTTAAACCTCGAAGGTTGCTCTCCGGAGAAACCACCCTCCCGAGATCTCCCGAGTGACGACCAAGTCACCACTGATTGTGAGATTGAGTGAAGATTTAAACATTTGCCGTTTGGCAAAAGCCAAGGGATTCATAGATTCACAGCATACAGAGATTCATAGAGCATACAGAGTTGCAGGCTCTTTGTCCGCATCACTGTACTTTCAAGATAAAGCGGAGCTTGCAAGTATGAGCGAAGAAAGCACGCAAAAGGAGTATCGGTCTACATTTTGAATGTATCGTCATACTGTCACCATTTGGGGTAAACACGGGTGGGCAAAGGGACATGACATGCCAACGCGAGGCATTCCAATGTCTTGGGTTTTGTGCTTGCGGATCCAAAAGTACATGTGCAAGTGTACCATCCAACGAGTCTTCAGAAAGAAAGGCACTTCAGAACAATAAGGCACAATAAGGCTATGATTGCAGAATCTGTTTTACATAATTGTTTGGCCAAGAAACTTTTATATACGATTTTTTTGCATCAGTTTGCATTGGGTTCTACGAGTGTACAATTTGATTTCCATTGAGCTCTCTCGTCTTAGAACTCTTCCATGAGTTCGTGGCTCTGTTCACGGCCAGTCTTGTAGATGCAGCAGCGCCTTGCCAAATGTCTCGAGTGACTCGAGTGGGTGTACACGGTGTAGCAGGCGCAACTTTCCTCAGACTCCAGGCATGTATCTTGACGGCCTGGCAAACGTGCAAGCGTCACATGCAATTCTTGGGTCGACTTGTCGAAGATACGTGAAGATCACGCGGTCTTCATTTCAAGCCATCTCTTTCTCCAAGAAATCTTCTGAATGCAAGGCATCGCCCCAGACATGTGGTTCTAACACATTCTAACCCCGCCTCCGCCATTCTGCCCAAGCAATATCTTTCCACTTTGCTTCTTGTTTTGCCTCTTGCTTTGCTTCTTGCTGATCCATGTCCTTACAGGCAGGAACCTCTGCCTCTCAGCCCTACCTAAAGGATGTAAGGAGTGCAGAGTCCGTGTCATGCTGTATAACCACAAATAGCCCTGGCAGTGCTCATACTCCATGATACTTACCCTTGGAGTCAAGCGTGACATGCTTCATGTCTTGCAAGCTCCATGGCTAAGGCTGGAAGCATCCACATCACAAGGCAAAGCAAACCGCAGATCATAAGCAACCTGGAAGCACTTTAAGGATCTTTACGGACTATATAGGCACACCAATGGCAGACAGCAAGTTGATGCAAGTTGTTGTCTCAAAGCACCGGATTAGCTGCAACCGAGGCACCCAGTCAGCATGGGCCACCCATCGGGTTTGGACGCTAAGGAATGCTATTGGCTATTCCGCCGTGGAATGCCGTGGAATGCTAGTAGAATGCAATGGAGCTTGAAGATCGTAATGATCTAATGAAAGGTTGTGTACCACTGCGACATACTGGCAGTTTTTAATCAGTGCTGTGTGAACACTGAAGGGACTCACATGGTGTTTTGTGAGTTGCTTTCAGACAAGACTCAAACTAAGCACACATGTGTGTGGAGCCATATATTGCCGGTTGTGGAACTTGAATCAAGCACGCAATGTATTGCAAACCGTTCCTAAAGATGCATTTCAAAGTGCATTTCAAGGATATTCAACTTCAGCACCGTTCAGCTCGTGATGTGGCCACTTTGTCAAGGTGCGCTGATGCGCCGGGCCTTGCGAGGGAAAATGCCCGGACGCGGTCGGAAGGACTCTCCAGGCACTTGCGGAGCGACCTACCCAGGCACAGCTCTCGCAGTCTGACAGAGTCAGCCTGAGTACTATCAGTAGATATCAGTAGATATCAGTAGATATCAGTAGATATCAGTAGTCAGCCTGATACAAAGTACTGTACAGTACTGGAAGAGTACTGGATAGTACTGGAAGCCCATGGAAGCCGGAGTGTGATATTTCATGACATTTCCATCCTGTGGAAAAAATGTGCGACGCTGACACGGCTGACATGTTCAGCAGTCATGAATGTCTCCTAATTGGCCTAAATGGTGTTGCTTATAAACAACTGTCCTGAGTACCATCTAAATATCAGCAGGATGCAACAAACATAGATATCCAATCATCGCTTATGAGTTGTGCGAACAATTGCTCAAAACATTGGCTCGCCATGCACCTGTCAAATCCTTCAACTGCTGTTGCATGAGCTGCTTACACCGTGAAAAAGCTGAACATGCTGAACAAATGGCCTGTAGCATGGCAGTGAAGGGAACTCCACAACAATGCCAACCTGGTGCCAAGACATGAAAAATGATCAGCACGACATGTGGTGGAAGGTCGTGTGTGTCCTCAACCACAGCTGGGCTGTGTTTACTTTACTGTGTTTACTTAGACTTGTGTCGTTTATCATCGTTTATCATTGCTCCACAATGCTCCACATTGGGTTGCCATAGGACGCAATGCCGTGCTAAGAGCCCAGCGCTCAACTGGATGAGCCAAATCTGAAATCACAGCCTCGAGACTTGGAGCAGAAAGAATGTCAAGCAGCAATTCTTCGCACATTCCGACTACATTCCCCATCAATGCCTATTGACAAGGGATTTATGGATCCGCATAGACATTGGAACGGGCAAGGCATGCGATGTTGGAACACAGCATCCCCAACTGACAAATTAATACAGAACGAAAAAATTGCAAGGTGACACTGTGGTGCAGACCATATAACCATTGCAGGAACGGGTGGCCAGAACAGCAGCAGTTCCACCTAAGAACTTTGCAAACCTTCGTCAAATCATCACATGAACTTTTCACGAAGTCAAATGTGTCACCTCCAATTCATTCAGGTGATCCTTCTAAGTCTTTAGTACAAACATTTGCAAGCTGTTGGAGCAAGCTGTACACATGACTGAAAGCACTCCAAGCAGAGCCATAGATAGGAAACAAATATTAAACCAAACATGGAAAACATATCACATAATATCTGAGATCATATCACATAAACTCACATGATGCCACCATATATCAACAACATCCAAAGAAATCATGATCTCCAGAGGTTCAATCACCGTGTCCTCCCGTCCGAGCACAGCACCCAGTGCGTATGCATAGTCACTGTCAAAGTCTGAAGGCATTGAGCAGCGTGCCTTGCAGCATGCGTTTGTGTTCTCAACATTTAAAATCCGCCCACACCGCTATGGCGGTGAAGGCGTGCTTATTGGGGGGAAACAGCTACACTAAATGCTCAATCACATTTGTTAATATAGCAGTCGCTATATCAGCTTTAGCTGGGGGGGGGCCAAAAACGGCTTCGCACCGAGACCAGAATTCGGTGGTGTTTTCGACATTTTTCGATGATTTTTGGGTGTCTGAGCGCAAGAGGGTATTGAAATGGAATTTTGGGTCATTTTGGTAGCTTTCCGGCAATGGAAAAACGGCCAAAAATGAAAAAAACATTGTACATAGCAAGATTTTGCAGGGTTTTTGGATGCCAGAGCATTGAAAACACTGCAAAAACAAGTGTTTTGGACTGACGTTATAGCAAAAAACGTGTAAATTACCGTATGCTTGACTGGAAACATTACAAAAACACTGTCAAAAGCAATGTTTTGGAAGGATTTACTGCCTTTATGGCAAAAAAACGTGTAAATTACCGTCTGTTTGACTGGAAACATTGGAAAAACACTGTCAAAAACAATGTTTTGGAAGGATTTATATATATATATATGTTGGAGTTGGCTACCGGCATTGGAACATGGAAAAATTGAAGAAAACACTGTAAATAGCGGTATTTTCAACGGTTGGGGAGATAAGGGAATTGGAAGCATTGTCGAACATGATGTTTTCGACCGGTTTTATGGCGACAAAAGTGTAAAGTACCGTGCTTTGAAGGAAACCATTGCAAAAACATGGAAACACATTCAAAGAACACGGGATTTGGGGGACTATCTAGGCGTCGTTGTCTAGCTATTTGAAATTCCGCAGCTTGGAGAGCCTCCAAGGAAGGGAAAAGTGAAAATTCCATAGCTTGGGAAGCTGTCACGGCGGGGAAGAGTGAAAATTCCCTAGGTGAAAATTCTTAGCTTGGGAAGCTTCACGGGGGAAAAGTGAAAATTCCGTCGCTTGGGAAGCCCCCACCGGGGGGAAAAGCGAAAATTCCCTAGCTTGGGAAGCCTCCACGGGGGGGAAAAGTGAAAATTCTCGCCTGGGAAGCCTCTACGGGGGGGAAAAGTGAAAATTGCTTAGCTTGGGAAGCCCCAATTGGAAGCATTGTCGAACATGATGTTTTCGACCGGTTTTATGGCGACAAAAGTGTAAAGTACCGTGCTTTGAAGGAAACCATTGCAAAAACATGGAAACACATTCAAAGAACACGGGATTTGGGGGACTATCTAGGCGTCGTTGTCTAGCTATTTGAAATTCCGCAGCTTGGAGAGCCTCCAAGGGAGGGAAAAGTGAAAATTCCATAGCTTGGGAAGCTGTCACGGCGGGGAAAAGTGAAAATTCCCTAGCTTGGGAAGCTTCACGGGGGAAAAGCGAAAATTCCCTAGCTTGGGGAGCCCCCACGGGGGGGGAAGTGAAAGTTCCACACCACCCTTAGCCCCTCTCACGTACCGAAATAAACCTGCGGTGTGGGCGGCCACCCCACGCGAAGCGGGGTGAATACAGCGAAACAGGCGAAACATACACAGCGAAACTGTAGCCATACAATACCTACATAGACTTCGTATGTCTTGGTCCTATAGCTCATCGGGAAAAATCAGCTATGCAGTTGCCATACGATGAACCTCAGCATTTCCAAAGCCCTCGCACTTCTCAGCAAACTCTTCGTGTTTCCTCTGGATTCTTCTGGTCCGTTCTCTGTTGATTTTGCTCTAAGAAACTCTTCTGAGCATTGCCTTCTGGCCACATGGTGACAGTATCCTTGATGTTTGGAGATTTACTGTAATATTTAAGCCCTCTCAGGCTCACTTTTCACTATGCAAAAGTATACTGTAACATCATGTAACATCATGGTTTGGGGTCTCATGTTGACACATTTGCTGCAATCTCGATAGCATGCTTCGCCGCGCTCTCTTAGACTTCAGGCAATTCAGAGATGACACTTTCCAGGCAGCATCTAGCATCTAGCTGGAATGTTGCTTTCGCCAGCTCTCACGCATCTCTTGCATAAGAACGCACTCCTTTCATGTCAGCCAAAAAGCATCCTGTAAAGCATACCGCAGTGAGATTCAAAGGGATGGGTTGACATTAAGTAAATGACTTCACTGTTCAATCCATGGGATCTGTATCTTGGGACAATCACAAATCGGACAGCGTGCCTGATACCCAAGGAATTGGCAAACGGGAGAGAAGCTTCCTTTGAATGTGCCCTGACAACAAATCGACTCAGAACCGCTCAGAACATCCGACATGTGAGACGAATGTGCGACGAATGTGCGACACGAGGTATCTGGAGATGTCTGGAAATTTCTGATAGATTCAATTTTTTCCGAATCTTTCCGAATCTTTCTGAATTCCACCAGGAATCACCAGGATCGCCTTCTTCTTGCGCTGCTTTAATTCATCTTGAACCTCGGCTCGTTTGCAACAGCCTGCCACAGTATCTGGTGGTGATCCGCTGCCAAACTCTGCCAAAGACAACCAAGAGACCAAGATGAAACGTTCGCATCGTTTGCAACAAACAAACATAAACCAACAACAGAAATCGACAAAGATATCGGACATGACATTACCAGCATTGGACGACGGCAGTTTCAGCAAGATAACTTTCGTTTCAGATTTTTCTGACTAGCTCCGTCTGAGAACCGAGTTGAGTGAGGAAACGAAGAGCCATTGGCAAAGTGCCGAAGTTCTCATGAGATGTCATGAGGACTCACCGATGACATCAAAAAAAAAGTGAAATGACGTGAAGGATGTTGATGAAAAAGACGTGAAAGGCTAAGATTGAAGATGGTGAATGGAAATTGAAGAAGTTTGAGTTCAAAGTTTGATAGATTTTCCTGAGGCCATGGCAAGCCGTGCCATAAGGCGGTCTGTCTCCAACTGGGAGAGCTGCAATGCAGCATTGCTTTGCCTTCCCAATCCATGTCTCACTCCAAGCACATAAACAGTACAACACACACACACAAACAAAATGTCATGTGATATCAAAACATGTCAGTAAGTCTTGAACAGCATCTAAGCAATTTTTGAATTGACATCCTTTCATATCCTTGTCCTCTAAAGAATTGTCTCGTCTGATATTGTGCCAAAAGTCGGCGATTCTAACCTACTGCACATCTCCGTACTCTCTCAAAATCCATGCGCCAAAAATACGAGCACACATTTTTCCAATACTCCGCTTTCAAAGCGTTTTCAAAGCGTGCCAAGATGTGCCAATACTCGGCGCCAATCTCGAAGCCGCACCCGCCTTTCCAGCAAGAGCTCCTTCTGAATGAACTCCGGAAGGCTTCGGAACAATGCAGCAGACCTAAAAACGAACAACGAAAACTGTCTCCAAAGATCAACCGACAGAACAAACCCATCAAGTGGAGGGGACGATTGCAATCATACAGAATACATGCATCGGCAAATCTTTGTTCGACTCATGTGACTTATGTGACTAGATGTGACTAGATGTGACTAGTAAACCTAGTAATGAGTCAACGTGTCGTGTAATGTGTGTGTGTGTCGCCGCATCGACCGATGCTGTGGTTGCTGCCAGGTGGTCAGCTCTGGGAGAACCTGACCGGACAAAGTGCTTTTAGAAGCAGTATGCATCGGAGATCTACGGAGATCTACGGCACAAAGCATAGAAAAGCATAGAAAAGCATAGAAAAGCATAGAAAAGCATAGAAAAGCATAGAAAAGCATAGAAAAGCATAGAAAAGCATAGAAAAGCATAGAAAAGCGTAGAAAAGCGTAGAAAAGCATAGAAAAGCATAGAAGCTTGTGTCGAAGCTTGAATGTGTATTGTATATATATATACAGTGAAATAGATTTCTTCTTATATTGTATATCGGTTGTTGTTGAAATGATGTGAAACGCAAGCAGTGGCAAGCTGTGCTGATGCTTTTGGCAAGTCTGGCCTTGTCCACTGTGTTGGGCATCGGAAAGCCCTTCCACAATGCGTTGTCTACACGTATCTTCTTTTGGGACTGAAGGTTTTCCATTTGATTCGTGTGGTCCGGCTTCTCCGGTCAAGGTATGCAGTGCTTTGGGAGCCAAGGTCAAAGAAACTAGTGCGATCAGGTGAATAAACCGTGAATCAAGAGTCACCAAGCCTCCAGTTCTGCAATCAATGTACGGAACTCAGGAATGGCAGCCTTGGTGGAGGGGCAGGACCTATGAACTTGAGATCATTTCATAGTGCAAATTTCAAAGATCCAAGTAGAACAGTAGAACCAAATGAACACTTTGAGAGTCCCAAATGGAACAAAGATGAACAAAGGTTGCAAATCGTGGTAAGAGCTTCCACGCTGTAGCCACTGGACTCTGTGCATCTCATGTCTACGAGCCAAGATCAGGACCAGCAAACCTTCAGCAATCAGAACGGTGCCTGCCAACCATCTGCGAGTGATACGTCAATCTAAATGACTTCAAACTGTATGCAAACACATTAGCCTTGACATTTCTCCACACTAGGGAACAGTCAGAACCTCCTGATTGGGCCCTTAACATCTATCAAATCCCACTATTGCATGGGATGCTGTACCTGAATGACCCTGGATTTTGACACTAGCACACAGTCCTGTGCAAGAGTCTGACTTGTTTTGAAGAATCTTCAATGAAATTGAGAGCAGGACCGAAATTCTTGCCGTCATCTGCACGAGCTGAAATCACCTAAGAGCCAATCTGCAAACATGTTCGGGTTGCAGAAGTAGAATGCTATCTTCGCTTGCAAGTTGCGATCGTTTGCGAACTCAGGCTCCGGCATCTGCAATGCCATTGACAATCTCTCGCAAATTGTTGCGCTGCTCATCCACCTGAATAGTGATCACCCTCCAAAAGTATCGTTGCAATTCAGTCGTTGCTGTCGCTTTGCTGTCGCTTTGCTGTCGCTTTGCCCTGTTCGGCGCTCTGTGGCAGTCTAACTGTTAGCCCTACCATGCACCTCCTCAGAGAGCAGGAGCAGGTTTGGCTTCGTTTCCAGTGCGACTTCCAAGGCAACGTGCGATGTGGCGTTTCTGCCTCTGGTGCTCACCGGCCACCGGTGGCCACCGGTGGCTGATGGAAATGGACTGAGACATACTGAGACCATCTGAGACCTTTGTTTGTCTTGTGAATGTGCTATTCTGTTCAATGAATTTCAATGATCCCTTGTTGATTATGCCCTGCTCTGCATTCCATCTTTAAATTCTTTTGCACCCGTCTAATCCTTTCAATGTCTTCTGCTCTCTCTCTCATCTGCCTGTCCCATTCTTTTCTCTGTGTTGGTTGCGAAGCAGCGTGAAGTTCCAAAATCTTGATACAGTTGGACGGAAAAGTAATTTGATGCACTACACAACCCGAACTCAGACAGAAGGAGTAAAATGCCGCAAGGAAAACGCCGGAAGAATGCCGCAAGATGCCTCCTGTTGTCGAACCATCCATGAGCTTCAGAAAGTAGTAGTACTTCCTAGCGCTCGATCCTCAGGTGTTCAAGCCATTTGCACAACGAAAACTTCAAAAAACGCTTTATATATTTTTTATAAATCCATGTAAAGCTTTTAATTACAAAGAATGAGGTGTACATAGGTTTACTCCGAGGAGTTTGCTGCAGACGAGTTTGATTAGAAACGAACTTGCGAAGGAGAAGCGGGACCACTGTTCAGCGACCACAAAAGGATCGACTCTGGACAAAAGGCTTCACCGAGACCAAACAAGAGCGGTGTCACAAAGAAGACATACTCTTGAGCTCGCTTTGTCTCACACATACTTGACGTATCTTGACCGACTTCCCAAGCATGCTCAGCTTGTGCTCAGCTTATGCTCAGCTTATGCTCAGATTGACACCATCGATTGCAGTGTTTCCAACCTCAAGAAGAAGGTAACTAGCAGTTGGCCAATGTTATAACATGTTATATACATTTAAAAAAATATAATACTTATCGCCTTTTGCAATGGGCACATCATTCAGACTTATTCATCGAAGATGTCTGAATATTCTTTTGAGAGAGGCTGCAATGCACTGTCGCCAAGAGTGCGGAAACCATAGCAGAAACCATAGCAAGGAAACATAAGGAAACCATAGCAAGCCGCTTAACCATAGCAGGCCGATGCAAAAATAGCAAGCCGTAGTGAAACCACAGATGTTTCAAGTCTGAGCCGGTCTGAGCCCTGGGCAAGCTCTGACATGGCTTTGGTAGCAGAGTCAAAACCCAGAGACCTCACAGCTCGGAAAAGGCTTCTGCTCCACACAAATTCCTTGTTGGTCACAGCATGCCAAGGAGATTCTTTGTTGGTCACACCTTGGATCTCCTTGGCATGCAACAAAGATACTTTGCAATCTTTGCCGCAAAGTTTGCTGCAAAATTCAGAGTTGTTGGACATATCAGTGACACTTCTGTCTTTCATCAGAGATATTCAGCACCATTCAGCGATATTTTCTGTTTATTCTTCGGTCGCATCCTGGTTGCTATTCCTCAGAGTCCAGCGCTTCGACAAATTCGTTCACCATGCTACCTTCAATGCCACAGGGGACGCCCACAACACCGGTCTTCACCTTGCAGCGCACAAAATGCAGCAAATCCGCAGAAGCACGCAGAAATATGAGAAATACGCAGAGCCCACATTGAAGTACACAAGGATTCAGACACATTCAAACTATATAATATATATTTCAAACTGTCAGAGCCCATGACTGCCACTTGGCTCAGTTGAAGCATGAAAGATATGCAAGGCACTGCAAAGGGAAGGTTCCCTGGTAGCAATCCAGGGACAATCCTTAAATCTTTCCAAATCTTCATGTGCAACGGAGGGCTGCAATGTCTGCAATGGCAATAGCCGTCAGTAGCCACATCCCCTTCATGGCTTTCATGGCTTTAGCTTGAGGATGTTTGAGGCCTTGTTCTGCTTGAAGTACTCTGACAAATAAGCTGCATCGGTGTTTGTGCCTTTCAAGAGCAGCAAATCGAATGCTTCAGCTAGCTATAACATGCAATTCAAATCAATTCAACTGAACCAATTCTTTCATCTTTTAACAAAATGTTTAACAAAACGTTCATCCGTATGCTGCGTATGCTGCAGATCGTTCGTACTTTGAAAGTGAGGTTCGTACGTGCTCCTCCCACCAGCACCAAGCCATCTAGGTCCAAATCCTGCATGGCAGACATTGGATCGCTTGGATATAAATTTCAACCAATTTCAACCGAAGCCGCGAAGCTTTCTCATCTTGCTCTTAACTTTTAATTGATGCCATCAGTCACATCATGTCACATTCAAATGTTTCAGAAATCCCACTGCGAAATGCTTCGTTCCCGCCCCTGAAAGTTGGGGGGCCGACGGGCCGACACGGGCCGACTGGATGCCTCTGATCTTCGGTCCCTCAAACCTGCAACTCGCTGCAGTGATCGCCCCAGTCGGCCTGGCAAGTGCTCTTAGCCATCTCCTTCTCCTCCTGGCATCACAGACAAATTCATAACTCGGATCCATTCACATCCACATCCACCCGTTTCCTCGTTAAGCCTCGGCAATCTGATGGATTTGACAAGCCATGCCAGTCCAAGCCCAGTCCAAGCCACAACAGCAAATCAACATCGACAGAAACAACAATATCGACTGTTGATGTGTCCCGTGTCTGTGTCGTCCGTCAGAGCGTCCTGGGTGTTGATTCGATCGACTGTTCGTCCAAGCCTGGGAGAATTTGGCGATATGGCTGTACATGTTTGTACATCTTTGAAGCATATATCGAAGCATATTTGAAGCTCATGACTCTGATTCAAATGCATGAATTTGCGTCAGCTGAAGGGCCGGTAGAAGAAAGGGACATGATTGCTCAAACCACTTTCTCATGTCCACGCGTTGTCCCTTGTTTTGGGCTTCAACGCTTACATTGGCCTTACATTGGCCTTACGCCTTCGCTCTGAGGCCCTTGCATCTCCAAACCACCTCAGAGTGAACAGTTGTGAACCGTGAATTGGTTCGTCGATTGAAAACCGAGCTGAATTTCGAATTTAATCCACGGCTTCGGACACGACCAGGTAACTAGGCATGTCGATGAAATTGATGAAACTGGGCCATCAAAGGCACACTTCAAAGACTCGTCATTAGTATTCATTTGTCTTGTTTGCTTTCGCATTTTGGCTCCTACGTTTTTCATGTGGTAGCTCCGTTGAGCTCCTATCATGTTGCAGGTGCATTCAGGTGAATTACGATGTTTTTTTTACATGAGGATGCCTGCGCCGCAGAAAGAGTCGCAAAGCTCTGGATCCAGTTCGACAGCCTTCAAAGATGTTCAAAGGTCGTTCGCAGTGAAAATGAGATTGATCATCCAATTGAACATAATTGAACTACAATACAAGTGTAAAAGCAACACTTTGGTGAACAACTGATTGAAAGCATGAATTGAACAAACATGAACAAACAATAGAAGCAACCAAGTGAAAGCGTAATCATAGATCACTGATGCTCATTATATATCATTATCATTGTCTTATCATTGACAATTTTTGCAGAGGTATGCGCTCCTGCTTGTCCATCAAGCCATGAGTGCCGCCGACAAAGCCGTAGACTTTGTTTCCATGATTTACAGGCCTCAGCTCCGAGACTCTCACAGTAATCATTGTTTGAAGATGTTTGCAGTTTGAAGACTTTGAATAACTTAGTGAATATGAGAATATATCATAATATATTTGTATAAATGTCTAACATCAGAATTTCCATTTGGTCATCTACCAGAAATTCTCTGAGTCTTTTGCAGCATATCCACCAAACCGCAAACAAAGTCATGACATCCTGGAGCCTACAAGCGCGCTAGCAGTCACTAGCAGCTTCATCACAACCAACACATCGTTTTGTCCTATGTTCTGAGAACCTTGTTATACGTTGTTTTATTCTGCTATATTTGTTATTTGGGTTGTTATCTATTTTGCTATGCCTTTCTCATTCTGTCTCAATCTCAATGCACCAAACTCGAAGACCAATCAACCGTTTCGTCAATTTGACAAACAGATCAAGTTATGATGGATCGGCTGCTTCTATCTCGGTCCTGGATGATAATGCTGTTTGCATCCATCAGGCAGCCAATGTTGATTACTGCTTCTATCTGCTTCTATCTGCTTCTACACAGCGGCCACTGCCGTGTTTTGTATCAAGATGCTTACGATCACTCTCATCTCCTGTCTGACTTTTCGCAAGTATGAGACTCCTGTGATCGCAAGTGGCAAGGCTGCCCCAGCCTGTCGCCCACAAAACACGATGCCAATCTTCTTGTCATGGATCGGTGCATTGCGTTCCTGGCAGCCGAATAGCATAGTGATAGGATCGCCAAACACCATCAGAAGAGCCGGCCCTCTAAACCTTCAGCATAAGAATGGCACGGGAATGGTAGGGCCCTTCCAGGACAAAGCCAACGAAATACACTTTGGGACAGTCCTTTGGACAGTCCTTGGGAAGTCATGGCTGCCAAGCGGTTTCAATTTGCACCTGCCTCGGTCGGTACGATGTCCAGGATTGGTGCATGAACTTCTGAGAAGTACCTCGAGACCACCTGGGAACAGCTGGAAGCAAGAGGGAAGGCCGCTCGAATAGTGAAAATGCAGTCCAGAAGACAAGCATGCTATGCTGTGCCAGTGCTGTAGCCACGTAGCATATGCGCTTTCGCTTCTTGACATTTGACGTTTGGTTTGAGTCATTTGAGTGGAGTTTTGTGATCAAGCTGACCACTGTATGAGCATTGCAGCAAGTCTCCTCTCCCTTTTTCACCTCAAGGCGACTGAAGGCGTAAGGCGACTAGGGTCACCCAAGGCCGAGACCATAGAACAAGAATGAATGATTTTTGTATTATTCATATATATATATATTTATATATATATATATATTTATATATATATATATATTTGTTTATTTATATATGAAAATGAATGAAAATTGTTATGAAGTGATCCGGATAAATATTGATAAATTCTGGGAAATTCTGTGAATTTACGTGAATTTACTTTTGCTTTTGCTATGCACCTTAGTGTCTCCTTAGTGTCTCCTTAGTGTCTCCTTAGTGTCTCCTTAGTGTCTCCTTAGTGTCTCCTTAGTGTCTCCTTAGTGTCTCCTTCGACGAGAGTCTGATGTCTGGTGGCGACTGCTGTTCTCCTGAGTGGTTGGCTGTCACAGCATTCGCATTGAATGTACTGATGGCAGCTGGCAAACGACGCTCGCGATCCTGGCGCATCTTGTCCCCCAATCCAATACGATCTCCCACCATCTCCCACCCAATCAAACGTGAAATTCGCATGAGAAAACTTGAGTACTCAAATGACAATCGACAATCCAAAACGGTGGTCCGGTGGTTCTGTCGTTTAATATGCATCCAAAATAGCAAGCTTGACTGCTTGACCAGCAACAGTCATGAGTCATTATAGTCATTGCATTCCTCGAAGTTGAGATGTTGAAACATGTTGAAAGCCACAGTTCACTGTACTTAATTGGACTTCCATGTCACTCCTTGAGTAAACAAACAAGATCAAACAAGCATGTCAGCCGAATGTCAGCCAAATGTCAACCCTGACGAAACCCAAATTTCACCTTAAACCAAACCTAAATAAACCCTAAACCAAGCCTAAATAACCCAAAACCAACGCTAAGTAAACCCTAGAGACCCTAAAACAAACCTTGACGGAAACCCGACATTAACCATTAACCCGAAGCCAACCTCAAATAAAACCTAAACCAAGCCTGACTATACCCTACACCAAGCCGAAATAAACCCTAATCCAACCTTTACACAAACCCTGATGAAACCCTAACTTAACCTTAACCAACCCTTAAAAAACGCCTAAATAAACCCCAAGCCAACGCTAAGTAAACCGTAAATAGACCCTAAACCAAATCTTGACGAAACCCTACATTAGCCCCAAACCAGCCCTAAATAAAACCTAGATCAAGCCTGAATATACCCTAAACCAAGCCTAAATAAACCCCAAACCAAACCTAAATAAACCCTAAACCAACCTTAAAACAAATCCTGACAAAACCCATCATTACCCTAAACCAAACCATGAGGAAACCCTGCAGAAACGTTAAACCAACCCTAAAACCAACCCTAAATAGACCCCAATACATCTTGAAACAACCCTGAACCAGCCCTAAAGAAACCATGTCACTTTGATGGCCCACGAGGCACGCCGCAGGGCAGTCACCCCTCGCCCCTAGTGGGGCTGTGGAGGGTGACTGACTCCGACGTGGGGGGTGATTGACTCCTGTGGTCTGACTCTGCTAGTGGGTGACCGATTCCGTCTGGTCTCAGCCAAATGTCAGCCAAATGGACCTTGGTGATCATCAAAGCTCTCCACCTCTGCAGCTCCGAGCGCATCCTCTTCCTTGAGCAATGCGGCGACATAATATTGACAGAATTGCAATGAAATATCGAATGACCTTCTGCAAGCCGAGAATTGCGTCGACTGAATTTTGTCACGTCCAATTCCTGTCACCCGTCACAATTCCTGCCATGCATGACAACACAATCGGCATCAATCAACCCATCTATCATCATCTATCTGTATTTCGCTCACCAAACAAAACAAGATAAAACAAGCATGTCAAGATATGTCAAGATATGTCAAGATATGTCAAGCATGTCCATGGTTGCTTAATGCTGATGGGTCACGCTTGCGGCAAGAAGAGGAACTTTCCCATCCTGTGGCGGCATGGCTCGGCAACTGACCAAACAATCTGACGACTCTGACGACTGTGCTGACTCAAAGCTGCAATAAAAATGATCCCAACAGCCCAACAGCATTTCCATCCACCAGCAAAACCACCAGCAAAACTAACATGCCAAGTGCCACACATTCGCTATTTATTGTATATTCAAGCCATTCAACCCATTTAAGCCATTCGAACTTGAGGAATTTGATCTTTACATTTTATTTGGGTGTAGATGCAATGTCTGCAATGTGTAGATGCAATATGTGCCTCACAATATCTATATGTGTGGCTCATCATATCTCCTCCCATCTCCTCCTGTCTTTGAATCCTGCCATAGCCATTTTCCCAGCCTCTTTGGCTTTTCCGTGGGAACCTGCAACTCCCAGGTCCTGAAAGAGGCAAACGAAACAGCGGAAACAGCACATCCCACAATGTTCAGATTGATCGTCTGCCAAGTGCCTAGCACATGCCTAGCACATTACCTCAAAAACGGAGAAGTTTAACTTTTTGAAACCATGATCAACATGATCTTCACAGCTGCTTCAAGACCCTCAATGCAAATCAGCGTTGATGCACGCATCCCTTGCCTTCCCAGCTCTAGTTGCAGAGTCATAGGGATGTCCTTCAACCAAGGCTTCACACGTCAGACTCTTTCAAACAGCCAAACTGTGGCATCTTATGATTCTGAGTTTGATTCTGTTTACAATTTTGTCACTCCATGTTTATGGCCATGTTTATTGTAAAGCAGGTTGACACAGTGAACACTGCGAAAAATCTCACTACACTTGTCACTGCTTGTCCTTGGAAACTTCACAGTTTACCATGTCAAATTGCGTGGGCCCAGGGATGCGGTACCTCGAAGAAAGCTGACACTGTTGCTGTTTCCAAAACATTGCAAAACATCATAACACATCATAACACAACTTCGAATATGATGTCTTTCAAGTCAAATATGATCAGATCGAAAGATTGGATAATGTTAGAAGCAAAGTCTCTTGGATGTCTCAACAAATACGTAGAGCTTGGTACATGTCGCAGATTTTAAGATGGTCCCGGATCTTCTTGTAGAACTGGAAGGGCTGAGACCTGGTGACACACAGACACTGACAGACTGCCATTTCTCCAAAGCGCCAGCAATCGCCATCACCGGCATCGTATGAGCACCGCACAGGCCACCAGTCATTTCTACCAAGGCTTTGCGAATCACAGGCTTGTCCTGTCAAAATGTTCAAAAGTATGTCAAAAATCAGACCTAAATCAAGCTGATCACAAGCTGATCAAACCACAACTAGTAGTGAATAGTACTAAGTAATGGAGCAGTGGCATGGACAACATGAACACAACAAACAGCTCAAGAAGGGGAAGTAGAATGTTTGTAATTTTTCTAGAGTTCAAACGAGAAACATTTGCAAAAAAAACTAGGAGCGACCATATTGAGTACATTTGCCTGAAATCTTGATGTGATCGACCCTGACTCTCTTGATTGTCGTCGGCTGAGTAGATTGGTGTCTCGTTTGTGCTCACTAAAGCTATGTGGAAGCTATGTGGTGTCTTGTTTGATCTTGTTTGTGTTCACAAAAAGGAATTTGTTTGTCTTGTTTCATCCTTATTTGCAGACTGGCCTTGCCCTTCCGCCTTTCGATGACACATAAGGATGTGATTGGCACGCCACCACATTGCCACTCCTGTCGGGATGCGAAATCATGCTAGGCCTTCCAGGGGAGTTGCAGCATACAAGAGCGTCGTTCCCCCATCTTGCCTTGCAAGGGGCCAATAAGTTCTTCACACTGGCAATGAGGCCTGTACAGCCATTGACCTGGGACTGCGCTGGCCATGGCCACGGCTGACTCACAAGATGCACGCAGAAGCTGGTCAAACCGAGTCAAACCTTTTGCGTTTTGCCACAAAAGTCTGTGCAAAAAGAGCATTCCTCTTCTCTGCGAAGAATTATCTATAATCATTGCAAACATTGAAAAGTAAGGCAAACACCAGCAGTGAGGATGCGGTGTATCCCAATGCCTGTCATATTAAGAAATCATGAAAGAACATGCAGCAAAGGACTGGCAAAAAAGGGTATAATTATTGCGCAACTCCGCGCCAAACATGTTGGCTGAACGTAGCAATACGCTGAATCAAAGATAGTGGGCCTGAGACTCACCAAATACAAGTTTCTGTCAAAAAGGGAGTGCATGCAAAGAATCCCTAAGGATGCCACTCCGATGTCAACTTGATGTGCAACATGATGCAATTCCATTTTGCAAATGACAAATACAAAGAGTCGCGCATGCCCGCTCTTCCTTCGTATCCAAATGCATGGAGTTGAGGAGAAAAGGTGCCTTCATACCTGAGCAGGGTTCTTTCCAATCCGCATGAGATATTTGGCAAAGCCATGACACTTGCATGATTCATGGAAACTTCAAGAACTAACATTCCTTGCCAGTTGATTTGCAGGTCCAATTGTTTGCCTCACTAATTCCACGTGGTTTAACCAAAATGCCGAGAAACCCAGAAGACCTTCGGTTCTCCAGTTCGTTGTGAACTGTTGCAGCCAGCAATTTTTCAGTCTCAATCTTTGCAACCTGCCACTCAGTGGATTTCCAATGGCATGGAAATCCTGGAAGAATTGAAGCAGTCAAATTCAAAGTCTTAACATGCCTGAACACATCAAATTTGACCAGTGATGCTTGGTGAAAAGACATTTGTTCTTGTTTTTTTTCTCATTGCCGTCCTGCACATTGCCATGGGGATCACGGTCGAGGAGCAGCTGAGCCCGGATAAATCCAGGCAAATACCTGGCTAAGCATGGCTAATTACTCAAGATCCAGCTAGTACAGTTGCGCAGCTATCCACTGATATTGTGTCCAGTTTTCTGGCGAGTGATTTTTCCCAACGATCAATGATCATGGATGTGAACAAACTCTGGCAAAAACTGTTATATAACCGAAGCGCCCTTCAGTGTATCTGAACATCGCAAAGTGATGCAAGTGGTTTTGCTCGATCACTCGTTCATGCCTCTTCTGCCCACCCCGCGCCGAACAACATGCTTTAAGACGAAGCAGCTGGAATTGATCCATGCATGTGCCCAGCATAATCCTCGGGTAGTTAGCAATTACCGCAAATCGTCTAATTAAGGATAATTAAGCGATGTCACCTCTAAGGTGATTGGATGGGTTGCAGGATCAGCCCATCCACTTTTGACGCTATTAACCATCTAAGAGGAAGAAGAGAAAGAAAATGAAGGAGAACCGCATTCATCATCCGAGGGTGAGCACCAGGGATATTAATGGGCCCTTCCCTGTAACGGTCACTGCTGGACGTGTGACAAATTTCCAGTCACATTTGGCTTCCCAAGTAGCTGGGGCCGTTCCCAAGTTGATATTTGCAACATCGAGAACATGCGAGAAGTGTCATTATAAATATGCCAACGTTCGAAAAGGTTTTTGGAACCAAGGACTTGGGCAACCTCTTCAACAACATGATTTAATTGAGACAAAGACCCATCCAGGTTTCTGAGTCTGGCATGCAGGGCCAAAGATCCATGCTGTACAACGTCACAATCAGCTGCCTCAGATGCGTAAACTTTCAATAAAAAGGATTCATTCCTGTGAGCTCCAGATTCAAGTTAAGTGGGTCTATTGCTGATGGTTGCCAGTGGTGTCTCAGCTAAATAACTCAGACCAGCGGCCGACTGTCCTTGGGTCTAGGCCCCAGAAAGTGAGGGCCCGAGCACCTGTTATTCGGAACGCATGCCCCGAAATAATCCAAACCACCCGCTTTCAGCGCCCATTCTGATGGAGTCAAATAATGGAAATAATGGACTGTTTGCTGCATATCTGACCATCCAATGTTCTTATCCAAGGTCCTGCGGTGATTCCCTCAGCCATCAAGCAGTCATGGTATTCCTTCATGATGTGAAGAGGACAAGGCCGATTAAGCTTGCAAAGGCACGAACAACTTCTCCTTCAACCCTTGGCCATCCAGTCCGTTTTCGACACAGGCAAGGACAGAGTGACCGTTTCAGATTGCGAGAAAATAACATCCACCAGCTCGATTGCTGACTGACAGCTCCAGTTCGCGCAGCATGAAATACATACCGGTAACCACCATGGTTCGTGGCCACCTCGGTCCATTTGGAACAGGCGGCTCGGCCATACCCTGCAGCAAAGGGTTCAAATCTTGTAGGCCCCGCAAGTCCTCGCAAAACAAATCTTACACGCCTGGCAGCTGTTCTCTGAAGAGATTCTGTCCAGAGAAAACCACATGAAACGTGGTAACCCTTGATTCTGCCAAGGTGGCTCCTGTAGGACCGGTATCCACCAACTTTAAACGGCACGAGACTTGATCAAGGAATCGTTGGAAAGAGGAACGGCGGGCACACCATCTCCACACCAGCGAACATGAAATCCAATCCAAGTCTGTAGCCGTGCATCTCTTGCATGTCTTGCTGACGCAGCAAAGAAATCATCCTAAATTCCGCGAGAGCAGTAGCCCTCTGGCCAAGGTCATCGGTTGTTTCATGGGGGGCCCTAGGACCACGAGTAGCCTCCAACTGTCTAATTACAGGCATATCGGGGATCCCTTCTTCTTCTTCTGGTGTTGGACGCTGTCATCACTGAAGCAAAGTGTCAGACCCAGAAACCAAGTGAGGAGCGTCACGCCTGTTACCTACAGATGGCACCGGCTCCATCTCACTTGAAGATGCAGCATTAGCCATTGCTCTAACACCTTCTAACATCCCAGCATCAGGATCTGCTGGGAGGTTTACACAGATTTTGACTTTTGCCAACCCCATCTCACCCTTACCGCTTTCTGCTGAATGAAGGGAGATCCGGCTCAGAATCCCAGTGCTAGCTGCTAACCTTGTCAAGTGAGCCCTCAGGAGAGGGTTCCCGGCTAATAGCAAAACAACGAAACAACAGCAATTTGAGCCCTCAGCTGAAGGTTCCACGGCTGACAGTTGAGCCCTCAAAGGAGGGTTCCACGGCTGAAGCTACAATACAAACACATCTGCACTGCAAACATATTGAACGTCACGTGAAGAAATCAACATGCCGAACCATCAGTCTAGAAAGGTGACACTTAAAGCATCATAAAAGCGAATGCCACGCACAGCAACTTTTCTCGGCCAGTACAATGTCTCCGGTTGTCCTTACAGCATTTAGCTGAGGCGAGCCCTCTTTGGGGTGCCTTGTCCTGGATGCTGAAGCGAATCCACCCTTTCATCTGCGATTGGTTTTACTGGTGGCTGACCGGCTGCGGCTCTCCACCATGATTTTGGTTTGTTCTCAGGCTCCACATGAAGGGCGCCCGAGAGTTCAATCGGCAACGAACATGACTTTCCAGGCCGCAGCCTTCTCAACAGCATGTCTGCAATCTTGTTGGAGATACCTGGAATGTGGTGAACCAGGTCTGGTCTATATTCTTGCGTTGCCAAGGTCTAAAACAAACTCTCTGGAAATCTTCAGCACAGCCTTGGATTTCGCGTTCACCCCGGACACACCCTTCTTCCAGAGACGTGCCGCCCATCCGAGGTTCCAGCAGAAGTGTCCAGATTAGATTGATCTTCGTCACTGATCGCAATGGTGAAGTATTCCGTGAAAACGTTATCAAGCTCCAAAGTTGCTTGCGTACCCCATGGACCTGCATCCCAGGTAGCTCTCCCCTGAGGGCCCAGTCGCAAGTAGTGTGCCAAGGAGAACTTCCGTATGATGCCGCCTTCCTCACCATGCAAGAAAGGTAGCAGCCAGGTAAGAGAATGCTGGATCCGCTTGACCTAGACACAGCCCTGCGGCGCATTTGTCTGCTTCTCATGGAGTGCGCCATACAATTCCTGAACCATTGGTCGCCACACGTAGATGATCGTGGCAATGGACATCACCTTGCCTATCAATGTCCTCAGCGACTTGACAGAGATCATGTTGCGAAGTGCCTGCGTGATGAGATGCACAATCTCAACCACCTTGGATTGCGGCACCCATCGTCACCAGTGAAGCTTAGTTGTACGCCGATCCATGTAGCGCTGTGTGCAAGTATTGCTGTATGAAATGCTAGAGGCACTCCTAGTATCATCCAGCCAATTGAAACTATTGCTGCCAGTCTCTTCCGCTGACCTTTGTTGCCAATGAATATTCCTAGCGGGTCGTCCACGTATACGTGTAGAAGCGCATGGGATCGCCTCGGCTTGTCCAGCGGCCCCATCATTAGCAACCGTATGAACCTTGACATCATCGCAATCATCACAGAGAACGTCAGTGGTGCGGCGCGAGGGCCTTGAGCTGCGCGCTCAAAGACATAATACTGCCCAATCTTCCCATGAAGCGTGGCAACAAAGTATCTCCTTTCTGGGTGATGCAAAGGGCAAAGGGATCAGCCAAAATGCATCTGCTACATCTGATTACATCTGCAACGATAAGCTTGACAGCCTCATCATCATTGGCCCAGGACATCAGCTTCAGAGCTGATGCGACAGCATCTGTGGCCCTCGGAAGGGCTGTTTTGGATTGCCTAGCTGGCCCCCTGGACACACTCGATCTCTTGCAGTCAAGTATTATCCTGATTTTGGTGGTGCTGAGTTTGGTCTCAGGGTTGTAGTTGACCTTCGTGACGCACCCGAATTTTGACAAGATTGGATCTCCATCAACATAATCCCTGACTTGATCGATGGTATCAGCTTGAGGTGTCCTTTTGAATGGTACGCTCGGACCGCCTCAGCCGCGTCCTTGCTGCCTTCAACTCCAGCATAAATCCCTTGAATTCGCCTCATAGTTTGTGGTTAAGTCACCAGCTCCTATCTCAACTTCATCATCTCCGACCGAAATGCAAGCACCACTCAACTCTGGCTGGATCTCTATTGGTGCTGGTGCTCCTTCATACAGCCACCGTGCACATCCTGCAGCTGGATCACCCACAACCTTTGCTCAATACTCTATGAGGTGACCACGAAGCACCGTCCGAAGTTGTTGATCTCCTCTGTAAGGCAAATGTCTGGCATTTCAGGCCCCCTGTTCCTCTGAAGTAGCAAATCCACTGCATCTCTGATGCAGTCTTTGTCTGTCACATGGCTTCCCCATGCACTCCAAAATCTGGCGTTCTGCCTCAGGATTGTGGTCCAGAAATCAGTGAATCAGGTTTGATACCCGCTTCCCAATCAAAGCTGCTTTGTCACCGACTGACTTGTGAATGTTTCGCAAGCTGTTGGTGTCATCCGCACTGTTCTCGACTAACTTTTGCCTCAACAGTTGCGTCATGATAACCTGGGGCTCGCATGGCTCTGAGACTCAGCGGGTTGCTTGAGGTGCCGGGCTCCTTTCACTCAGAGTTCCGATTGCCTTCACCAAGACTTCTGCCAGCTTCTCATTTAGTTGACAGGGGTATGTGCCGCATGTGCTTTGGTGACATAAGGCCCAGTAGGTTCGACTTGGTGAAGCATGCTCTTGGACCATTGTGCGTCAGGAATGGCAGATGATGCCTCCTGCCACTCCATGGTGTCACCCAAATCTGTATAGGGTAATTGCATGTCAGGCACACGTCGCTCAAATCGACGTTTGACATCAAATCGGCCAGCTTTTCTGCATCGGATCCAAACCTGCAATGCGCAAGGTGAATAAGTGTGTAGGTGCTAACCCCGTCGCCTCGTAATAGTTCCTGAAACTCATCTAGCCGAAACATTGAAGCAGCATCCTTCCTAAAGTGTGGCTGCTCCGGCACCCAGGGTTCGTGAGACTCATGTGCCAATGCTGCTTGCCTCAACACGGTGATGTGCGCCAGACCGTGTCTCATGCCATGGTCTGAGTTTGGGTGCCGCCATCTGCGACATGTTGGCTTGGGCCGGTTGCAGCTGCTGTGGCACTGAAGGGGACGGAGCTGTGTCTGACTTGATTGGCGCATCACCCACCACTTGCTCATTGAGCCCAGAGATCTCAGTCAGCACCAGTCTTTCTCCATCTCTGGGGCTCTATTCAAAGGGGTGCTAATCAGAGTCCTTTTTGCTAATTTATCTTAATTTATCTTGTTTTATGATATTTTAAAATCGATGGAATTGGGCCCAATTTTTCTATGAAAAAATATTTTTTCCTATGAAAAAATATTTTTTCCTATGAAAATTTTTTTTTCCTATGATTTTTTTTTTCTTCGTTGTGAGGTGTGGGACAAGGTCGTTGCGCAGAAGGGTGCCCTGCCCCCTTCTAAAGTAGTATTGGAAGCAAAAAATCGGCAAAAAACAAAATATGATTTTTTTTTTATTTTTTCTATTTTTTCTATTTGTTTTTATGTTTTTTAATTTTAAATTGAAATATGACCAATATTTTCCATTTCGGGCTACCTCAATGCATTTTGTTGCTTGTTCGTAGCCAAATTGCCTCTGACCTTTGCAAAGCTGAATAGCATCCCTTTGAATAGGGCCAGGGGGCCTTTGAATGAACCAGGTAGGCCGGCTCCACTACTTCTTCACGCCAGAACGCTTCATCGCCCACAGCGCGTTGGAAGACCAAATTCCATGGCCGGGTAGGATCATACCCTGGGACTGTTGGTGGGCCTCCCGCTGCGCCTGAATCTGCATATGCCTTCCTCAGCAGCTCCTGCTCACTGGCGATCTGTCTTTTGATTGGCTCCACCGTTTCAAGCCTTCAGTGCGCATCACTCTGGTACAAAATGGTCCAGATGCGCTCACCATACCCTTGGTGAAGACGCTCAATCTTTTCTTTGCACTTCATGACCCAAGGTCTGCCTGATCTAGCATCATCATGGCATTCGCAAAAATTTGGAATGACAATTTCCACATGTCAAAGTTCGAAGGGCCGGTCAGCTCTACATTACAAGCTGCAGCTTGCCGCCTCTACCAATGTTGTATCCTGACAGCTTGATCTTTTTGACCAACCTATGCACGTACGGGCCCCATATGCTGAAGTCGCAGTATGGTGGGCTGCCACTGTCAATGGGATGCTTGAGCGCTGAAAGCTGTTCAACCGTTGGCTCAGATTCTTTCGGAGGACTTTCATCCCCCTTGTACAAAGCAGAGCAGCGCATGTAACATGCTACCATCCCCTGTTCTGACATCATGCCACTCTCTGACTCATCAACTTGGGACAGGATTGAACTCAACTTGATCTTTCTCTGTGCGACCGAAAAGATTGCACCCCCTGCCGGCAGCGTGTTTGCAGGAGCCTTCGGCACCACAACAACCTGAGCACCCACTATCAATCTGCAGCATCGACCAACCAACCTTGCCATTCCCAGCTGCCCTAAGGTAGGTGGCTCTCGTGCAGCTGGATCACCAGCATTGGTCCCTGCCTTGGGCACCCGCCACCTCTGAATGGTTGCCTCATAATCTGCCTCAGGTGTATCCCAATGTCCTGTATGCCGTGGGTGTGATGCCCAACAAGGCTGCAAGGAATCCTTCCAGAGTGTCTGCGTTGCTCATGGCCGGAAGCGAAGCTCTGCCTCTGCTTGATCCCGTGGTGATGCGCAACGAGCAAAAGTCTTCAAATGAGCGGGATGGGTACCCAGGAGATGCACGCCCCCCACACACTCACCCAATTTGACACAGTCGGCGTAGCAAGAATGTTCCTCAGCCGTTACGGGCCTCACAGCCTAGGGAAAAGGAACTGCTCGACCCTCAGAGGGCGAGTTGAATCTCCGCCCAGCACTTTGCGATGTTCAAATACACTGAAGGATCAGCCGTTTTGTGCTCAAGGATCAGCCACAATCACTTTTGACTGTCCAACAAGTTGTTTTGCTCGTAAAAACAAAGGCTACCCATGCCTGAAGCATTCAGCATTCTCTTTGGACAGGACGCCCAGAATGGCCTGGTGTTGTTCGAGAACCTGACTCCCTCCACCTGTGTAGTATATTTTTCCCTTGTGGGCATGGATTGACCGTGCCTCCTCTGTTGGTTGAATTTCTGGCTGCGAAAGCTTGTCGTTGATTTCTGAAATCAAAGCTTTGATTTCGGGGATGAGCCTCAGCAAATCTCAGAGTACTAGACAACGGTTGGCCCGAGAGCGAGTAGGTGTATTGTTACTCAGATATTTTGTATGGTTGTAGTTTTTGCGGGATGGGAGATAGTTTGTGTCTAGGTTAATGATGTGAATATTTTCATACTGTGTAGATGTGAGGATAAGAAGATATGAAGATGTCAGGTTAGTAGTTGCAAAACTTGCTTGAAAAGCAGTTTGGACACACGCTTTTACACACAGAAGCCTCTACACACACACATACACACACGCTTTTAGACACAGAAGCCTCTACACACAAACGCTTTTACACACAGACACTTTTACACACAGAAGTCTTTACGCACAGACTCTTTTACACACAGAAGTTTTTGCACCCAGAAGCCTCTACACACAGACGCTTTTACACACAGACACCCTTCCACACAAACGCTTTTACAAACAGACGCTTTTACACACAAACGCTTTTCACACAAACGTATTTACACAGAAACTTTTACACCTCTCCACGCACACACGCTTTTTCAAGCACAGAAGCATTTACACACACACACACCCACACACACACCCACACACACACGCACTTGCTCAGACGCCTTGTAGAATTGTGATGTGAAACGCAACGGCTTGCAAAAACACCAACAACCAAAAAACACGGTGAGATGACCCTGTACAATATATATATATATATGTGTGTGTGTGTAATATCGCCCGAGACAATGACAGTATAAAGCAACAGCGATAAATTATATGTCCCCCCCAGCTGCGACTTAAATGCGCCCAGGGGCGGGACAATATATTATATATGCAGGTACAGGAGTGTGCGTCCACACTCCCTTCCGGCTGAATCCCGACAACTACAAGTGGTCAATGCCCAAGCTGCGGTCAATGGTTCAAAAAATGGAGAGTGCCCAAACTGCGGCCAGTGGTCCAACCAGCAACGACAACGACATGGTGAGACCCGAAAAATGGCCGACTGTTCCACTTTACTTAGACGAATTACTAGGTTAAAAATGTAAATTTAGAAATCAGGTCGAAGGATCCAACATCTTACCTAGACAGGTATTCCCCGAGGGGCTCACGGCATCTTGTCGAACCGACGTGGGTAACACACTTGCTCAGAATTGTCATTCCGAATTATGTTGTGGAACACATCTTACGCGCAAAAGAAGTTCCATTACACCTGACAGGAATGGGTCGGTGAAGAGACCCGAAAAAGTTATCGAGAAGCTACCATCGCCATTGCCAGCGTAGTTGCGGTTTCCAACATCCAAGTTGAAAGTTGGAATTGATCAGATTGCGACAACAGTGCAGGACGTAAAAAATCGGTTGTGCGGTTCTGGGCTTGGCCGCGTGCCATACGTAGTAAAAACAAATTGACTTGCAGGTACGTGGAGTTGAGCAGACTCCATATCACCACGAGCTGACGGTGCCTTCGTTGGGCAATGTCTGTCAGTCGTGCACTGCCCCCCTGCAAATCTGAAATGCATCATAATGAAACCAAGACCTAAAAGAGGAACAGAATACCGGAAATCCAACAGGTTAGAAGTTTTACATCTCTTCAGTGGTTCACACACACAAACGCTTTTACACACGGACGATTTTACACACACAGACGCTTATTTTACACACATAAGCATCCACACACAGACACGTTTACACACTATTACACACTGTTCCTTTCAAGATCGCAATTTTACCTCAGCTTTTCACGTTCGACCTCCATTTCGTGTGTAAAAGTTGCTTTAGAATCACAATTTTACCTAAGTTTTGACGGTCGACCTCCATTTCGTGCGAAAGCGTTGCATCCCGATGAGTCCCGACGGAGCCACCTCCGGCCTAAGAAAATTAAGAAAGAGATAGAAAGAGATAGAATATTAGCGAAAGAGAGAAGAGAAAGAGAGAGAGAGAGAGATGTCAGACGTGAGATGTGCAAACGTAAGAGATGTAAATGTGAGATTTGCAGATGTACATGGCACCTTCCTTGTTTGGAAGAACCCTACGCTCAGACGCTCTCGGGAATGAGAAACAAAAAACACACATGAAATCAATGTAGTTGCATAGTGACTGGCGCATAGTGACCGGCATGGTGTTGCATGTTTCATCATCCATGGAAGAGCAGCTCCAAGCTGAGCACTCAATGAGACCTTCTGGAATGAGAATCACACCGTAGTCCTCCAGTGTCTGAAGTCCATCCAAAGCTGTGACCAAAGTCCAAGGATGACAGGATGATGACATGTTCATTGAAAATTCATTGAATCAACAAGTTCATTCTTTTGGATCTTGTGAGCCCCTGCACTCGATCCAACTCCTTGCCATCTTTGCTTCGTGCTTCGATCATGTCCTGAAAAGGCGATCTGGCTCAGAACAGTGCGAAATTGCTTCAAACATGTTACATGTTCACAAATGACTATCAATGTGTCATATTTCAAGCATGTAGCATGATGTGGAATCTTATTTTGTGGCAATTCTGTGGCAATTTCATGGCCTGTCCATTGTCCATGGCACATCTCAATCTTCCCACCAAGGTCGCAGCTGCCAGTTCCATCGTGATGTCTTTCAAGCTTTGTCTTCCTTCAGCTACCTGACATTTTAAGCTGTCACATCCAAGAACCCCTAAATAGCTTGTGCTGAATATACCCAAAGGGCAGTGATGATCTACATCTTCCTTGAGTGACAATGGCTTGGGATCGTACCTCTTCGCCAAATAGGCATGCATTAGGATGTGTCAAGAGTGCCTGTTGCCAGTGACAATTGGCAGTGTCAATTGTTGCTGAAGAAATGTCAAAAAGCACTACCATGCTGTTACCAAGCTGACATTTCTTCAAGAAACTACATGGCTGTTGGTCTTGCTGAGAGGTGAACATGCACTGCATGCACTGGGGCCCTGGCAACTTCCAAGGCAATATGGGACGCGGATCGGCCCATCAAGCGGACTAAGTGGTAGTACCTCCGGCATAGTGTAATCAATTGTAATCATGTGTAATCAGCGTGTAGTGTAGTCTCATATTCTGATGTGTAATCTCAAGTGACATCAGATTGTCTGTAATCCTCGTGATTCTCACGTGTTTCTGGATTCATATGCCAGAGGACTCAGAACATGGGAGCTACATGGTCTTACAATTGCAACATACGCACGACGCACAAGGAATTCTGTCAACTGGAACTAAGTCCAGGTTGCGAATTAGCAGCATCTCAAGCAATGTCATTGTGGAGGAAACACTTGCGATCGCATACATGCAAACATCTGCCTCAAAGATATGTAAAGTAGAATCACGTTACAGTATACAACACGATCACATATCATGCTGGCCATTTGAAAGTTGGGTGCTGGACAAACGGTAGACATGACCCAGGAAGACAAGAACACCGGGACTTTCTATCACAAGCGACTTAATGCCTAATTCATGATGTTTGTGCAAGTACACATCTTTCTAGCATGGAACACATGAAATGAAGGTCCAAATCCAGAAAAGAAACAAGGTGCTCCTGCCATAAGTAGTTCTTTCTCAGCATATCTTGGCGCACTTCTGGGCACTCAATGCATCAACTGCCACGTTTCCTGAATGTTCTTCGCTGGGTAAGAAACGGAAACTTTTGGCCCCATAGCATTCCAGTTGGCCCATGTACTAATGCAAAACTATCAAACCTATGTGTGCAGCTGCAATGTCTATAGGAATGACTTACGCCCGACTCGGCGCGCCTACCAAAGTGGCAAATGTCTTGCAGGCTGTGTCGAAGCCAAAAGACACAGGCACGTGCGGCGGACACCTGGAAAAAAATGGAAACACACAAATCAACAGATTCTGCTATGCGATGTGTATGCAATAAGTACGCAATGAGAATGTAAGGAGTATGTAATGAGTATATTATAATGAGTACGCAATGACTATGTAATGAGTTGTAATGAGTACGCAATGAGTATGTAATGAGCATGCAATAAGTATGCAATGAGTATGCAATGAGTATGTAATGAGTACGCAATGAGTTTGCAAGGAGTATGCAAGGAGTATGCAATAAGTATGCAATGAGAATGTAAGGAGTATGCAAAGAGTATGTAATGAGTATGTAATGAGTACGCAATGAGTATACAAGAAGTATGCAATAAGTATGCGATGAGTATGCAATGAGAATGTAAGGAGTGTGCTAAGAGTATGTAATGAGTACGTAATGAGTACGCAATGAGTATGCAAGCAATATGCAATAAGTGTGCAATGAGTATGTAATGAGTATGTCATGAGTACGCAATGAGTATGTAATGAGTACGCAATGAGTATGTAATGAGCATGCAATAAGTATGCAATGAGTATGCAATGAGTATGTAATGAGTACGCAATGAGTTTGCAAGGAGTATAGAAGGAGTATGCAATAAGTATGCAATGAGAATGTAAGGAGTATGCTAAGAGTATGCAATGAGTATGTAATGAGTACGCAATGAGTATGTGATGAGTACGCAATGAGTATGTAACTTGAGGCCGGGGGTGGATGACGAAAGCTAGCGGGGTAGGAGAAAGAAGGAAGGGAAGAGGTGAGTTGCGGAGGGACTGTCATCATCGTGTCGCGGCATTGTTCGTCCCAACGAGGATGCAACAATGATATATGATATATGATATATAACAATGATATATATGGGGGAGGGGGCAGGGGTCCCCCCTTTCGCGTGAAAAATCACGTGATGTCCTTGAGCAGCCCCCGGAATACTTGCTAAAGCAAGAAGACTCCAGCTAGCTGGCGCTAGCTTTCGTGATAATGCCAATAATTGCCAATAATGATAAAATGTAATTGAATAACGATGATGATGATGATGATGATGTTGATGATGATGATGATGATGAATGATGATGATGATGATGATGATGAATGATGAATGATGAATGATGAATGATGAAGGATGAATGATAATGATGAATATGAATGATGAATGATGAATGATGGTGATGATGATGATTGATGACGATGACGATGATGATGACGATGACGTGACGATGACGATGACGAGGACGATGATGACGATAATGATGATGATGATGATGATGATGATGATGGTGGTGGTGGTGTGGGGGTGGTTGGGTGGTGGGGGGGGTCCCCCCTTTCGCGTGAAAAATCACGTGATGTCCTTGAGCAGCCCCCGGAATACTTGCTAAAGCAAGAAGACTCCAGCTAGCTGGCGCTAGCTTTCGTGATGAGCATGCAATAAGTATGCAATGGGTATGCAATGAGTATGTAGTGAGTACGCAATGAGTATGCAAGCAGTATGCAAGGAGTATGCAATAAGTATGCGATGAGTATGCAATGAGAATGTACGGAGTATGCTAAGAGTATGTAATGAGTACGCAATGAGTATATAATGAGCATGCAATAAGTATGCAATGAGTACGCAATGAGTACGCAAGGAGTATGCAATAAGTATGCGATGAGTATGCAATGAGAATGCAAGGAGTATGCTAAGAGTATGTAATGAGTAGATGTAATCAGTACGCAATGAATTTGTAATGAGTATGCAAACAGTATGTAATGAGTATGTGATGAGTACGCAATGAGTATGCAAGGAGTATGCAATAAGTATGCAATGAGTATGCTAAGAGTATGTAATGAGTATGTAATGAGTACGCAGTGAGTTGGCAAGCAGTATGCAGTAAGTATGCAATGAGTATGTAATGAGTATGTAATGTGTATGCAATGAGTACCAATGAGTATGTAATGAGTACGCAATGAGTATGCAAGGAGTATGCAATAAGTATGCAATGAAATGAGTATGTAGTGAGTATGCAATGAGTATGCAATGAGTATATAATGAGTATGCAATGAGTACCCAATGAGTTTGCAAGGAGTATGCAATAAGTATGCAATGTGTATGCAACGGGTATGCAATAAGTATGCAATGAGTGTAATGAGTATGCTAAGAGTATGTAATGAGTATGTAAATTGTACGCAATGAGTATGCAAGCAGTATGCGGTAAGTATGCAATGAGTATGTCATGAGTATGTAATGAGTATGCAATGTGTATGCAATGAGTATGTAATGAAGTTGCAATAAGTATGCAAAAAGTAGGTAATGACTATGCAATGAGTATGTAATGAGTATGCTATGAGTATGCAATTAGTATGTCATGAGTGTGCAATAAGTAAGCAATGAGTATGTAATGAGTATGCAAGGAGTATGCAATGAGTATGCGATGAATATGTAATGAGTATGCAATGAGTATGCATTGCGTATGCAATGAATAAGCGATGAGTATGCAATGTATGTAATGAGTATGCAATGAGTATGTAATGAGTATGTAATGAGTATGCAATGAGTATGTAATGAGTATGTAATGAGTATGTAATGGGTATGCAATCAGAATGTAATGAGAAGGTAATGAGTTTATATGTGATGAGTATGCAATATTATGCAATGAGTACGCATTGAATATGTAATGAGTATCTAATGCGTATGTGATGAGTATGTAATGAGTACGCAATAAGAGTGTAAAAAGTATGCAATCAGTAATCAGTACATAATGAGTATGTAATGAGTATGTAATAAGTATGTAATGAGAATGTAATTAGTATGCAATGAGCATGTAATGAGTTTGTAATGAGTATGTAATGAGTATGTGATGAGAATGTAATGGGTATGTTATGAGAAGGTAATGAAAATGTAATGAGTATGTAATGAAAATGCAATGAGTATGTGATGAGTATGTAATGAGGAGTATGTAATGAGTATGTAATGAGTATGTAATGAGTATGTCATGATGGTGAGTGTGTAATGAGTATGTAACAGTATGCACTGAGTGTGTATTGAGTATGTAATAAGTATGTAACAGTATGCACTGAGTGTGTATTGAGTATGTAATGAGTATGTAATGAGTATGCACTGAGTGTGTATTGAGTATGTTAGGAGTATGTAATGAGTATGCAAAGAGTTTGTAATGAGTATGTAATAAGTATGTAATGAGAATGTAATGAGTATGCAATGAGTATTGAGTTTGTAATGAGTACGCAATCAGTATGTAAGGAGTATGTAATGAGTATGTAATGAGTATGTAATGAGGGCAATAAGTATGTATTGAGTTTGCAGTCAGTATGCAATGAGAATGTAATGAGCATGCAATCAGGAATCAGTATGTGATGAGTATGCAATGAGTATGTAATGAGTTTGCAATGAGTATACAATGAGTATGTAGTGAGTATGTAATGAGTACGCAATGAGTATGCAAGCAGTATGCAATAAGTATGCAATGAGTATGTAATGAGTATGTACTGAGTATGCAAAGAGTATGTAATGAGTATGTAATGAGTACGCAATGAGTATGCAAAGAGTATGCAATAAGTATGCAACTTGTATGTAATGAGTATGCAATGAGTATGTAATGAGTTTGCAATGAGTATGTAATGAGTATGCAATATGAATGCAATGAGTATGTAATGAGTATGTAATGATCATGCAATGAGTATGCAATGCTGCAATGAGCATGCAATGAGTATACAATGCAGATATAATAAGTGTGTAATGAGAATGTAATGAGTATGCAAAGAGTATGCAATAAGTATGCAATGAGCATGCAATGAGTATGCAAAAATAAATATGCACTTAGCGTGCAATGAAATGAAATAAGTATTCAATGAGTATGCAATGAGTATGTAATGAGTATGCAATGAGTATGCAATGAGAATGTAATGTGTGCGCAATGAGTATGCAAAGAGTATGCAATGAGAATTTAATGAGCATGTAATGAGTATGCAATGAGTATGTAATGCATATTTCATGAGTACGCAAAAAAGTATGTAATGAGTATGAAATGAATGTGAGATGAGTATGCAAACAGGAAGCAGTATGGAATTAGTATGTAATGAGTATGCAATGAGTGTACAGTATGTAATGAGTGTGCAATGAGTAAGTATGCAATCAGTATGTAATGAGTACGCAATGAGTATGTAATGAGTACGCAATGAGTGCGCAATGAGTATGTAATGAGTATGTAATAAGTGTGTAATGAGTATGCAATCAGTAATCAGTATGTAATGAGTATGCAATGAGTATGCAATGAGTATGTAATGAGTATGTAATAAGTGTGCAATGAGTATGCAATCATTAATCAGTATGTAAGGAGTATGCAATGAGTATGCAATGAGTATGTAATGAGTATGTAATAAGTGTGTAATGAGTATGCAATCAGTAATCAGTATGTAATGAGTACGCAATGAGTATGCAATGAGTATGTAATGAGCATATAATAAGTGTGTATACAATGAGTATGCAATCATTAATCAGTATGTAATGAGTATGCAATGAGTATGCAATGAATATGTAATGAGTATGTAATAAGTGTGTAATGAGTATGCAATCAGCAATCAGTGTGTAATGAGTATGCAATGAGTATGCAATGAGTATGTAATGAGTATGTAATAAGTGTGCAATGAGTATGCAATCAGTAATCAGTATGTAATGAGTATGCATTTAGTATGCGATGAGTATGTAATGAGTATGTAATAAGTGTGTAACGAGTATGCAATCAGAAACCAGTGTGTAATGACTTAATGAGTATGCAATGAGTATGTAATGAGTATATAGTAAGTGTGTAATGAGTATGCAATCAGTAATCAGTGTGTAATGAGTATGCAATGTGTATGCAATGAGTCTGGTGTATCTACATGTTTCAAACTTTAAGCCTTCACATTGTGTTTGCTATGCTATGAATGGACAGATTATTGCCAAGAAACGTACAAGATTGCTAGAGGCCAACCCTAATCATATAGGCTGGATGAACCATACTATCAATTACTATCATACAAAACGGTATGGCCAAATCCAAAGATCCGTTTTGTCCGCAAATGATTTGAGAAGTGCAAGAGGCACTTCAAGTCTCCGTCGATGGTCTTCGGAGTGCCAATGACTTTCGTCTTGCAGTCATTCTCCTTGCAATCATACTGCATGCGAAGTCGTGATGCACAAACATTGCAGGAACTCGTAGGATTTCAGAGATCAGCAAATCTCAACGCCTTGAAGTACTCAGCCAAGACTGCACCATTGGTGTTTGAGTCCTTGGTTGTGAGCTGCTACAACTTCAAAGGAGTGAGCGGTGGACAAAGCAGCTTGGGACAAGTGCTGCTCCATGCCCTCTGGACTGCAAAAGGATGAATGCATCAAAGGTATTCTAAGTTTATTCTTTTTAGACATCTGTTAGTGATGTGAGCTCATGTCTGCACTCCGAAAGTGAGATGCCTTGCGCTCTGCCCCGAATCTCAATGAACATCATTGGCTATGTTTAGCTGAAATCGATTGAAATCGCGCTAAGGTGCATCTCCTCCAATAATGACCAAGCCATCTAGCCCAATGGCATTGCACACCTTAAATTACAGGGGCACAGGATGGCACGAAAATGCAGGTGCGGCTGATCTTGACATACTGAGAAGAGCAATCGCAAAATCCATCAAACACACATATGTTTAATTCTCGCAGTATCACAATGTCTAGCAATGTCTGGTAAACTTTGAAGTCATGCAAAAATGTCTAGCCCAATGAAGCTAGACAAGTAGACAAAGCAAAAGTCTGCTGCGCGACAGATTTTGCAATCTCTCCGTCCTATTTCCTTGATTGGCATCCATTGCCTACACCTCCAGTGTTGAGCAAAACAGTTCTGGTCTGACTGGGAGCCTGACCAGCATTGAGTCCTCGAACTGTTCCTGCTTCAGTCTTTGAATGGATCGTTCTTGAACTCTTTCCATCTTTCTTCCAGTACCCGAAGGACAGCTTTAAAAAATTGTTCTCTGGGAGACTCTATATGTATATAAGACTCTGAACAGGCTTGGCTGCAACCAAATCTGTCGACCCTTCCTGCGTCTCGATCTTGTGGCGTCCGCTGCCCAGCATGTCGAAGCCACCTGTTGCTTTCTGCCATTGACTAGGCGGAACATCAAAATCCGCGAAACAGAGCATTTCTGCTTTCAAGTTGTTCAGAAAGCAATGGTATTGTCAAAATGTAGAAATCAGGAACCAGCCATCTAAAGAGATCATTTCTGATGCTTCAAGAGTAAAAGTAATAAGTAAGCAAATGATACTCATCACCAGGGGGAGCACCAGTATTGCGGAATCCATCCATGATCGCATCGGTAATCACCACGAAGTTGCCAGAGAACACTCCGTGAGGTCCATCCAGGAATCCATACATGCTGGAGTCCTCACAGGAGCATGGCAAATATCTGGCCATTTCTGCATCCAGATCAATATGGGATCTGCAACTGATGGTGAAACACTAAACAAATCCTCGAAATAAGTAGTGATATCAAGTGATATAGTTTGTGTATATTTGATCAAAGCTCAAAAAAAGAGCCACACATTTTATTCTTAAATTTACAGTAAGCCCAAAAAAAAACGTGTCAATCGTATGCATACTGCAGGTGAATGTGAGGGAGACGGAATGGGTCTCCGGATGGAGAGTCTCCGGATGTCCTTATTCCATGCTTTGATGCCATCGTAAATGCCGGCGATGACGTTGTGGCCTCCAGGTGCCTGACAAATTCTGACAGTGCAAAGTGTCTCTGACTTCATTGGCTGTCAAGGGAACACACAAAGTGCCTGCCCACCAGACAGGACCACACCAACCTTCAAGGGATCCTGCACACAATGGGAGGATGGACATGATGGACGATGGACATCAACATCTGCACATCGGATGCTTTGCGAATCAGCAAAACCCCTTGCTTTCATTGAATCTACCAGCATCTACCAGCATCTACCAGCATCTACCAGCCTTTGGGGAAGGTGCATCTCCAGCTTCAAGTTCCACAAGTGGGATGCCCTCAAATGGGCAACGTGTAGGAATACCATGGAATACTTGGATTCGTAGGGCACAGTTGGGACAGTTGGGCCAGTATTCCGATTGAAAGCGATGCCACGCCCTACATGTTTCTCTCTTGTGCATGCTGCTTTCAAATGCAGTGATTCAAAGAATTGGAAACAGTGTCTATCAGTGTCTCATGATGTCTCAGGTCTGACACATCAAACAAACGTTGAAATGTGAAAGTTGGCAGATTTGAAGAACACGATCCGAAAATATCCGAAATCTACAAATTGTGCTACAAGTTTGTGATTGTTCGAAAATTGTGCAGTGCATGAGCTCCATGAGCTCTGGACCGAGGTGTTTGGGAACAATCTCTTGATGGCCTCAGGGCGACCGCATTCAACATGTCTCAACATGTCTCAACATGTCCCATAATTTGTCGCAAAAAATGTTTATTCTGATTCATGAGACATGATGGATTAAGGATGATCAAGGAATGATCAAGGATTGGATGAAAAGAAAGAACGTAAGAAAGAAGAAAAGAATCCACATATGTTTGATGGGGGCAGAAGTTTCATGTGAAGTCATCTGCAACAGAATGAAAACAATGAAGCCAATAACAAGATTTGTTGTTTGAAAAAATGGTGAATTTGCTCGACACATGCCACCCAGGCTGCAGCATGATCAAGCAATTGAACCACATTGAAACACAACAGCCATTGGCCCATTGGCCCTCTGGTTTTGAAATGCTTCAAAGCCGATTCAAAGCGAGAACGAGTGGTGAAGTGCTGGGATTTGTCTTTTCCTCAAACTGACGGCGGATCTCTGAATCAACTTCTCAATACTTTGTCTCTTCATGCAACATGTTCACCCGTGCCACTGACACGGAACATGGGCAACTTGGCAAGTGAGTGAGGCAATTTTCTTACACAGACACATGTTTGCGTCAAATGTTGGGAGCGAATGACCGCTTGCCTCTGCATCTTTTGGAGAAGCTGCTACAGCCTTCCCAACTGCGATGCCCTTCTCATAGGTGATATGAGATGCAGGGCATAGGAACTTGACAAAGAGCTTCACAACTTCGACACGTGCTGTCATATCGGTCATGCAGGGTCTAACTCTTCGGGTAAAGTCTGACTATGTTCTAATCAAGTTTGCAGGAGTCTGCATGAGGCAAACTGCCTCCTGTCTCACGGCTTTACCGCCAGAAAGCAAAACGTCTGGCAGGTATTCCTGCAAGGAGCTGGATACTGCTATACTGCTGCATCACTGCCGAAGAATTGCATAGCGGCATAATACGCAAGAAAAACACGCAGCTGGTTGAGATCAACACAAGACAGAACTGATCGGAACTGAGTGGTGAAACAAAAATCTCTCTATGAATCTCTGTCAGACTCTGTCTGTCCTTGCAGTCAGCCTTCATGCGCTCCTTCTCCATGAAGCTGTGTGCCTGGCACAGTCCAAATGCACGAAGTCCTCCTTCGACAAATTTCTCGAGATCGACGAATCGATTTTTGATGATTTTTCTTTGGTCTTTTGAGGCTTCTTGAACAGCAAAGGCCCAGTACTCAGCCAATTTTCGACACTTTGAAGCTCTGCAGATCTCATGGTCACGCTTACGAGTCATTTCCAAGTCATTGCATGTGAGCATATGTGAGCCTTGCGCGCTCTGTTGTAATGAGTAGGGCTGGTGCTTGGAGCCATTACCTCAGGATAACTCAGGTCTCAACATTCTCAACATTCTCAACTTCCCAGCCACTCAGGATATGACATCATATGACATCTAATATGCTCCACGGATCTCAGCCATCCCAAATCGTCACACATTCAAAGTATATCAGTATATCAAAGAATTCAAATGCCTGTCTTTTACTTTCTTTTACTCAATTCTCTTGCAAGCAAACTAGCTGAAACATATTGAAACATGCTGAAACCATGAATCTGTGTTCGACGTTGAATCACAAGGTAGCTGGTGCATCCTGACGCATCCTGGCGCATCCTGGTGCACCCTCCATCCAGTGCAGCTAGGGAACCCTCGCAAGACGGCCAGTTCTGTTCCGAGCTTTAAATTTTTCAAATGTGCTATCCACTTGCAACGCTGAAGCCAAAATGTGCTGCAATCCCCTATGCTGAGTTTGTTCAACCATCACGTTGATCAAAGCTTGAAGCAAGGATGAAGAAACTATGTAGAAGTCTGCATGCACCGCATAGGATGATTCTTCAAGCTTTATGTGTTTGATGGTGTTTGTGAGATCGATATAGATCGATGATCGCAATGTGTCGTTCTAGGTGTCGTTCTACGTGTCGTTTTATGGGCACCACCGAAAGTTTCACGATGCACGACACATCGCCGATCAAGGTTTGCAACGTCTCCTTGTAGACAACGTCAGGGCAGGTCAGTCCCATGCTGCAGCATGCTGGTATCAACCTCCACACGCATCCAAAATCATCCAAAAACCACATTCAAACTCCACTCAAATGCACATTATCAAAAGATTTCCCATGATACTCATATGATATCATATGATACTCAAGCCATCAATTTACTTTTAGCAAGCATTTGCACACTCTCCGCACTCTCCTGATCCATTCGCACATGTGGATGGTCTCTTGTGGTCTGGTAATCTGGTACACTGCAGCCCCAACGCCATGCATTTTCGACAGCGAACAGCAACGGCACTTGGACAACGGCCTCAATCAAATGGTTTCATCTTCGCGTCACGTGCCGCATTGCCCAACAATTCGAAACACCGAAACACCCATGTCGACTGCCATGTCACTGCCACATATCGTTGGGTCTAGCTCATTACTTGTCAAAACTTGTCAATGATACGCTGACATATGGTTGTTGCACTCCACATTCACTCCTGAGAAATTGTTGGTCAGGGACAAAGATACTTGTTTTAGCTTGGGCTGAACTATCACAACAATTCATCAAATAGCATGCTACACTTAATTCCCATTAAACTAAACCAACCCAACTGGTGAATTTTGAACTTGACAGGGTACTTTGCATGGGCATGGAAGCCACAATGTGCGACAGAAATGTGCCAGGGATCCGATCTTGAAGTCCTTTTTCCTGACAAGACCAGTATGAATGAAGTCTTCCGAAAAACGAGGGGAGCAAAGTCGAAACTGGACGAAGCCTTCAATTTCAAATTGCAAAACTGAATCAACATGGAACTAACCTGATAGAGTCCAGTTCAAGGCGCAAAAATCGTGGCAAGTTGAGAGTCTGATATAGTCTGATATAGTCTGCTTAAGCTTGTTGAAGATTTTCTATGTTGTCCAACTTTGAAGCCTCTTGGAGTGACAAGGATACCCATTTCGCCGGATCCACCGGCTGATGGCCCATGTGAAGCCCATCCCTCACGGATGTTGGTTCCGTTTTGGTTCCATGTTTGGGTGTTTCCAAACCCCACTGAAATTCACCAACTTGGAGGATTTTAGGCATCCCGGCATCCCGCACTATTGGACATTGTACTTTTGCAAGTCTGGCATCTCTCCCGATACTCTGGTGTTTCTCTGTGTGCAGCGTGCAAGATAAGGACATCGAGCACAATCACTTGTTCAAGGGAATCAAGAATGGCACACTCCATGGCCTGGTCACTATCGAACGGACCTGGCTCGATCTGCTTGCATGAGCCGGGCAAACAACATGATCTCAGATGATCTTAGTCTCATCTGAGAGATTCTGAGAGACACCTTCAAAAGGCCTGAGGCCGTGGCCTTGGCATACTTCATGGCACCGACAGAAGGGGGCACCGCGCACCATGTCCAAACCACCCACTATTCATGGGGCAACCATGGGCCATGTCTCTGAATTTACCGTTTCCAGTACCGCCATGCAAACCAGTGGGTTTGTACACTTTATCCTGGGAAAGTACGACTGGGAAGGCGCATCTGTAAGTTGCCATGAAGTAAATTCTGGCCATGATGTTGTTGCAGCAACAGCTGCAGCTAGGTGTGAGCCAACAACCACTCACCCACACATCAAAGAAGCATAGCCCAAACTCATCCACGGATTCAAGACTTGGCACTTACATGACTCAGCAAATGACAGTGGAGTAAGTTCGTGCATGTAGCCGCAAGTGCATGTCTAGTATGTAGTCTCAAAGTCTACCGTTTGCCTACCTGCAGATACAGAAGTATCCAAGGCGAGGCCCACTGGCCAATGGGAGACTAGCATGTTTCTTGCTTCTGACAGTAAGATGTTTCATGATGTTTCCCTCTGAAGTGCAGCCTACGGCAAGCGGCCGAGTTTTTGTTTGCTCGAGGTTTGATTGCCTAGCACGATGCCGACCGTCTCCCCCAGGTGGACTCCAGGCCAACAAGAGCCTACCCATGCCGCCTGATCTGAAGGAAGCCAATGACTCCAATGACTCCAATGACTATCAATCTGAGGATCTCAGTGGTTTCAACGTTGATCCCTTTGAGCTTCACCTAGACCCACCCCGGTAGACCCACCCCGGCTCCAGCCTCACTCTTTCACGCAAGTCTTGGATCAAACTCACTGCAGAGGCGGATGATGCCACGTCACGGCCCTGGTCACTGAGCGCAAGTGAAAAAAAAATGTGGAAAAATGAACATCCATGTTGAGGAAAAAACACACATTGCAACAATATGTATTAATCTATTCCACCATGTCATGCCAAAACAAGAGGAAAAGGGTCCAGGTTTAAAAAGGGGGATCCACCGCAACCACTAACCGAAAGATGGGCCACCAGCACCAGCATCTGCTATGATCTTCACACATCTTCCCACCTCATTCTTGGCCCTCGCCAGCTCAGCTCGGAGGGATTGGGCCGCGGCATCCAGCAACGAGGATTGCCTCAGGTTCCAACTTCAGGGATGTCACATGATGTCACCCTGTATCACAGTGAACGGTTTCATACGGTTTCTTATTCAACTGATCTGGGACACCTTTAAGCAGGTAATAAATGGAAAGAACGACCGCCCAACGATTTTGCGTGGAGAATATGTTTAAGTTCTCCCCTTTACCATCCCTTACTGTAAATTACTACAGCTCTGCAACAGCCAGTGGCCAACAGATTTGACATAGTTGGGCCAGGGAGCAGGAGCAAGTTGGTGCCTGGAGGCCTCTTGCCATGCTCCTCCATATCACCTGGCAACCAAGGTTGCTGTTGAAAAAGCTGACAGGCAATGGAAAGTGGGCAATAGGCATGTCGTCATAAAAACCATTACAATTCGTTGCGATGTGTCACACACGAAGATACATCATGTAGAAAAATCTAGATGTGCGCGTGTGAACACATAGAGTTCTTCGTATAGAGGTAAGTATGCACGCACGTAGTTGTGTATACATATATAGTGAGTGTTTTACGGACCACACCCTAGCTCATCCCCTTAACTGCAGGAGTGGGGTAGTGGCCCGCCTGTCCGCCTAGTGTTGCACCCGGGCGCTGAACCCGGGTCTGACGCATGAGGGATAGCGTGTATACATATACTATATACACATACATCGTATGTATGTGTGTATTGCGTGAATGCCTGTGCGCAAACAGAGAGAGATTAATTTTATATATGCCATGCTGCCATTCTAGCCGCTAAAGAGTAATTACAGTAATACAATATAATCAACCAAGACCGGCAATAACGTGCCCAATACCCTCTGACCCAACCAAACCTGCACCGGCGAAGCCCAGTTCATCGAGTGCACCCTTTAGGTCACTCAGCGCCCCTACAATGGTGACATCTCTGGTGTCCAATGGTCAAATTAGCAAGTCAAAACGTGCCTCTTTGGAATGTTTTAGGTAAGAACTGTCTTCATCTGAGAGCAAGAGTCCAAACAGTATGCAGTATGATGTCTTTGTGTTTGATTCTTCCTCCACAGACGAGAGGGCAACTAGATAATTAGAAAGCATGAAAAGAACCAGCGCAACAGTTCCTGATGCTACTGCTATGCTCTCTGTTTTGCAAATGTCACTCATCTGATTTTTGTATCAAGCTTTGATAGAAGCCAGTGAAGCCAAGTATATATACCCAGTCTGGCACATGCAATGCAAAAGCTGTAAATCTGCTGGTGCTGGAACCATTTCCAGCGTTTCAATGAGGGCATCGAGCGTAATAGCATCAGCTTGGAGTTTCTGCTCTCGTAGCTGCTTGTAAAACATTTGCGCTGACGCACACGCACCAACACTTCGACAAACCTTCAATAAGCTGTTGAATGAAAAAATGTCTGGTTGAATGACACTGGTCCGCATGTCCTGCAATATCCCGAAGCCAAACCTCCACAGGTATCTCCTGCTGGTCGGGTTGCTATCGCAAACGGCAATGAGGGCGTTGTACGCAACCACATCCATCTTCACCGAATCTCGCTTCATACTGTTGTAGAGTTCAGGTGCCAAAAAGGGATTGCTAGATCTCCTACATGCACCCAGCGCTGCAGTGTAGGCAACCTGATTGGGAGTAAGGTTCGCTGCATGCATTTGAGCGAGGTCAGTCAAGGCGAGTTCCCACAGCGAATGCTTCTCGTATGCATTGATGAGCGTGCTAAAAGTTACCACGTTGGCTCGGATTCTTTGAGCGGCCGTCTCCTCCATCAAACGCAAGGTTTCAGAGCCTATGTCATGTATGTCTTTGCCTGGTGTGTCATAAGCACTCAACAGTGAGTTCAAAGACACCACGTTTGGCTGCACATTGTGCTGCTTCATCTTCCAAAAAAGATCCTTTGCACTGGTCACATCACCAACTTTTGCGAAAGCCCGAATGGCTGCATTGAAACTGATTACATCCGGCTGCAGCCGATCCACGATCAACTGCGAAAGAGCTTCGCCTGCATCGGTGGCACAGCTGCACTTCTCACATGCGCTGATCAAGGCACTGTATGAAATCAAATTAGGAGTGATGCGTTTCACTCGCATCTGGTCGAACATTTGAAACGCCTTGTTGACCATGCGGCCCTTTTCACAGGCGCTTATTGCGGAGCTGTACGAAATCAAGTCCGCCACAACTTGAGCCGCTTCCATCTCTTGTAGCATGCCAAGCGCTTTGTCAGACAAGGAACTTTTTTGGTACACGCTGACGACTGTGTTGTAGGTGACCAAGGAAGGTTTGATCTGCACCTCCTGCATGCCAGAAAAGATCTGTTCCGCTCTTTGGACCAGCACAGCCGCGCTGCATGAAGCAATCGCAGAATTGAAGTCCATAACCAGTTGCTGAAACTGCAACTGTGTGAGATTCAGGCCGCTCTGGGCAGATTCGTTGACTATGCCACACAAAATCTGCAAAGCGGCTTGCCACGAGGTTTTCATAGCGGAGCATGGCAAGGACAGCAGTATCAGGCGGAAGTTAGTTCAAAGTTTGTTTTCAATTGACTGCTACTTCAAACCCACAGCGGCTTGTCCCCCGTTTGAACCTTCGTGGCTTCCATCTTGCACAGTCAAGGGACATTTTGGAAATTGTCTCTTTTGATTTTTTTGAAATTTAGCATCATCGACCATTGCCACATCTCAACTGATTCCGCGGTCCCACCTTCGAGCATCGCACGCCGTGCCTGGCGCAAGGCAGGGCAATGAATCTCGTCCCCATAGGTGACGCGCCTTCGTGGGGAGAATTTCCTGGCCTGACCTGTCATGAAGGGGAGAATCCCTTTTTTTGCCAGCCCTTAGCTTATATATTAATAATTACATCTCAAGGGAACACTCCCAAGGACACCAAAGATTGTTCAGAACGAGTCTGCCAACTCTGCGAACCCACGTTAAGTCGTTCTCTTCAAGCTGTCACGGCCAGTGTTTGCTCAAAGTGGACATTTCATTCTCCCTGGATTGTCTGGTTATTTCAGACATTTTCAGACTCATGCTACTGGCGTGTGGCGTGTCGCCTCTCGCTCCTTGCGCTCCTGGTCCTCTTGCTGCAAACGCCTCAGTCGCACTTCTTGACGTTCCAGTTTCGCTTCCAACTCTGTGGCCTTGGCAGAGCTTCAAGAGGTCTAACGAAACGTGCAGCATGAACTAAGTTCATGTCTCATATTTACGGGCATATGTATACATGTCATATACAAAATGGGTTCAAGTGTGAAATTATCTATGTTAATGCACGGTGCGTAGTGCTAATCTCATCTGATTTGAGCCACGCTATGTAAGCTAATCCAAAATCCAGCTATCTATCACTGTGTCTGCGCGTGTTCGAATGTATACATGGGTTCATCACACCCGTCGAAACATGCCATGTTGATCCATCTTTAAGCTGACCTCCCTTTCAAAGCACTAGGTAGTGACATATGATGACATATGTAGTGCTTACAGAAAACCTTTTACAGTATTTTACAGTGAGGTTTCAGCTGAGGCCCCTAGGATTTCCAGGCTCCCAAGCCTTACGATGTTCATCCTGGAGCATTTCTTCAGAGGAAAGTCGTTGTGTGGCAGCTGCTTTGAGCGCCGACTCCTCGCAAAGTGTCTGCTGAACATGTCAATTTGGATAGCGATCTGGGCACGCCGGCACCCCCCAAACATCGTCGTTGTTTGTATTTGATTCAACCGGACCATTTAAAGGGCCAAGAATTTTGGGCCCATACCCATGCTTCAATCCCAAAGTATTTGGATCAGGATCACACTGCCGGTGCCCAGGCGCCTGCTCTGCAATCATGTGACGCAAAGCTTCCACCCGCCCCATCGCTGAGGCCTGGTGGCTGCAGAGCATGGAAAGTGACAGGCGTCCAAAAGTCTTCCTGTCCGAAAAACTTGGAAGAAAACCCAATTGTCTCAATCAAGTCCTAGGCACCTGTTGACCTTCCCATCAGCCAACGCTGGCACGTGGCCTCTTCTTTCCGCATCTCAGAATCCTCTTCTGCCTGACAGCTGAAGAGTTGAGGTGGCATACCATGGGCTGCACACTGGAGGGGGCAATGCCATACAGCTGCGCATCATGGAATGGCAATAGTATAGTGTACAATATTTGATGGTATGTGATGATATGTGATTTGGATGTGACTTGTATGTGATTTCTGAAATAAACCACCACTGCACTTTATGATACTTTATGATATTTATGTATAATTAGCGCTCTCTTTCTGCGTTTTCATGATAGCACGGTGATCACGCTCTTGACGGCGAAGATCCCAGGGATCACTGGCGCCTGACGAACCAGCTGGGCCTCTGGGAGAGCGCAGTATGCAGCGGTTCGTCTACTCCCCAAAAGTGATGGGCACGTGGTGATGTTCGTTCTTCAAAACAAAAAAGGGCGCGATAGATTGCATAGATGCTTCGGATTCACTTACATAAGTTATCCTGATATGCAATATATATATATGCTAGCCCCCCCCTAAGATCTACTTTTGATGCTCTTCTGGAGACGTACATGGTCAAACTCAATGAATTTAAATGGAAATTCTATTTAATTCATTACAATCATTTATTTCATTGAATTAATTTAATGAATTAAATGAATTAAATGGAAAATCTATTTAATTCATTTAGTTCATTGAATTAATTTAATTAGTTTAATGAATTAAATGAATTAAATGAATTAAATGAATTAAATGGAAAACTGTTGCTGGAATCTGAGGGCCCCAGGAATTGAATGAATTAAATGAATTAAATGGAGAATCTATTTAATTCATGAAATTCATTATTAATTTAATGAATTAAATGAATTAAATGGAACATCTATTTAATTAATTTAATTCATTTAATTAGTTTAATGAATTAAATGAATTAAATGAATTAAATAAATTAGATGGAAAACTGTTTCTGGAATCTGGGGGCACCAGGAATTAAATGAATTAAATGAATTAAATGGAAAATCTATCTAATTCATTTAATTCATTAAACTAATTAAATGAATTAAATGGAAAATCTATTTAATTCATTAAATTCATTAAATTATTTTAATTAATTGAATGTTAATTCATTTAATTCATTAAACTAATTAAATGAATTAAATGGAAAATATATTTAATTCATGTAATTAGTTTAATGAAGCTAACAATTTTCCATTGAATGAAAGCCAGAAAGGGAACAATCACATAGACCCTATAATACCCTCTATTTGCTCTCTGGATATTTCATAGCTAGCTCCTCAGCTGTCTTACTTTATACTTAGAGTTTTCTTGATTTGGGTTGAATCTTAGGAAATACAAAATAACCAAAACCTCGAGAAAACCAAAAAAACAAAAAACCTAAACTTTTCAGAGAATGTTTGGTCTGAGGCTCATGTTTGGTTTTTTTTGGTTTTGCCTAGGTTTTTTTGGTTTTTTTTGGTCTTGACCTTGAAAAAACTAAAAAAAACTCAAGGTTTTTTTGGTTTTTTGGATAAAATGATGGTTAAAGAAGTGTGAAAAAACAAAAAACAAGGGTTTTTTTTGGTTTTTCATTGCGCAGCCAAAAAGAAACTAAAGCCACAAACACCCAAAAACAAAAAAAAACCTTGAGTTTTTTGTTTTTTCACACTTCTTTAACCATCATTTTATCCAAAAAACAAAAAAAAACCTTGAGTTTTTTTTGTTTTTTCAAGGTCAAGACCAAAAAAAAACAAAAAAAACTAGGCAAAACCAAAAAAAAACAAACATGAGCCTCAGACCAAACATTCTCTGAAAAGTTTTGTTTTTTTGTTTTTTTGGTTTTCTCGAGGTTTTTTTGATTTTGTCAATAGAGCTTTCCCAAAGAGTCTCCAAATATTGTTTTTTGTTGGTTTTCTCGAGGTTTTTTGTTTTTTGGGTTTCACCATGGATTCTCTCCCAAAGAGTCGTCAAATATTGTTTTTTTGTTTCCAACTTGTTTTGATAGTGTGCACAGCTACTACCCACAAGACATCTTTAAAAAATAACTGACTCTTATACATATATGCACATAAATATATTATATATATATACATGCAGAGACAATATATCAAAATGCTCTGAGGTAGATCTCAGGGGGGGGTTACCATATATATATGTGTGTGTGTGTATGTGTGTGTGTATCTCTTATATATATATATATAATAATTTATCATAATTTATCAAAGATTTGCCAAGTCCTAAGATCTGAGGAGTTTGTGGTTCAGCGCTTCAGTGTCCTGCAGGGCTTCGCGGAGCTGCCGATTTTCCAGCAGCTGCTCTTCGACTGCCTCCTCCTGCGTCTTGCGTGCATCTGCCGAAACGAGGCACGGTACCAGTGCTAATCTTCAAAACATGATGGCAATGTTCTTTCAAAGCAGATTGGCCCGATTTTTTGTCACTAGCTGGGAGCTGCGGTGCGGCGATGCGGTGATGCAGTTTGATTGTCAAGCCACTAGCTTTCAGGGGCTCGACATCTAGAAAACTTAATTGATAGGAATAGTCTGCGCCTATACCGACTCCAAATCTGCAAGGCAGCCAACGTTCTAGCAGCCACCACACCTCAGCACTAAGTGAATGGCACTTCCTTCCACAATGTTGTAGTCTTGAAGGGGACGATCATCATCCAGCTGCTTCCCTGCAAAGATGAGCCTCTGTGCGTCAGAGGATGCACCGCGCGTCCCTTGTTATTCCTTTCAGGCCTGGGACAAACATTCAACCCATTTAGCTCCGGGTCTGTTTCCCATCCCTCGGGAGCCGCCAGAACTGGGAGGCTGGCCCTTTTCCAGACAACTTGGCGTACTGCTTGAATGTCAACAAGAACCGTCCTGCTTGGTTCTGATCAAAAGACCTTGGATCATGGCAAATGATGTCGTTGGTGAGGCGCATGCACAGCTGGTAGTAGATCTGCGGATCAACTTCCAAGCTGGGGGAGAGCCGGGCTGCATCACTGCCACCGTTGCTCCTCCTTGGATCTTGGCAGCCTGGTCAACCAGGACAACTGTACAGCTCGAGCCCAAACACCTAGAGAGCCCCTCCTTTCATCATGAACAGGATGGTACACACACACACACATATATATATATATATTCCTTGTCTTTCCACCGTCATGACCATCCAAGGCTCACCGCTGGGCTCTCCTCAGCAACATGGCGCTTTGCTTCAGAGCTCCGCTGAAGGCGAAGCTGCTGCAACTCCTGTGGCAAAAAAACGTTGTTTCACCATCACCATCTAGCGACTTATCAGAATTATCGCCTATCTCATCTGTGTGTGTATGTATGTGCATAAATAAATATATATATACATTATATATATATAATGGGTGTATGTATGTATGCATGCATGCATGTCTATGTATCTATGTATCTATGTATCTATGTATCTCTGTATCTATGTATGTATGTATGTATGTATCTATCTATCTATCTATCTATCTATGTATGCATTTATGCATGTATTCATGCATGCATGCATGTATGTATGTAGGTACGTACGTACGAATGTATGTATCTATGTATGTATGTATGTATCTATCTATCTGTTTATGTATGTATCTATCTGTGTATGTATGTATGTACGTACGTATGTATGTATGTATGTATGTCTGTGGGTATGTAAGTATCTATGTATGTATGTATGTATGTACGTATGTGCATGTATTTATGCATGCATGTGTGCATGTATCTATGCATGCATGCATGCATGCATGCATGCATGCATGTGTGCATGTATGTATGTATGTATGTGTGTATGTATGTATGTATGTATGTATGCATTTATGCATGCATGCATACGTGTATGTACGTATATATGTATGTGTATGTGTGTATGTATGTATGTATGTATGTATGTATGTATGTATGTATGTATGTATGTATGTATCTATGTATCTATGTATTAATGCATGCATGCATGCATGCATGTATGTATGTATGTGTATGTGTGTATGTAATTATATATGTGTGTATGTATGTATGTATGTATGTATGTATGTATGTATGTATGTATGTATGTATGTATGTGTGTGTATGTATGTATGTATGTATGTATGTATGTATGTATGTATGTATGTATGTGTGTATGTATATACGTAATGTATGTATGTATGTATGTATGTATGTATGTATGTAATGAGGCATGCGTGTATGCATGTATGTTTGTTTGCATTTATGCATGCATGCATGCATGTATGTACGTACGTACGTACGTATGTATGTATGCGTGTGTGTGTGTATGTGTGTGTGTATGTATGTGTGTATGTATGTATGTATGTAGGTAGGTATGTATGTATGTATGTATGCATGCATGCATGTATGTATGTATAAATGGTCTTTACCTATCTATCATTCGCATGAATTCCTCGCCAGGAATGGATATGGATGCAGATTCCAGCCGGGGAATGCAAGCAAACTGGTGACCTTCCACATCCTTCCACCAATTTGAAGATAAAAAGACATGGAAAATAGAAGTTCTATGGATTCATCTGAAAACTGGATACCCCAAAATCCCGTAGTTTCTCATCATCTTTCCCACTCTCAGCCATTTTGGGGCATCGACTGTCCCCGAACCATGGCCTGTTGACGCCTCCCATGCAGTTCTTTTCGCCGCTGCAACTCGGCAGCCAGGCGCACCTGCACCGGACAAATCAACATCCGGGAGTCTTCCATCTGGCTACCCTGGCAATAAATTAAAATAGATAACTGCGACTATATCGATAAACTTCATTGAGTTGATATGTGTGTATGACAATGGGTTATATCGTGATATACTGATATACCGTGATATAACGTGTAATACCCCAAAATTGCCATTTCAGTTGGGAAAATGATGATCAATCCCAAAGCTTGAGACATACAATATACATAAGATATAACACAACCATCCGTTGGAGCTGGCACAACCCTGTCCCTTTCTTCTTACTGTTCAAGCCCTGCTCCTTCCACCGAGGACAATCTGAAATTGAAAGCTTCCGAATCGTTCTCAGGAGCAGCCTCCTCATCTGCGACATCTTCAGCTCTGGCCACCCCTGGCGCGTCAAGCAAAAGGGAGTCGAAGACTCAGCACGCCAACATGCTGGATTGAGATTCGTGTTTTCAAAACATCGTCAGACTCCGTATTGCCACTCCTTCCTCACCATCCCCTTCCATCCGCTTCCATGGATTCCGCGCCTGACTCAGCTCCTAGCGGACCTAGGAGAGCAGACCCAGCAGCTGCCAATGCCGCATCTCCTTGGGCTGCGCATCACCGTTAGAAAAAACCCAGTGCCCTGCAACTGGATTGGGGCCATGGCGTTCGGCTGCAGCCTCTGACCTCAGATATCTGTCAGGATCTGTGACCTCCTTAGGGCATGATAATCTATGCATATCTATCCACAGTTTATGTTGGTTTATGCCGTGCCATGTGACCGGGGGCTCTTGAGGCTCTTCAAGTTGTTGGACTCAGGGCATTTGCCTGGCAACCTGTAGACATCAATACTTTGCATGCGTAGGCGTAGACCACTGGAAAGTTCGCCCAAGGGAACCCCCAACCTCCCTGGGAGCTCCTACAGGCTGGATGCCAAGCGATTGGCCCAGTCCTGGCAGTCCTGGTTGGTCAATGGTTGTTCGTAGGTGTCCCTATATGTTGGGCTGCAATCATCTTACCATTTGGGGGATTGATATAGGTGCGGGGATGTATATATATATATATGTGTGTGTGTGTGCGTATGTGTATATATATATATATATATAGGTGATCTATATGAATATATTCTATGTGTGTATATATATATATGTGTGTGTGTGAATAATCCCTCATAAACCAGGTAGATACCAGGTAGCTTCATAACCCCAAAAGCGAATCAACCAGATGCATTGAAGAAACGTGCCTCACCCTGGCCGTAGCCACATCCAGGCTTCATGAGCAATTGGCCATGTTGCTCATCGAGGGAAGGGACATGGTGGGGTATAATATGGATTAGTGGGATATAAAACCAACATCAACCAACAATATGATATGATAATAGGCGGCCCTTAATAGGCTATACCGGGTATACCATCCAAATTGAAATTTGGATGGGTGAAATTGATGATAAATCACTGGATATCAGTGTAATGATCTACAGCTCCCTGGTCTAAAAGTTTTGTTCTCCTCCCCGAGGCATTCACACAGGCTGAGATGGTGGTACTTGGAGAATCAGCAAGTGGCAACTTGGGGGCCTCAAAGCTCTGATTAGAAACAGCTACGGCAGCCACTTTCACGTCGTCAGGAAGACTGTCATCGAAAGAGTAAGAGGAGCCAGTGGTGGGCCATAAACCAAACCCACGCGAAATCCTTGTACTATTTTTCCGGCGAGATACACAATCCATCCATCCATCCCCTTCTGGCCAGCGCGCGCAATCCGCAAGACCCGCTGTCCCACTAGCTACTGCTCCCACAGGAGCTCCGAAGGCTAATATGAAGTTCAACTAGGTTGCCAAAGGTAGTACGGATTTTGTTGCAATTAGAAGCCTGGTCTTTAGGATTTAGTGCTTTGTTCGAAAAGGACAGCAGGAAGGCTGCTACGAAACACCAAGGAATGAATTTTGTGCAAGAGACGATTCAGAGACGATGCACCTACGATCCCGGCAGCTGTAGGCATATTGGTGACCATGGGCATCTCTGCTGATGTGCTTGACCTTGACATGCCTGCAGGTAGGTCCAGGATCTGCACCGAAATTGAAAACACCTATAGGTACAGGGCTGCAATGGTCGGTCAAACCCAAGCTTTGTAAGCAACCTGTGCTGTTGCTGGATAAAATATGATAAAATAATTATGGATTCAGTCCAGTAGCCCAAGTGACACTGGTCAGGTGGCCGAACAATCAACTACACCCCATGCTTAATCGGAATCAGGATCAGCTTTGCACGGCTATGGCTCCACAGTGTGCAAAACTATCGGTGGCAAAAATTCCCGTAGATGTCAGGATTCCACAACATAGTGGCCATGTCTATTTCCTATGTCCCATTGGTTCCCATTGGTTCTCATTGATTTGCATTGGTAGCCTATGTTGGGCCAATCGTTGTCTTTCAGCTTGGGCCCGATCGCTGAACCCCACACAGACGGAGTGACTCCAGTCTGGAGCTCCTTGCGCTCATGAAGTCATGCCAGCTGGGCGATGCCAGAGTTGCGTTTCAGAAATTCTACTGGAAATCCCAAGATTTGGATGGCGAAATCCACAGAATCCGAACTCCAAAGAAATCCAACAAAATCCTGATTATGGTATTTGTCTCGGTGAACATCTTTCTGCTCTTGATCACCGGATGTCTTCCAGTTGGTTCCCGCAACTGGCACAGGCTTTGATGAGGCAGAGCTTGGATTCAACGTGCATTTCCACGCAGCTCAGTCACAATACAACGACCAGAAATGGATGTGTCTGAAAATGACGTGTAAAGTTACTTGTGCCCCCAAATGTCGTCATTTGTTGGGGAAATTGTGATTTACTTGTTCGTGTCTTTTCTACAGCTGCTGATGAATGAAACAGGAGTTGATACCAAGAAGGAACCTATCTCACCGAAACATATCGAAACCACTTTGGAAGGTGCCCATTGGCTTTGAGAGTCGTACTGCGTTACACAAGTAAGTTCTCTTGAGTCCCATGTTCCATGCCATGGGGAACCTTTTAATCTTCTTGATCTTCTTGGAGTCAGGTTCAGTCCTAAATACCAAGAAATGAAATGAATCTTTCAAGCCTCTCTGCTGAGCCGCAGCAAGCGGTTTCTGCGGCCTTCAAACTTGTGAAGTGTTCAAACTTGTGAAGTGCTTTTGGTTGGCAAACAGCCAGCGCTTCACCAGGGTGGCCGGTTCCACTGGTGCCTCATCAGTACAAAGTTTCCATGGTTTCGGCAGCACTCACGGCCACCTAACCCATGCACTTGGCTACGACACCATTGCACCGCAACGACATGGAAGCTCTCCTGACCCCACCTGAAGTTTCATGAAGTCTCTACAAACGGCTTTGACGGCGGTTGTTGTTCTTTTCAGATTGGTTTCCCGAATGATTCCGAAGGGGTTGTTGGTCTTTATGGGTTGTAGCTTCTTGCCCCATCTCTTCCAGTCGTTCGCTCTCGCAGCACCACCCATGGCCGGAGTTGGTCACGCCAACACCGCCAGAAATCCTGGCACCGCTACGACGATTTCGTCTGCGGCGGCCGCCAAAGTTGAGCCATGACTGCGCACACGGCTGGACAGTCTGAGAGCACATTGACTCCAGCAGCGCTGTCTGCTTGGCGGAAGGTGACAGCCACCATGGGTATGTCTCTGGACACCCCAAAACCATGGAATAAAAAACATCACCATTTTCCCCATGGATGGGGGGATGCCCTACATCCACATTTTGCTCGCAGGTCACAAAGTTGGCCGGCACGAATGCAAGACCTTTCGTGCCGGAAGCATCTTTTCAAGATGGCGGCAGGTCTGCGAAAGCCATGAGGCTTTTGAAACGATTGCTTTCGTGACATGCAGTAGCTGGCTGCCTAATTATTTTAAGTTATTTTGTCAGTTCTGCGACATGTCGTGTCCAACTGTCTGTTATTTAATCTCAGCCAGTCTTGCTGTCACTGTCTGGAATCATGTCAAGGTGCTATGTGATAAGGTGCTACTTAGCGAACCAGTTTGAGCGCCTGAAAGCAACGTTGGGAAGCCTGAGCTCCTTGGTTCAGCGCATTCATAACTGCATGGACACGTGTCAAAATTGAAGGCTCGACAACTCACATATTTTGTTCTCGGCTCTCGGCACTTACCTAGTCTCTTCAGTTCTCTACTCTCTTCACTTTCTACTCTTCGGACTTCTCTACTCTCTTCACTGGTCTAGTTTCTTCACTTCTCTGTTCTTTAGGTTTCTCTTCTCTTCGCTTCTCTACTCTCTTCACTTCTCTAATGTTTTAGTCTTTCTTTCCACCACTTCTTTAAAGTTTTGTATAATTTTTGATATCTCTGACGTTTCTCCTCGAGACTTCTTTTGACTATATCCCAGCTCCGAGGGCGATAGAGCCCAAAGATTTTAGCTATTCAAAGTTATTATTTCATTATCAGGTAATAGTATCTTCAGTTTCTACCACCCACTGGTAAGTCACTGGGGATTGGTTTATTTATAGTATAATAGTAGTTTGTGCCTTGGCTTTGCCACATTACATGACACCAACTGTACTGATCTGCCAAGCGTCCCTTTAGGCGACTGGGCGTTGGAGTGGATTGGCGATAGGGCTCCGGCTCCGGCTTCGGCCCGGCGTGCTTTGGCGACACCTTGAAGAATTTCTCCGGAGACCATGACGTTCACTCCCAATTTTAGGGGCTACAAGTTTTCCCTCCAGTTCTAGGAATGGTGGAGTTTGCGCTAATTGAACCGATTCCAACCGATGAAGGGATCTGGCAATCCAAAACGTTGGCATTAATGGAAAGTAAAGGGAAAATAGTGTACAACAGCAAGCACTGGAATACTGTCGCCTTTGCCTGATTAGTTCAACGGGTAAAGTGGTGGAAACCAGGTGCCCACCCAGCTGCAAAACATGAGGCGCTCAAGTGCGCTGTGCAGGAAATGTGTGTGTCTCGGCCCCGGTGGTGCACGGCATTTCCGCGCGAAAACGCGAAAACGCGAAAACGGGCAACAAAACGCGAAAACGCGAAAAAGCGAAAACGAGAAAACGCGCACGGAAGTACAAGAGCGCGAAAGTTGGACAGCTATGATCATCTCCGGATCTAGCGGCACGTCAATGCAAAATAATTATATTGCGCTGCAATAGCGGTGTTGATCTGTGTTGCGCTGGGACTTCAGGTACAGAGTAGTGGAATGCAGGTTCATGTGATGTGAATGTTCTTTACGGTATCTATATATCTATATTTCATTCTAGCCCTACCTACCTACCTAGCAAGCTAGCTAGCTACCTACCTACGTATCCATCCATCCATCCATCCATCCATCCGTCCGTCCATCCAATCTATCTAATCTATCTAATCTATCTAATCTATCTATCTATTCTAATCTATCTATCTAGTCCATCTGTTTTATCTAATCTATCCGATCTATCATATCCATCCATCTATCTATCTATGTAAGCTATGTACCTAAGCTATGTATCTAAGCTATGTATCTCAGCTATGTATCTAAGCTATGTATCTCAGCTATGTATCTAAGCTATGTATCTAAGCTACGTATCTATGTATTTATGTATCTATGCATCTGTGTGTCTAAGCTATGTATCTATGAATCTATGTATCTCTGTATCTGCGTATCTATGTGTCTATGTATCCATGCATCTATCCCACTCTCGCTCTCTCTCTCTCTCTCTCTCTCTTTCTCGTCATCTCTCTGTCTATCTATCGATCAATCTACCAAGCCGTCTATCTATCTACCCGTCCATCTGTATATCACCTATCTTAGCCTTATCTATCTGCCTACCTACCTACGTACCTCTCTATCTCTCTATATCTCTATCTCTCTATCTCTCTATCTATCTATCTCTCTATCTATCTATCTATCTATCTAGCTAGCTAGCTATCTATCTATCTATTTATCTTTATTTCCTCTATCGCTTGTCTAATCCTTCCCAACCTTTAATTTTATGTCATCCAATCTACCTGTATTTAGTGTTCTTGTTATGCATCCGTGTTTTAATCAAAATTCGACGGACATATTTATGCATTTCTGTAGTCTGCATTTATGTTCTCATCTATGCCAATCTATGCTGGCATCTTTGTTTGTATGTATGTATCGAGGTGGTGCATTGCAATGCAAGCAAAAGGGAAAGCGGCGACATAATGAAACTTAACGGACTGCCTTTATGCCTGCAGGCACGTGTTCATGCATGTTTCGGACGTATGTATGCATGCATGTGCCTCTCTTTGCATCGATCTTTGTATCTATTTATGTAGCTGGTGCAGCGCGTTGTAATATGATGCATGTGATGTAATGCCTTGAAATTTCAACCAACATATTACACGTATATATATATAGTACATAAATGCACATAGTATACATAAATACATATTATACATATATATATGTATACATATCTATATATATATTATCTATCTCACATATATATAAATATATTATACCTATATATACATATATATTGTACATATATATATATATATTATACACATATATATGATACATATATGTATTATACATATATTTATATTATATATATTATAGATATTATAGATATATATATATTACACACATATACATATATATATATATGTTATACATACATGTGATATATACATATTTATGTTACACATATATATATATATATATGTGTTATATATATATGCATATATCATATATATATATATTACATATATATATACAGTACATTTTTTATACATATATATATATACATATATATATATTCCATATATATATATAATGTACATTAATTTACATGCATACACATTTATTCATGTAATGCAACGTATATGTGAGTGTGTTTGGATGCATGGATGAGCGTGTATAATGTGAAATCCAGCATTGCGGTGTCGTGTGGCGTCACGTAACACAAAATGTAATGCCGCACAACAAAATGGGATGTATCTTTGTATGTATCTTTGTATGTGTACACCTATGTATGTCTGTATGTAACTATGTATGTCTCTATGTATGTCTCTATGTATATCTCTATATTCTATATATGTCTATGTATCTATGTATGTCTCTATGTACCTATGAATGTCTCTATGTGTGAACATTATGCAATGCCTTGCCATGAATCGGACGGTGAACACAACGAAAACATGCATGTACCGATGTATGCACGATTCCCACATGATCTACGTATATGAAATGCAGCGTAACATCGTAGCATGTTGTGCATTTATGCGTCTATGAATCTCGGTATCTTTGGCGTGTGTGTGTAAGAATGTTTGCCATACATGTGTGCATATGCGTCTATGCTAGAATCAGTGTATTTATGTATACATCCATATTTCTATGTATGTACCTATATGTGTGCCTTCCTGTTAGTACCCTTGGAATTACATCATTGCAACGCAGCGTAGTGTAACGCAATGGATTGTAATGCAGTGAAATGTACTGTAGCACAATGTAATGTAGTAGAATGTAGTTTGATGCAATGCAATGCAGGTAATCTAAGGTAAGGGCAGGAAACGAAATGTACTGCGTGTTTGTCCGTATGTGTTGTGTTGTAAAGTAACGTGGCGTGGCGTATTGTCTGTCTTGTATTGTGTTGTATTGTACTGTACTCCTTTGTATTGTATTGCATGGGAGTGTCCTGTGATGTGTTCGAAATATGTTTTTGTATCTATCTTTCTGCCTATGTATGCACTTTTGTATCTGTGTATCATTTGGTATCTATGTATCTATGTGTTGATGTATGAGCAGATGCAGGGGTTGGTGTGTGCACAAAAATGCAAGTACATGAACATGTAAGTGTAGTACGCATATTATGTCTATATATATATATAGTTGATTGTAAATGTAAAGGTAAGAGACATGTAATGTAAGTGTGTGTGTGTGCTTGCAAGTCTGCAAATGGCTACTGTTATGACAAGCAAACCGGCACTTCTCTATTTAGATTTCTGTTTGAAAATAATATGACATGGACATATCAATGGCGGAAATGCGAAAACAACAAGAACGGCGCAAGCAGCCAAAAAACAAAAACTGCGAAAACTGCGAAAACCGCGAAACACGAAAACCACGAAAACTGCGAGAACAGCGAAAACCGCGAGAACGCGAAAATCGCGAAAACCGCGAAAACTGCGAAAACTGCGAAAACTGCGAAAACCGCGAAACACGAAAACTACGAAAACCGCAAAACACGCAAAAACCACGAAAACTGCGAGAGCATTGAAAGCCGCGAAAACGCGAAAACCGCGAAAACCGCCAGAACAGGAAAACGCCGAGGAGACTAGCACTACTGTTGGCCGCATTTCTCGGTTTTCTCGTTTTCTCGGTTTTCTGGTTTTCTCGGTTTTCTCGGTTTTCTGGTTTTCTCGGTTTTCTCGGTTTTCTGGTTTTCTCGGTTTTCTCGGTTTTCTGGTTTCCATGCAGTCTGCATCTCACCGTTCTGGCCACGTCGCGTGGATTTCTTGCTTAGCAAGTGCGGACCTACTGATTCCACATGGGGATGGAAGAGTAGCCGCTGTAAGATATGCTATATGGGTGTGGGCTGGTATGAGTTAAAAGTACCCCAAAATGGATCAAAATTAATCAAAAATGATGATCAAGATGGATGGTTTGGACCATAAATAACTATCCGATGAGTGGAAAACCAGGCAACTATTTCCCGATCTGTGCTCTGCGTGGCCCCTTTGCCCAACATTGTCCGACTTAGCCACATCCCAGCTGGGACTTTCTGGTACCGAACCGCCAGGCGGTTCAAAACTACTCCAAGGCCCCGCTTCAAAGCTGCAGCCTAGCCACATTCACGTTCTGTATTGTCAGGACGTCGAATCTTGCGAGCCACCACCCGGACACTGGCAGTTGAAGCTGCTGTGGTCTCGGACGTGGAGGATGCAGCCTTGGCGGTTCCCATGAAAACTGGCACGGAATTTGGGAATTTGGATGCCAACAGCCCTGGCTTGGTATATCTATGGAAAAAATGCTAGAACCCAAATTGTGCAGCTGCAATATTTTCGCCCATGTGTCCAACTTCAGTTCCCCACCAGCTGACCTTCTTCAAACCTTTGCCGAAACCTGGCAGAAACCCACCAAGACTCCCCACAACGTTGCTGGTGCGGTGCCGCTCTGGGCTGGGCGACGCCGCCTCCAGGGGCAGTAACCAGGGAATCTCCATGCTTATCCTGGGTGATCCTGGATGTAGATCGGGCATTGCCACGGCCAAAAACATACTAAAGAAAAGGTTGAAGGGATCTTAACATCTGTTCCAAATGACTCCACGTCTTCGCAAACATGTTGACTTGGAGAATTTCGGAAATTTTCTGGATGTTTTGGAGCTGCCACCATTAAACAATAAAGAGAAAGATCAGAAACTTCCAGAATTTGGAGGTGCCATAATCGAAGGAGGTTTAGAAGTCAAACTTCCGACAACATGGGCAGATGGACAGGCAGAGGTAGGAAGAGTCAGAGAAGAGAAGAGAAGAGAAGTGAAGTGAAGAGAAGAGAAAAGAAGAGAAAAGAAGAGAAAAGAAGAGAAAAGAAGAGAAAAGAAGAGAAAAGAAGAGAAAAGAAGAGAAAAGAAGAGAAAAGAAGAGAAAAGAAGAGACGAGAAGAGACGAGAAGAGAAGAGATGGGAAGAGTCAGCGAAGAGAAGAGAAGCGAAGAGAAGAGAAGAGAAGAGAAGAGACGAGAAGAAGAAATAAGATCAAAAAAGAGAAAGTCTCCGAAGAAAGAAGATCCAGGTGCGCGGAAAGGTAGGAAAGTCGCGAAACACAGTGTTTTTTCCAATGATTTGTGGCTCCGGAGGGTCGAAAAGTAGGCTCGCTAAAGCGGCAGGTGCGAAGCCATGTGGCCAGATGAGAAATGAAAAATTGCACGCCGTTGTGGCGCGAAGCACATTTCGAAGTCAAAATGTACAAAGCACACCATGCTCGGAGCACTTTCGGAAGTTGAGATGTTGGAAGTTGAGATGTCGAAAAAGTGCACGCCGTTGTGGCGCGAAGCACATTTCGAAGTCAAAATTCACAAAACACCTCAGTGTCGGACCACTTTTGGAAGTTGCCATGTCGAAAAAGTGCACGCCGTTGTGGCGCAAAGCACATTTGGAAGGCAAAAGGGAGAAAAAAAAAAATGGCGGTCTCCGAGCACTTTTTGAAGTTGGGATGTAGTTTTGCGTGGCACGCACAGGGGATTCTGCACCTGGCCAAAGGTAAGCAAAACGTGAAGGTTTTGTAGCATGTCCAAAAACGATGGCAGGCATAGGGCATTTGAAGAAGATCTGCAAAGATACATTTCGCGTGGCAGGCGCAGTACAAGAGACATATTCATCAGAGATGTTAGGAGGTCAGGGCGGAAGAGGGGTTGCAGTTTGGAGCATCAGATCTTCAGGTTTGCTAAGATGATTTTGAGTGACAGGTGCAGCACTTCGCATGACCTGGCCTCACTTTTTCGTGGCAGGAGCAATATTTTAAACAGATGGAATGGACAAATCGCAAAACACATTGATACGAGGCCGTCAGCTCTGCACTCAACTTCCATTCTTGAAGGAAGTCTCGCAGAATTGCTTCGTTTTTGATGCTGCCAACTTTGAAAATTGAGGACATCTCGCAGAATAGCTTCGTTTTTGACGTTGTCTCGCAGAGTAGCTTTGTTTTCAAACTTGCAGAAAGACAGATAGATAGATAGATAGCTAGATAGATAGTTAGATAGATAGATAGGTAGATAGATTAGATAGATTAGATAGATAGATAGATAGATTAGATAGATTAGATAGATAGATAGATAGATAGATAGACAGACAGATAGATAGATAGATAGATCGATCGATAGATAGATCGATAGATAGATCGATAGATAGATCGATAGATAGATCGATAGATAGATAGAATAGATTAGATTAGATTAGATTAGGTTAGATTAGATTAGATAGATAGATAGATAGATCGATGGATAGATAGATAGATAGATAGGTAGGTAGATAGATAGGTAGATAGATAGATAGATACACAACTACAACTGCAACTACAACTACCACCACACTACACTACTACTACGACTACAAATACAAAAACACATATTCTACGCTACAATACACTAATTACGCTACACTGCGCTAATTACACTACACTACGCTAATTGCACTACACTACACTACACTAATTACAGTACACTACGCTAATTACACAACAAATACAACAACTACAACTACTGTTACTGTTACTATTACAGCTACAACTACAACTACACTGCATTATACTACACTACACTAATTACAATAGACTACACTACACTAGGCTACAACTTCAACTACAACAACTACTACACTACACTCAACACTACGCTACACTAATTTCACTGCACTACACTAAAGCTACAACTACAACTCCAACTACGACTACAGTTACAACTACACCTACAACTACAACAACACTACATTACACTACACTACACTACACTAATTACAATACACTACACTACACTAGATTACAACTACAGCTACACTACACAATATTACACAACACTACGCTACACTAATTACACTACACTACAACTACAACTACAACCCCAACTGAGACTACAACTACGGCTACCAGTAGTACCGCACAAGGCGGTGGCGGAAGTTACAAAAATAGGAAACCTATAGGAGAGGTTGGTTGTTGTGAATCACGGATGGCAGAGCGAATCCACTGATGGACCGCAAGGTGGTTGAGGTCTCCTTTCTTTCTCTCTCTTTCTCTCTCCTTCTCTGACTATCTACCTACCTACCTACCTACCTATCTATCTATGTATCTATCTATTTATCTATCTATCTATCTGTCTGTCTGTCTATCTATCTATCTATCTATCTATCTATCTATCTCTCCCTCTCTCTCCTCTAATTATCTATCTATCTATCTATCTACCTACCTACCTATCTATCTATCTATCTACCTATCTAGCATTTATCTAGCACCTATCTATCTTTCTTTCTATCTATCTACCTATCTTTCTATCGATCGATCTATCGATCTATCGATCGATCTATCGATCTATCGATCTATCGATCGATCTATCGATCTATCGATCTTGTTTTACAGGTAAATCAACCTGAAAGACACAGCAATCACGCTTGTTTTGCTTGAGCCATACACACGAGGTAAGTAATGAATTATATTAGTATATACAGTGATATGTACAAGAAACACCCCCCGCCGCCCGCAGTTGCGCGGAGGACGGAAGATGTAGTCCGCCAGATGTGACCTGAGAGCGGAGCAACATACAAGACATCACTGTACAATTCTACTTACACTACGGGTGCAGGAGTTCATAGCTCGAATGCATGAGGCAAAATGTGAGAAGGTCGGGTGCATAAACTTTTCAATCCAGGGCATGGCACGTGCTTGAAGAGACACAAAAGTGAAGTTGGCCTGGCTTCCGCCAAGGCATAGGAACATTACCATTCCTTTCATTTGCCTTTGGTTCGGAAACTACTGTATCAGGCTAACCTACACGGCATCTGTACACGTGCAACTACCGCAAAAGATCGGATGCTGATGTCAAACTCTTTTGAAGCAATTGGAAAAGTTTTTCAAGTTAATCGAGTTGGAATTTCAAGTTTGGAAATGTGTGCACTTCGATTGAACTGAATGACCATGGGTCAGCTTTCATCCAATCGGCCAAACCTTCCGGTAGGCATAAAATCATGGCACAAGATGTGAAACATCTACCACGACTCAAACTCTACCGTCCCATCATTGTAGGTGCGCTTGAAGTGCGGCTGGCCGTTGATCTCGCAGTACTCCTCAGCAATCACGAGCGGCATCCTCGGCACTTGCTGCGGAGGTTCTGCTGCAGGAGCTGATCCCGAGGCCGCTTGGGCAGGGTCGCCAGCAGCAGGAGCTGTGTCAGGCACAGGCGTCGCTGTTGAAGGTGGCTGCACTGGCTCTGGGGGCGCTGCCGAGGAGCTTGATGCTGTAGATCTTCCCCAAGGATCAGCCGTCCAACCTCTGCCAGAGTAGCCCTGATTCCAATTCCAGCTTTGCCATTGGGCCTGCCCTCCCGAGCGGCTTGAGTAAGATCCATACGAATCCCATTGTTGCCGTCGGCTCCATCCACTGCGACATTCAAAGGATTTGTGGCCATACTGACCGCACTTCCAGCACTCAATGGCCTGCTGAAAGATTGGACGCTGTTGCTGACCATAACCCTTGCCTTTGCCCTTGGCTGGCTTCTGAATCGGGTCAAAATGACGCCGGTATCCTTCTCGCCCTTCGCCAGTACCCGTCTTGGAGGACCTTGCCAGTGGGAACTCAGCCACATCTGACGCAGTGGCTTCATCCACGAAGGAGTGTTCTTCGCCCTTGATGTTGTTGTATTGTTCCTTCCACTGCCTCTTCGCAAAATCGACAAGGTCGAAGAAACAATCTTGGGCTGACTCTTGATCCACAGGCATCACTGAGCCAGACCAACCAAATAACATCGGCGTGGGTTCCCCCCTCGCTTTCAGCAAGTCCGCAGCAAGAACAGCGAATTGTGGGAGTGTGAACACTCTTGCATGATGTGCAACCATGGCTTCCTTGGTGACGTCCAACGGGAGTCGGATATCTCTGTTGAAGTCTGGCATGAAAATCAAACGAGTGCTGACACCTGTTCCCAGCTGCTTTTCTCGCTTCTCTCGGGTACGGCCGACATCAGGGGCAATGCATTTTGCCAAATCCTCCAAAAATTGGCAACAGTCTGGGGTAATCTGGCCGACCGTATTGTTGAACAAATAAAATGGGTCCTTCTCCATGCGGTCCTGGATCGATTTGAAGCCGAGCTTTGTGTATCTTCCCGCATGTGTTTGAGCAGCGTCTTTGAGATTTCCGAAATTGCTTCGTCCAGCTCGACGTTGATCTGCTCGGGTGCGGTCGGACACTCGCTGAGCTCGAGGCTGCTTCTCAAAATCGATTTTGTCCAGAGAAAACACCTTGTTGGTCTTCTTGGCCGAGATTTCCATCCGGCATACCTCTGTCGCAATTCTTCCATCCGACCAAGCAATCAGCCATTTGAAGCACGACTGACACTTGTGGGTGCCCTCAATGTTCTTCTCGCCGCAGAAGTGGCATCGGACCTGCTGCATCTCAATCTTTGAGCTGTAGATGTAATCCTCAGCATTGGTTGAGCGCT